TGGGTTTGTGTATGGTGTTAATGATAAAATTGATATAATGCAAAGTTTCTTTATTTTATGTTTACTAAGCGATTTACTTTAAACAAAGTATTAACATGAACAATGACACCACCTCCAGCAAAGTTTCTGTTCAGTTTATAAGGAGAATGAAATCCTTGTAGAAGGAAACATTTCAGTCTTTTAAATGACTTTCAGTAAAGCATTATATTGTAATGCTAGCCAATTCATTTCAAATATTTCTTCCGTTAAGATTTTGATTCAATAACCTTATATATTATTAAAGAAACATGTTAATTATTGAAAACTTAGCATTTCAAAATAACAAATAAACTAAGTTTTCCAAACTGTCATAGTTTACTGTTTAATTGAGGGATTCCTATGTATACAAGGGCGGATCGGAGATTTAACGCTTGATAATATAATTTTAGTACTAAAACAATGTTATTATAAGTTGACATACAGCTTAGGTAAGGAAAAAGTACACTTGAAGGAAGAAATCTGACTTATTATTGGAATTTAACTGTCTGCCATAGAACGTGTTTACAATATGGACATGAATATGTTCATATCTGGAGTAGATATGCGAGATCAGTCATTTTCAGTGGAAAGGCGGAACAAATTTTCTACAAAAGTTTGGTCTGAACCCTCAGGGGCCTGAGGGCCGGGACCCAATTAGGAAATTAAGGAAATAAATTCGTAAAATAAAATTATTCTTCTACAAAATAATAGGAGTTTGCCCTAGCGTGGTCTGAAGCAATTTTCGGTTAAGGGTCTCAATTTAATTGTGTATAAATGTTTCTCCTTCTGGTGACGTGGGACAAATATGGGCAATAGAAGAAATCAAAGTACTGAAAGTACTGAGAGGCTAAACGTATTGAAAAATGTTCACAAATAACCGCAAAGCTATATTGCTTTCCCCATACTCCTACACTTTGGAATGCAAAAATTACTAAAATAAGAGGACCAGAGGCTATTTTTCTTAGTTTTAAGCGATTTTATATCTTCTTTATCATTATTATTATTCTTATTTCAAATTTGACGACAACAATGTGAACAAATCAAAATAGGTAAAAAAATAACAAAATACACACAACCATATATTTATCGCCAACAAGCCTAATGATAAATAGCTCTATGATGAAGTTGAATAAAACCTTTGAAATACCCAAAATGTTGCAATTACTATCCTATCAATATGAGGATTTAGACAAATCGAAAGGACTTTATACCTACTTCTTTATTTTGAATGTATTGCAAAGTAATAGTCCTTACTTATTATAATTATATTTGTAGTTGAGAAAAGTAGATAAGGTGTACACAGCATTTCAGATAGATAAAAGTGTAAGTAATTACATTAAATGTATTTACATGCCTATCTTCCTTGAAGTATCATGGTTAGACTTTTCTTCCAGTAATTACGTCTATAAAGACGTAGTTCTCTGAGATTAAACCAGACTTCCATATATATACAAAATTTACAATGTTTTCACTATAGCTACTACAACTTCTGATCTCCAATGTATTAGAAAAGTCACCATGACACGCTAAATGAATAAATATGTTATGGAAATGTTTCGTTCTAGTTAATTGATAATTATAAACATGAATATTTTGGGGTTTTTTTATACGCTCTTTGTTTGAAGGAATATTTTTATTTCAAGGAACTTTGATACACATTAACAAACCTTGAGAAATCAGCACAATAAACCTTCATCAAATAAAACTAAAAGACAAAAAATATAAGTTAAAACAGAGTCAACATCATGATCAGTACAGTATTAAAAATATATTATTCATAAATCATGAGCACCAAATGTACTTACGAAGTGCAAACTTTTTTTCTTCAAAAACTTGAAAAAGTGTCATGGCGGTGGGTGTGAAAAACCTGAAAAAGTGTCGTATCGGCGGGTGTGCGCGTGGGACGAACAGTCCAATTCGATGACGTCTAATGAGGTAAAGTGATGTTATATATTAAGACGATCTTGCCACAACGACAAGGATTAAAACAAAATTGATATTCTGTTTGTAAGTTTTGTTTGTTTATTAGTGCTGTTTTTGATAATTCAAACCAAGCACCCAGACTAGCTTCTTATCAACTCGCACATACAGTGTTCTGTACGCTTACGTCATGTCGAAAATTCCGTAAAATATATTGTTCAAAATTTCATCAATATTTCAACCACTTTTTGAAATATATAGTAATCGTATTGTCATTAAGAAAATAAACTTATTTTGGATGCTTTTAAACTAGCGATTTGAAAGATCGCGGCATTATTTACGCAGAAAATTGCCGCCAGAGGGCTCTAACTCTTTTCGATATTTCAGCCAATGAGAAGGCCAGGATCGGTTAATTTTGTCTGAAAGGCCGTCGCAATAGGCTATGCGTACTGAGTACGTTTAGCCTAAAAACTTAAAACTCCTTCTGTTTGGATAAAGATATTTTGACCTAAATTGGTCAGGGGCATCTTAAAGAAATATGACTCAGTCTTGCATAACCATGGGCGTGGACTCCAGGGGGCTGAGGACCGGGTCTGGTAGGAGAAATAAGCATTTTTTCTAACAATAAAGGTGAGCGGTATAGGTCCCATGGGCCTCTTGTTAAAACCCGTCGCCATCGGATAGGCGGTTAAACCGATTAGATCAGGACTTACATATTGAAGAGAACCACTACGCAAAAGGGTTGATTTTTTTACTTGGCAGGTGCAGTTCGAAGAGGTCAACCATACTTGTCTTAAAAAGCTGACTGAGTTATCATTGGCTTTCAAAATTTCTGTTTTAAACAAGGCTGGTGCTTCGGGCACATATTTCTGGAAATGTGATGATATTAAGTTAAGTTAAGTTAAGTTAAGTTTATTACCAGAACAGGATATACCTATCCTCTACTCTGGTCTCAAAAAACATACAATATATATACATGATAAAATATAGTATGTACAAATCAAAATAATATGTCCAGCTTTTATTAATTACTATTAAGACAGTCTATATTGATATATCTTATAATTAAAAATGATATCTTGGTTTTCCATAACTTATCAAGCCTATTTTTGAAACAGTAACATAATTACATAGTTATGTGTTTGCCAGAAATAACATAACAAAGTTTGCAGAGTTTGAGCTTTGCATGTAACATTGAACAATCCCATGCAGTGCGTTTATTTATCGTAGAATAATGCATACCGACTGAATCGCTTCAACCGGTTTCACTTACCATAACTTCCGGTCTCACTGAGTACGAAGATAAATAGAAGTATTTAGTCAATCTGTCTTGTTGCTTTATTGCTTTATTATACTAGCTGATTACTTAAGTAATATTTTTTTACTTAATTAATGAACTAAAAAGACTTCAAAACCTAATAAAAAAAAAGTCATTGACCAAATACGAAACTGTTGCTGTGTCCTAAATTCTGTCAAGTTTCACTTCAGCGGCAAGCTAGGTCTAGCTGCTGGGAGATGGGGAACAGTCCCAGCAATAGCGATGCAGAGGAGGACCGAGATTTTAAAGAGGTTTTGTTTTTTTATTACATTAGTTGAACATTTCTTTCGTGTAATTCACGTATTTATCTATACCAAATATCAATATTTATTTCAAGCACTACTTGGTACCAATAACTGGAATAAGGCAGCATCGCAAATGTCGTAACCTGCATGCCTCCTTTCGTTTAGGAGACATCGGGGCTATGGCATAGACCTAGCGGATTGTGTGAAAAACGTTCTCTTGTCACGGTCTACGATAAGATATTTTTCAAAGTTAATGTCTTTAGCTTAATGCACCGAGAGTCGACCTAGGTTTTTCAATACTAAGTACTAATGTAAATACGAATAAACCAGGCAAATACTAGTCATCTTGTAGCACTCGGGTAGATAACTTCTCTTCAGATTTATTAGTTAAGCTTAAATGTGGTAAGTCAGAGGAAACTGGTTCGAAACTTCGTAAGAGCATTGAAATGAATGATGACATCTGCTTCATTGGTGCCATGTAGAGCTCCAGGAAGTGTTTCAGGAAATACAGGACTTCTGTACTCATGCCCCATAACTATCACTGTAGCCCCTGGAAATTAAAGGATGAGTGTAGTTTCTATGGGAAAAGTATGTAACACTGATAAATACTGCCAATAATATAATGCTGAGCCAGAGAGATCTTCTCTTTAACTTGATCAGTAACTAGGTCAGTGAGCCAGAGGTCCTGGTTTCAAATCCTAGCAGAGGCACTGAAATGAATAAACTTTCAGCAGTATGTAGCTATGACCTGGATACTAACAGATCTAGACCAGCTTTTCAGATTGTGAAGCTTTGTTTTCACGATAATTGTGCAGCAGATGATTAAACAGGTTTGAAAATAATTCCTTTACAAGGTAGATCAAAGGGTTCTGAATAGTCACTTATTATTGCTGATCATGATACAATTATGTTTGAATGTCTATCCAGCTAATAACTACCTGCCAACTTTTCAAAATTGTCATGGGGAGAAAAGTGTGTGAACAGTCATTTTTGGCTCGCCACGATACGATGTGCATCGCAACATTTGTCACAAAGGAAAAATTAATTAATGTATATTTAATCAATACTTGTAGATAACATTAAATTGATAAAGTGCATGCTTTACTATACAATGAGTAAAATACCTATTTTTTTCGCAAGTAAGGATTAAATTGGAATTTATACATTTGAATTCTCAGTATTTATTGAACTTGCACATTATAGGAGATATTAACATTTCTGATTATCTCCTTGGTTGTTAGTATGTAATCAACAGGAACCATACGCTGAAGAAAAGCGCCACCTTACCAAAAATATATGACAGATATAAAACAACAAGGTCCTGCTATATCAGTAATAACAATTTGGGAAGTATAGAACAAATTCTATCATGATTTATGCTTTTGTCAATGTATTACTTTATAACAGAATGGTTTTTAATATTTAGCGATTACATATTTCAATAAATAATGATAATCAGTGTTTCCATTTATACATGACTGGTAACAGTAAGGGAGGTAATGTTTACTGCTCTGTTTCAGCTTGATGATGGCAACTCTGATAATGAAGATGGAGGTAAGTTCATGGTCTGAAAACAAAGTATACTGGCCAACTTATCAGTAAACTTATTGTATAATTACAAATCTCAAATGACATAATGTATTCTTGCTTGTTATCATATGTACAGGGTTGACATTCTGTACCCAGCACTGTTAGTCACCACACTTAAGTAATCACCTCTGACAGGCTACTGCTTTACAGACAAGTAGTAAAACCTATGGGAGAGCCATTGCTTCTCCCATATTTTGTAATTCCTTACCTGAAATATCTCTATCCTTCATATCTACCACATGGAAAAGTATTATAACAGCATAAGTTCAGGGTTTCACAAGTTTTGTTGTTGTTTTTTGTTCTTTGTTACCAAAACTCAAAACAAATATCTATGTTTCGATATGCATATTTATCATTTATCTACACTATAATTTAAATTTTGCTTAAAAAAAGAGGAATTGTCAGGATTTGGGAATGTTCATTATACTAAATAACATTTAACACTGAAAATATTGTGCAGCTTAAAAATTTATATGTTTACTTCAAGACAAGTGTTTGCATAGACTATCAATACTCTTAAAGTTTTCAATGAATGGATGGAAAAACTGGGAATTCTCCTCTTTAAACTGTTGTTATATCACAACTATTAACATTTCAACCTTGATTAGATGAATATTATATAAACATGCTTTTTTCTTATAAACGTGACAATTATCAAAAACTTTCAGATGGAATGTCGGCAGACTTGCATTAAGTGGAACAACAAATACAGGCCTTCATTCAGTATTTCTAATTTTGGTCTACATTGGATGGATACACAGTAAACTTTTTGCCATTTCTTTTACAGACAAGGAGGGGTTTACCACAACAGACTTGAGTGGACTTTTTAATCATACAACTCTTAGGAATTATGCTGCAAAGATCAAGTATGTCATATGCACTGATGCATACTAGTTAGAAAATCTTTTGTTAGCAATGATATATTGATATGTTAAGCTTTGTGTTATGAAAGTACATGAGCACTTACTCTTTGAAATTTTTATAGAGACTCCACGGATTTCAAATTCAAATTTATGTTATTATGTTGATCTTAACAGTTGATCTGCAAGCATACAAGTACTTAACAATATTCCTATATAGTTACAAACATGCTTATGAATCAGCATAGTGTTTCATATATATATGTTGTTCATTTGACAGAGAGGAGATTCCTGAAAATGTCTTGCAACAATATCGATTCCAGATTGTCAGATGGCTGGAAGATAGAGAAAGTAAAATGGAGGTTGTATAACATTAAATATATTAAATGATCAAGCTTTAAATTTTTATCTTTCCTGAAGGGAGAGCATATAGTCACCACTTTGTCTGTCCGTCAATCATCATTTTGTCCCGAGAATAATACAAAAATTATAAGATGTATCAACTTAAAACTTCTTAGGTAGATAGATCCTAATCAGGAGAAATGCAGTACACCAAAACCATTACACTCTTTTGTATAATTTAGGACTTATTGCCACTTGTTACTTTCTGATACTTAAATTTGATTCAAGTTTTCTCCAACAAACTGATTTCATCTATGTTTCTTGTTTCTCCCTGATCCTGCCATCATGCGACAATAAAGTATGTTTAAATCATGTAAAATACTGCAGTTTTCTACATTTGGTTTTGAAATAGTCTGAAGTTTTCAAAACTTTTAGTTTTGTAAAAGGATTTTCAGAACTTTTCTTTGTATAGTGACAGCAACCTTGACAAACCAGGATTTAGAATATCATACATGTAGAAAATTAAAACTTTCTGGTCTTCTTGTTCTTTCAGGAAACTTTGACCATCGCCCATTTCTGTGATTGGTTAATGAACAAGGGTGTGTCTCGAGATGATGCTATTAAGGTAGGTCCCCTGGAGAAATGACAAGTCTTATTTTATACTTTGACTACAGTGGCTCCTTTTCTGCTGTAAATTAAATAAATATTTGAATTGACTTAATATTACATTCAGTTTAGTTGAGCACTATCGTCTTGACCACTTACATGCTGTAGTACAATCATGACTAAGTCACATATGTCAGATATAAACCAGGAGATCATCATAGTGTTATTTAGGTTGAACTGACTGGGATGAAAGACATTTAATTTTCTTTAAAATGAATTAACATTATTAAAAACGAATTACTTTGATTAAAAATGAATCACCTAGATATGTTTTCAAACGTATTTTGAATTGCCATTTAAGGTCCATTATGTATATTCTGTAATGATGTTTTACCATGTGTATATGTACAAGGCTTTGTGTTACAGATACCGATTATATATTATACATGTTTTCATATGTTACACTTAATAACATACAAACCTGGATATGGCTTCCCATTGCAGGCATTCCAGCAGTTTGATGTGGATGGTAGTGGCGTTGTGGAGGTGGACACAGTCTTAGAGACTGTAAAGTCAATTAATGGACCAAACATTCTCGGTGAACTTGGGCGTAGCATCCGCATGCTTCAGGCATGCTCCCTTGTCCCTGGTAATGATGTATTTGATGTTTCTAGTCAGCTTGAAGACTTGTGTCTCTTGCTAAGTTGTATAAGTCTATTCAAAGCACTGATGAATTCTAAACATAGTGCGACCGTCTTTTTTTAAAATTTATATTTGGTAGAGGTAGATTTTTTCTGTCAGTAGTGTTTGTTTGTCCATATCCTAAACATATCTGTTTCTGGACTGTATTCTACATTTATTGTTTACCATTGCAGGATTTGTAGATGTATATTCTGGTGATAAAAATGCTGTTAAACACCACTCTGAGAGGATACTAAAGGTAGGATATAAGTACACCACTCTGAGAGTGATGGGTCCTATTAGAACACATTAGCTTACATCTTTTATGGTTGAGGTTTTGTTCCCTAAAAGCACTGTAGCACAGAATATTTGAGGAAATTGTTCCCTTGCCTACACAGCAAGTTGGGTTAAATTTACAATGGGTTGGGATGGTGCTACAGTGTCTGCTGAACATACACTTAAGGAAAGACTGGGGATAAAAAGAGAAAAAATATAACACTTTTATACTCCAAGCATACTATACTAATAGCAAAGTAAATACTTCAAAGATAGCCAAGCATACAAGGCATACAAGCAATAGACATATTAAGTATTAGAAACACTTATACCTACACTGTAAGAATAAAGATTTTTTGACTTTTGAATTTCTCATGCATCTTAATATTGTAACAGTATATGTAGATGCCTGTTTTATTTCTTGTAATGGTCTTCTTTGTTTGGAATTAGTATCTGCTGCGTAACAGATCCCCAAGTCTGAGTTTGCCTTTCCCCTACCTCAATGGATTCAACAACACTACAAGCATGAGGAACTCCGTACTCAAGTCAACCTTCAAAAGTCTGAAAGAATTAGGTAAATCTTCTTACGACCTGATTGTTAGATATGAAGCGATCAGGCTATAAATACTCATATATCAGTGTAAATGTACAGATATAGAATCATGTTTTATGTCTCATGGCAGTTAAATATGTCGACCTTCTTTGGGCAAAGGAAAAACTCACTGCTCAAAGGTAAATGCCAAATACCAGATAATGCCTTGTTCCTGGGTAAACTTTTCATAATTGCCATTACCTACATAGAAAATAAAAATTGCACTATGCAGTGATAGTTTGTTGGATTTTTGATGTTCTGTACTGACTGAGGATGATACACTTATAAAAAAACAATAAATACAAAGTATGACTAAATATACACGTGCTGCTCTTACCAGTAATCTGTCTTTATATGTTGTATGCTCTGTACTCTGTTTGGCATTCTGAGTGATTTCTTTTCAGAAAAAATGTTGAAAAGAAAGCTGAAAATTCCTCACACTATTGCCTAAACATCTCATTTCATCAGTAATTTCATTTATGTATAAGATATATAATACGGTTAAAGTACAGTATTTTGGTAGACATCAATTTCACATCTGCTTTTGTGATATATCCTATTTTCTCCACAGCCCAGATGGGTGGACAGGCATCTCTAGGATCAGGGGAGGAAGTACGGACCATCAGTCCATGTCACACTAGTATAGAAGTGTCATCCAACACCGCAGATGTTTACAGGTAAGGTGTCCTTATGATAATACAAAATATTTAGCATGAGACATGTATCAGATGGTTTCTCACCATGTTATTTTACTTCTACACTAATCACTGCTTCTGATGGACTGTTTCTATGATTATGTGTTTTATAGAATCACAAATGGTGACCCCAACACATTCTGGCAGTCAGATGGGTCAGCTCGCTCCCACTGGATGAGGTAACCTCATTTGTGTATAATATCCCTATGTAAAGTCATGCTGTCTCCATTAGATAATGATGAAGATAGATTAAGATGTTCACTTCCATATCTATATGTGTGATATGTTGATATTTGCCTTCATCATATGAGTGTCAAGTGTCACATTATCAGTTTTAAATTTGTTATTTCAGGATCATGTACTTGATTTAATCCCATATTCCTTGAGACCAAAATCAAATTTTATTAGTGTTGCTTGATAAGAATTACCTTAAAATCTTGTTGTACAGACTACACATTAAACACAATGTGGTGATAAAGAGCCTGTCCATCTCCGTGGCCTCGTCGGACTCCAGCTACATGCCTGAGGTGGTATCTATTGCTGGAGGTAAAAGTTACAGGGGCCTCCGACCTATCAAGGAAGTACGGATACCCAGGTATTGGTCTCTATCTAGTATTCTGATGATTGACAATGCTGTAGTAAAATCCCTGTCCTATTGACTTTGTTCTAACAAGTTGGTGTACATAAATTGTTTGTATTCTGGTGATGTTAAAACAAGCCTTAAAGTCCCACATACAGAGTGGAATACAGAACGTTATATTAAACACATAAAAACATTGATGTGGGACTAGATAATGGACTTGTGTGATATAAAACTATTCACATTCAATATGACGCTCATGTAAGATCCCCAATTTACAATGTTAATTTAGGATAAACACTGTTTGATACTTTATGACAACAGACTTTAAGTTATGATACACATTACTTTGAAGACTATCTGTCATGGAAAGCTATGAAGGATACAGTTCTTGAATTACTGTATAGTTGGTGATAATCGCAGGGGAATTAAATTCGAAGATGACGAGAAATTAAATATCCAGCAAGAATTTAACGTCAATCAAAGTGAAATCTACGCTTTATACCTGTATACAGGGATATCAATATATAGACATGCATGAAATTTAATCATGGTAAACTAGCCCAGTCTGGGGCGACAGTAAAATACAAGCAAAGTAAACAACTGTACAGTATATAGAACATAACCCTATGGCAGTTTACAGGCTAGGATAGATGAATTGATCGACTTAAATTTGGTTTCAGAAAATTCTCTTACTATAGATTTGCATGTTTTTTTTCATTTCTTTTTATTTCAGTCACATTACAGGAGAATTTCTATTATTAAAGAATGCAAAGATGTACTATCCAAGTAAGTTAATGTAGTTCATGGATATCAATTGGAATGTGTTGAAGATAATTTTAATCTGAAGGATTTAACTATATACTGTGAGTTTTGATATGAGTTTTAATGTGAAGGGTTAAGTTATTTTCCGTGAGTTGTAATGTGAAGGGTTTAGCTATTTTCTGTGAGTTGTAATGTGAAGGGTTTAGCTATTTTCTGTGAGTTGTAATGTGAAGGGTTTAGCTATTTTCAGTGAGATTTAATGTGAAGGTTTTAGATACTTTCTGTGTGTTTTAATGTGAAGGTTTTTACTATTTTCTGTAAGTTTTAATGTGAAGGTGTTGGATATTTTCTGTGAGTTTTAATGTGAAGGTTTTTGTACTATTTTCTGTGAAGGTGTTGGATATTTTCAGTGAGTTTTAATGTGAAAGTTTCTGTACTATTTTCTGTGAAGGTGTTGGATATTTTCGGTGAGTTTTAATGTGAAAGTTTCTGTACTATTTTCTGTGAAGGTAATGGATATTTTCGGTGAGTTTTAATGTGAAGGTGTTAGACATTTTCTGTAAGTTTTAATGAGAAGGTGTTAGATATTTTCTGTGTGTTTTAATGTGAAGGTTTTAAATATTTTCTGTGAGTTTTAATGTGAAGGTTTTTGTACTATTTTCTGTGAAGGTGTTGGATATTTTCTGTGAGTTTCAATGTGAAGGTTTTTGTACTATTTTCTGTGAAGGTGTTGGATATTTTCTGTGAGTTTTTATGTGAAGGTTTTTGTACTATTTTCTGTGAAGGTGTTGGATATTTTCTGTGAGTTTTAATGTGAAGGTGTTAGACATTTTCTGTAAGTTTTAATGAGAAGGTGTTAGATATTTTCTGTGTGTTTTAATGTGAAATTTTTTGTACTATTTTCTGTGAAGGTGTTAGATATTTTCTGTGAATGTGAAATTTTTTGTACTATTTTCTGTGAAGGTGTTAGATATTTTCTGTGAGTTTTAATGTGAAGGTGTTAGATATTTTCTGTGAGTGAATGTGTTAGATATAATATCAGACTGAGTCATAAGATGTCATACATAGCTACAGATTTATTATCATTTTATAGTTTGCTTTTTAATGACTATCTTCCTGGTCATTTGAAGTTATGATGAATTGCAGCAGAGTCTTGTGATATCAGATAACAATATAAATCGGGGAGAAATTATCAGTTCTTGTAGTAATCATTGAAATAATATAAAAAAATATATTGATATATAGAATTTATGTACTGATCGTCCTTTAAACCAATACTTTATCATTTTTCAGTAATCCAGATCAACATAAAAAAATGTAGAAATGATGGCTGTGACACGAGGATCCACGGAATCAAAACAGTGGGATACAAGTAGGTACCATGTAATTACAGTAATGGTTTAAACATTGGGGTACAAGTAGGTACCATATAATTACAGATAATGTTTTAGACAGTGAGGTACAAGTAGGTACCATGTAATTACAGATAATGTTTTAGACAGTGGGGTACAAGTAGGTACCATGTAATTACAGATAATGTTTTAAGCAGTGGGGTACAAGTAGGTACCATGTAATTACAGATAATGGTTTAAATAGTGGGGTACAAGTAGGTACCATGTAATTACAGTAATGGTTTAAACAGTGGGGTACAAGTAGGTACCATGTAATTACAGATAATGGTTTAAACAGTCAGGAACAAGTAGGTACCATGTAATTACAGTAATGGTTTAAACAGTGGGTACAAGTAGGTACCATGTAATTACAGATAATGGTTCAAACAGTGGGTACAAGTAGGTACCATGTAATTACAGATAATGGTTTAAACAGTGGGGTACAAGTAGGTACCATGTAATTACAGATAATGGTTTAAACAGTGGGGTACAAGTAGGTACCATGTAATTACAGATAATGGTTTAAACAGTGGGGTACAAGTAGGTACCATGTAATTACAGATAATGGTTTAAACAGTGGGGTACAAGTAGGTACCATGTAATTACAGATAATGGTTTAAACAGTGGGGTACAAGTAGGTACCATGTAATTACAGATAATGGTTTAAACAGTGGGGTACAAGTAGGTACCATGTAATTACAGATAATGGTTTAAACAGTGGGGTACAAGTAGGTACCATGTAATTACAGATAATGGTTTAAACAGTGGGGTACAAGTAGGTACCATGTAATTACAGATAATGGTTTAAACAGTGGGGTACAAGTAGGTACCATGTAATTACAGATAATGGTTTAAACAGTGGGGTACAAGTAGGTACCATGTAATTACAGATAATGGTTTAAACAGTGGGGTACAAGTAGGTACCATGTAATTACAGATAATGGTTTAAACAGTGGGGTACAAGTAGGTACCATGTAATTACAGATAATGGTTTAAACAGTGGGGTACAAGTAGGTACCATGTAATTACAGATAATGGTTTAAACAGTCAGGAACAAGTAGGTACCATGTAATTACAGATAATGGTTTAAACAGTGGGGTACAAGTAGGTACCATGTAATTACAGATAATGGTTTAAATAGTGGGGTACAAGTAGGTACCATGTAATTACAGATAATGGTTTAAACAGTGAGGTACAAGTAGGTACCATGTAATTACAGATAATGGTTTAAACAGTCAGGAACAAGTAGGTACCATGTAATTACAGATAATGGTTTAAACAGTGAGGTACAAGTAGGTACCATGTAATTACAGATAATGGTTTAAATAGTGGGGTACAAGTAGGTACCATGTAATTACAGATAATGGTTTAAACAGTGGGGTACAAGTAGGTACCATGTAATTACAGATAATGGTTTAAACAGTGGGGTACAAGTAGGTACCATGTAATTACAAATTTGTGTAGATTTTTTTTTTGTGAATCAACCTGAATTATCCTTGGAAAGTGGCAGTAGTTGAGTAGAGAGTGCTGGTAAAGTGACTGAAGTCATTGACTATCGGTATGTATCAGTCCTCAAAAATATTTGCTTATAATACGACGATCTATATGACAGAACAGCCAATAAAGAGATGTATCAGATAATCATATATATGTTGACAGGGTGATACGAGAGGCCAGTGTTAGTGTGGCTGACGCAGCAGCTATCTGGTACCTACAAATCCTAGCCACCACAGTAACCATGACTATGCCACTGGCCCCAAATCTCAGACCCTCCATTTTGGATCACACACGGTAGGTTTTTCAATTTGCTTGTTTTTCATTTCATGAAATAGATCCTTTCATGGAATGAAAATGTTGGATGTAAAAATGAATTTTTTTTGTTTGTATATTAATTTTAAATATCAGGATGTTACCATTGAATATATGTGTTGTGTATATTTATTTATAGCTAACATACAATCTGTGTATCATAGAAAAACTGTTTATATGATGTGTTGTCACAGTTGTAGCTAGCAGACTTTCTCTATCATAGAAGCACTTTTAAATATATAATTCTTATTTAATATTTCAGAAAAGCACTAAGCCACATTCCACCTCTGTCCTTGTGTCCAGCTAGTGGAGAAAGGCCCCAGTTTCTCAGCAAGTTTGTCCTACAGGAAGTAGAGAAGTTTGTCACAGACATTGCTTTGTAAGTGTTTATTAAAAGCAGTGATATTTTTATTACTCTGTTTTATTTTGATATCAGAGTTGTGTAAATTGTAGCTCAATGTTGCATCACATGACCTTATCAATTGGAGGAAGATAAGTGTTAACTAATGATACAAGCATGTATTTGAATGATTTTGAGTACTAGATGAAGCACTATGCCTAAAGGAAAGCTTCATCGTTTTTCACCAGTATCTATTGTTTTTATGATGCTGCCATTTGCTTGTCGAGGGTATGTAGAGTTACCATTTGCCATCATTCGATTATAATTTGAGATGTAATTAATGTATGGTAGATATTTACGGTGAGGTTATGTTTCAGGCATGAAGGACATGTGATTCCGGAGGGTCTACAGATGTTGCTGTCATTCAACCTTGCTAGGGGAAATGTTGGCGGTCTTCTCCGCACACTCAAACTTCTTCAAGGTAAATTAGAGAATAAACAGTTCTCGTTTGTTGACTTCAGAAGTACAAGCAATACTATAAAGTGAATTGTCAAAGTATTGTTGATATTTTAATTAATTTGAAAATCACCATTACAGCTCTTTGGTTTGTATAACAAGATGTGGTTATATTACTTTATATTTATTTGAAACTTTTTATTTTGAATGAACAGAAACTGTTTCAAGAAAATTGTCATATATAACCTTTGGTGTAGTCAGATTTAATGAAGCATTTCTGTAACTTTACCAGATATTTCTTTTCCTGCAGAAGATCCAGAAACCATTCAGCCTTGTACAAAGCTGCTGAACAAAATGTATCAGGCCAGAGATTTATGTTGGGAGAAATCAGGTATGTGACACGGTTTTACAAACCTTCTCAGATCCATGTAGACAATAAAATGGTTGGTATTATCAATGTTTCTTAGTTGTATTGAGTTGGATTGTAAGACTGTCTTTACTGTTTTATTCATGTGTCTCTATAGGTCACCCACTACAGGTGAGTCTGGCAGGTACAGATGGAGGACAGACTGACGCCAACTCCAGTGCAGAAAATGTCCTAAATCAAGCGTGGAGCTCTCCACCAGTTCAGAGTAAGTATTGTCAAGTTGAACATACAGGAATTGTTAGCTTGATGATAGGTATAGTTTAAATCATATGTTGGTTTTCTTTGGACTTTCTAGTTTTTCTACATGAACAAATAAATCAAGTAAAAATTCCTCCATAATGTTTCTACAGATGACATAGATCTTGATGAAAGATTTCTTAAGAATGTTTCTACAGATGACATAGATCTTGATGAAAGATTTCTTAAGAATGTTTCTACAGATGACATAGATCTTGATGAAAGATTTCTTAAGAATGTTTCTACAGATGACATAGATCTTGATGAAAGATTTCTTAAGAATGTTTCTACAGCTTAAATAGAAATCTGATAAAAATTCCTTCAGATTATTTTTACATCTTAAATAGAGAAAAATTCTTTTCTTCTTTATTTTCTTATTATATATTTGTTTTATTCTGTATAAACATGGAAGTTGCTTCTCTAACAGCTTCCTACCTGTCAGCTGAAGGTCACACAAAGGTCAATATGATATTCAAGTCTTCAGAGTATGTTCAGCTTACAAGACTTAGGATCAAGGTAATTAAAGGTCTTAATATTCCCTCATTTCTGGTCTCTGCTATCATACTGAAAGATTCAGACTATTTTACTGTTTTTAAAGCCATCAAACTTCAGTAGAGTTGGCATTAGTTTCCATTTTAATAGCTTGAAGATCATGCTTGTCGACTTTTGACCTTAAAAAATGAGAATTTTATTGCAAGTTGTACATTTATTTTTACCATGTTGTTGCTTTTAGACATTGAACATCTATAGTCATCACCATAATCTGGAACTTCATTACTTCTTTACAAAAAACCGATAACACACCTCTGTGAGAGGGATGAAACGTGTTTTGAAATTTTGTATATAAAATCAACCAATTAAATAGCAGATGTCAGTATCTCATAAGATCACACATTTCATCTTTTAGAATTCTGAACTACTTTTTTCACATATTACATCACCTTTTGTCTGTTTGAATGAAAATGGTATGCCTATCTTGTACGGTTAAAGTTGCCTCTCATTGTCCATCCTTTCAAAGTTTTATACATGTTTAATGTGTGACAAGGTCTTTTTACTATGACTTGTCTAAAATTGTTAAATTACTTTCGTTCTTCTATGAAAAAAAATGCCAGTGTTGCTAAGAGGATCATAATACATTTAAAAGGGCAACAGATTACCTACCATGTTTAAAACCAGAAGTGCTTAAGTTTCATTTTTGAATGACATGTCTGTGCACTCAGTCTTCGAAAGATAGTTTCTTACACGATTTATTTAAATGATCATTGAAAAATTTTTCAGATTTGAAAAGTGTATTATGACAATAAATAAAGGATGTTCATTGAAAATCTTATTAAATTTTTTTTTAACGAAACGATACTTGACAAGTCTAGAGCAGCTGTCTTTGTATGGTAAAGTCTTCGTTCATAATCATGGATGAGAAACACCCAAGAGTAGGGAAGATGATGGGAAAATGAATAATAAGGGGGCACCAAACTACATAGATGTGATCAAAGTGGTGCATAGATTTTGTCATTTAATTTGTGCTAATAATGGTTTGTAACAGTTTCAAGATTGGTGACATTTCTGATTGTGCACCATTGGAAGCAAGCATTTCCATAATATTTAGAGTGAGTATAGAATATCTGAATCTGTGGATATACATAAAACTCATCAGTTAAACACATACACAGTGTATTTAAAAACTAAAATGTACAGTGCTCAAATACATCTTGAATTGATGTAATGTTGTTAATGATATATCCAATCAGGTTATGATCTAGAATTGCTCTGTTGTTAGTAACCAATAATTATAACTGATCCTTGATGTTGAAATCTCCACCATGTCATGCCCAGCGATCACATTGTCCATGGTGTAAATTCTAGAGTCACACTTGACAAGGCCCAATCAGTAATTACCTCTCCAGTCATACTTATCTGGGTAAGGCTATAGATGTATAGAACCTCCATACAGTATCACCAGGGTGATCACTAAGGAGCACAATTCTACTGCCATTTTCCTTGTCATTGCTTCATTTATTAAAATAAATGAGTGATAATGAAAAATGTGTATGTGAGAAATAGGACATTTTGACATGTGTTTTCTGCAGGGGTTTTTTTCTTGCCATACTGACATGCCGCTCCATATTTCAATTTATCTTGCACAGCACCTATGAGTGCCCTCAGTACTTTGAATAAATGTAGCTAAAATTTGCGGTCGTCTTCAATAAGAAAGGTTTAAAGTTTTGATATGTTTGCAATATGTTTCAGGTTGTAAGTGGGATGAAAGGAGCGAGACGTGGCTTTGTCTTCGTGTATAGAGACAGGTGACATTCAGAAATAATTATTTATTGGAGGAAAATTAAACACAATGAGAATAAAAAGCTGTAATACATATCCTCAAAATACAGGTCTATTTATAATATATATGACTGGTTAGTAACAGTTCTAGGGTTTTATCTCGGCTACAACAGATTCATGGACTGCAGAGTGTGATATCTACTTTTCTGATGGTGATTGTGACAATGTCATATATAGTATAGTTAATATTACCATAATAACATCTGAAAGTTTAGGTTTACAGGTAATATTACCACAAAGCTGTGGTGTTACATCTGATAATGGCCTTCTTTACAAGTGTCATATTCTGAATTTTAATTATCATCTTTTCTATTAATTCATTAATTTGGTTGATGAAATGCCATGATAAAACTTTATATCCCACTCATTTTTAAAATCAGTAAATAATATAAGCATTATCACTAGGGAAACATTACACCAAAAAGCACCACAAACTCCTCAAACATTTTTCAGTGTAATTTTGTAGATATATTAACAAATTTGGATACAAGTGCTATCATAGAGATGTTCAAAGTGAAACAGGCCAAATATCAAATTATTTGTAATCCTTATTAATATATATTTGCTGTTTTTACCTGAAGTGTAATTTTACTTGGGGGTTGTGAAAGCTCAGTCAGTAGGGGATTGACCTAAGTAACCGCAGGTGAAGAACCAATGTACGTGGTCTGACACTCACATCTTGTGACTGAGAAACAGACCGGTTTGTGCTGTCATTGTTGTGTCCTTTTTCCTAATTGTTCTGGATGGCACATAATGGGCCTCCTGTGTATTGTTCAGTGAGGTAGCCACCAGCTACTACAAGGAGCCCCAGCCTCCAGATGATTCTGACTCTTCATGGGGTGATAAACTCGGTTAACAAATAAAAGATAAGTGTATTTGAAGATGATGACGATTGGAATGGAACAAAACTGCCTTGTGCTATAGTAGTTAGTTGTTGTGTTGCAAATTACTGTCTGTTAAGGACTGTACTATTTTTACAAAACTTGTCAAATTTCAGCAAGGAGTTTGAGATGGCCTCCCAGATAGATCGGTTTCAGGCCTATGACAACTGGGGCAGGATAGACTATGAATTTTGTGTACAAGTCAGGTCAGTATAATGGTAGACATTTGTCAGTATATTGGAAAGTTGTGAAACTAGAAAGTTATTATGTTACAATGTCAACAGTTCTGATGATTTCAACATCTGAAATGAAGTGTTTTACCCAGTAAATAAAAATGGCTATGCTGTTACGTATGAAACAAGTCCAGATATTTCAAACATTCCTGTAATGAATCATGGTAGAATAGAAAAAAAAAACTGGAGGATCATTAAAATGGTTTTGGTTTTCTATCAAATATACATACTAATTTCTTTTCATTTTCTTCAACACTTCCATTTTTGTATTTTATTTTGTAAAAACAAAAATGTCTAGCAGGTTAGGTTGCTTTTTGATGTTGACCTCTGACCTTACCCTTACTGAATAATTAATGAGATCAGAATGATTTCTTGTTACTGGTTGGTAGATATTGTATGGTTTATGACCAGATTGGTACACCAACCACAACCTTGATATATGACTTTACTAAATGGTGAATCTTGACTGGTGTAGGGTATGTCTTCCATATTATTCAATATCCTGTTTAACTTTATACAGAAATGCTAGAAAAATTGGTAAACCAGACAACCCGGTGGCCTACTTTACTTTTGAGGATGATTGGTAAGTAACATATACCTGGATAAAAAAGTAACCCTAAAGAATTATTCTGTCTGTAATGTGAATCAATCCTTCTCTCCTTGTCGAAAAAAGTTAGAACTTGGACTTGATTGTGTTGCATAAAGTTTACAGAACCAGTATAACTCAGAAACAATATTTCCCTTATAAACATATTATATTGTATCAATTTTGGAAACATCAGACTCACATTTTCCTGTTGAGGATAGAAATTCTTTCTTTGTTGACAGTGATGAGGTGGAAATACCTGTGTCTTGGCATCCTGTCGGTCAGGTAAGTAAGAAGAGTTTTTTCTAAGCTCACCTGAGTGTCATAATATGCTGATTTTGCTGTATAAATGATTTCTTCCCCAAGGGGCACGGGGGAAGGGGCCCAATAGGGGGAATAGAGCAAATTTTTAGCTCACTATCATCAGTTGGTGGGCTATTCAAATCGCCCTACGTCCATTGTCTGTGGTCTGTCCATCTGTAAACAATTTTTGTTATAGCTATTTCTTGAGAAGTACAAGATGGATCTTTTTCAAATTTCATATGTAGGTTTCCATTTGTCCCTAGTTGTGTCCATTCGATTTTGGGTCTGATCAAAAAAACAAAATGACTGATAAGTGGCCATCTTGGATTTTGACTTTGAAAGTTGGTTATCTCTATTTCTTTAGAAGTACTTAATGGATCTTCCTTAAAAAGGGAAAATAGAGCAAATTTTTGGTGCACCATCATCAGACGGTGGACTTTTCAAATCGTCCTACATCCATGCTCTGTGGTCCGTCCATCCGTAAACAGTTTTAGTCCACAAATTGCTCTGCCTCCGTGGTCAGTCCATCTATCCGTAAATAATTTTTGTTTTCTGGAGAAGTACTGGATAGATCTTTCTCAAATTGCAAATGTAGCTTCCCCTTGGTCCCTAGTTGCGCCAGATTGATTTTGAGACTTATCAGAAAAATGAAATGGCCGACAGATCTTAAATTTTGAATTCAAAAGTTTGTTATCACTCTTTCTTGAGAACTACTCTCTAGATCTTTCTCAAATTTCTTGTATAGGTTCCTTTAGGTCCCTTGCTGTGCCTGTTTGCGTTTAGGACTGAAGAGAAAAACAAAATGTCTGACAAGCAGTTTTCTTGGATTTCACCTAGTAAAGATTGTTATTCCTATTTCTTAAGAAGTATTGAACGAAACACTCTCAAATTTCATACATATGTTCCCTTTGGTCTCTGCTTGTGCCCGTTTGATTTAGGGACTAATCAGAAGAAACAAAATGGCTTCCAGGTGACCATTTTGGATTTTGCAGGTAAAGATTATCATGGCTATTTCTGGAAAGGAAATTTCTTATCATTAAGAGCAAAAACATAGAAGAGAAAAGAAAAGATGGGAAAAGCTCCAACATTCTAAGAACAAATGGATATTAAACAATGGTTGGTGCCAAGATTTCTCTTGATTCTCTTGTTGAAAATTATACTCCTCTCGTAGCAAACATTAGATTTTGGCCAAACTTGGTCTGAACCTTTTTTTGGTGAAAGAGAAACAATTTTGTATAAACAGTCTGTCTCAGCCACCTTGGGCAGGAGGGATGGGGCCCAACAGAAGACATAGAACAAAGTCTTTAAAAATCCTTCTTCAGGAATGATTAGATGTTGCCCCAGTTTGATCTGAAGCATCCTTAGATGAAGAGAAATCAATTTTGTATAAATTGTGGTTCTCAAACCCTTGGTGTCACAATAGGGAAATAGAACAAATTCTTTTGTTGTTTTTACTCTTATAAATTATTGAAATTTGTCACACTTTTGGTCTCCATCATTCTCAGTTCAGGGAACTTAATTTTGTTTAAACAGTGCATTTGATACCCATGGGGTAGAGGAGTGGAGCCTAATAGGAGAAATGGATATAAACATTTAAAATGCTTTTCATTGAGTTAAGATGAAGCATTTACAGCAAACTAAACCAGTTGAGTGATACAGGTCCTATGAGCCTCTTTTTATGGCTCATCATAAAGGCGTTCAGTTGGTGATAGAAATAAGTTACTGAAGTATCCGACTGTTATACCAGTTCTTCTGCCTTCAGAAATCATCTTCAAATTTGATGTTTTACAGTATATTCTGGTTAAGTTCCTGGAGCCAAGGCATGAGAGTGCAAACAAGATTGGTGTGATTGGAATAAAGTTCTATGGCTTTATACGAAAGTCAGTTCTCGTGGATGATGATGAATCTAAGGTATGTACATATCTGAGAGGAAAACAAGTACATGTTTGATAGGATTATAAACATGAAAGTACAACATGACTAAGAATTTCCTTGTGTTTTAGGGCACTGTATAAGGTCTGTATGTATGTGTTAGTATCGTAGCTACTTACTGTTCTAGTATGTCATGTTTGAGAGCATTGATTTTTTTTATAAATGGTTGGATTGTAATGTAAAATTTTTATATTGGACCTGTGGACAATTCAAGCAACATGAGACTGAAATGAGTTTCTCTTTTCTTTTTCCCTCACAAATTCAGCATAAATGATAAGGTACTAGTTTTTATGGGGACACAGATCAATAAAGAGTTAAATAACAAACTTTAAGGTATAAAACTATATAAGGAAACATACGTCCCCAGCATATCTCACAGGATACTGATTGTGACTTGACATCCCCAGCACATCTCACAGGAAACTGATTGTGACTTGACATCCCTAGCATATCTTACAGGAAACTTGTGACTTTACGTCCCCAGCATATCTCACAGGAAACTGATTGTGACTTTATATCCCCAGCATATCTTACAGGAAACTTGTGACTTTACGTCCCCAGCACATCTCACAGGAAACTGATTGTGACTTTATATCCCCAGCATATCTCACAGGAAACTGATTGTGACTTTATATCCCCAGCACTTCTCACAGGAAACTGATTGTGACTTTATATCCCCAGCACATCTCACAGGAAACGGATTGTCACTCTATATCCCCAGCATATCTCACAGGAAACTGATTGTGACTTTATATCCCCAGCATATCTTACAGGAAACTTGTGACTTTACGTCCCCAGCACATCTCACAGGAAACTGATTGTGACTTTATATCCCCAGCATATCTCACAGGAAACTGATTGTGACTTTATATCCCCAGCACTTCTCACAGGAAACTGATTGTGACTTTATATCCCCAGCACATCTCACAGGAAACGGATTGTCACTCTATATCCCCAGCATATCTCACAGGAAACTGATTGTGACTTTATATCCCTAGCACATCTCACAGGAAACTGATTGTGACTTTATATCCCCAGCACATCACACAGGAAACTGATTGTGACTTTATATCCCCAGCACATCTCACAGGAAACTGATTGTGACTTTATATCCCCAGCATATCTCACAGGAAACTGATTGTGACTTTATATCCCCAGCATATCTCACAGGAAACTGATTGTGACTTTATATCCCCAGCACATCTAATAGGAAACTGATTGTGACTTTATATCCCCAGCACATCTCACAGGAAACTGATTGTGACTTTATATCCCCAGCATATCTCACAGGAAACTGATTGTGACTTTATATCCCCAGCACATCTCACAGGAAACTGATTGTGACTTTATATCCCCAGCACATCTCACAGGAAACTGATTGTGACTTTATATCCCCAGCATATCTCACAGGAAACTGATTGTGACTTTATATCCCCAGCACATCTCCCAGGAAACTGATTGTGACTTTACGTCCCCAGCATATCTCACAGGAAACTGATTGTGACTTTATATCCCCAGCACATCTCACAGGAAACTGATTGTGACTTTATATCCCCAGCATATCTTACAGGAAACTGACTGTGACTTTATATCCCCAGCACATCTCACAGGAAACTGATTGTGACTTTATATCCCTAGCACATCTCACAGGAAACTTGTGACTTTATATCCCCAGCATATCTCACAGGAAACTGATTGTGACTTTATATCCCCAGCATATCTCACAGGAAACTGATTGTGACTTTATATCCCCAGCACATCTAACAGGAAACTGATTGTGACTTTATATCCCCAGCACATCTCCCAGGAAACTGATTGTGACTTTACGTCCCCAGCATATCTCACAGGAAACTGATTGTGACTTTATATCCCCAGCACATCTCACAGGAAACTGATTGTGACTTTATATCCCCAGCATATCTTACAGGAAACTGACTGTGACTTTATATCCCCAGCACATCTCACAGGAAACTGATTGTGACTTTATATCCCTAGCACATCTCACAGGAAACTTGTGACTTTATATCCCCAGCATATCTCACAGGAAACTGACTGTGACTTTACGTCCCCAGCATATCTCACAGGAAACTGATTGTGACTTTACGTCCCCAGCATATCTCACAGGAAACTTGTGACTTTATATCCCCAGCAGATCTTACAGGAAACTTGTGACTTTACGTCCCCAGCACATCTTACAGGAAACTTGTGACTTTACGTCCCCAGCACATCTCACAGGAAACTTGTGACTTTATATCCCCAGCATATCTCACAGGAAACTGACTGTGACTTTATGTCCCCAGCACATCTCACAGGAAACTTGTGACTTTACGTCCCCAGCATATCTTACAGGAAACTTGTGACTTTACGTCCCCAGCACATCTCACAGGAAACTTGTGACTTTATATCCCCAGCATATCTCACAGGAAACTGACTGTGACTTTATGTCCCCAGCACATCTCACAGGAAACTTGTGACTTTACGTCCCCAGCATATCTTACAGGAAACTTGTGACTTTACGTCCCCAGCATATCTCACAGGAAACTTGTGACTTTACGTCCCCAGCACATCTCACAGGAAACTTATGACTTTATATCCCCAGCAGATCTTACAGGAAACTTGTGACTTTACGTCCCCAGCACATCTCACAGGAAACTTGTGACTTTACGTCCCCAGCACATCTCACAGGAAACTTGTGACTTTATGTCCCCAGCACATCTCACAGGAAACTTGTGACTTTACGTCCCCAGCACATCTCACAGGAAACTTGTGACTTTACGTCCCCAGCCAGACTTTGATTGTGTTGCAGAACTCATTAATGAGGTGTCCCATTATAAAGTTGCATCAATTAAAAACAGCAGCTTCATTAGATACAAAAGAAATAATCCAAGTGGTAATCTGGTGATTTAAGATTGCATGTCTGTGTGACAGTACAAATAGTGAAACAATAGTTGTAGCACTAAGGAAACTTTTTGTTATTGTAAAGTGAAGTTGTCAGGTGGTCGTTACCTTTGTGTGTTTTAAAGAACATGCTGATAATAGTGCATGGTATGTATAACACACACATGGATGTATTATGTGAAAAGATAAAAGGTGACCAATTGAATTCATCATCACTTGTCCAATGATTCATGTGAAGGTACTGCTTGCTGGTTAATAAGTTTGATTTGAACCTTTGTAATGTAATGGTTGAGTTACCATGTTTTTGATACATATTCCAAATAAAGTTTATGCTATGATAAACAATGTGACCCATTTATCTGACAATTAAAAATACCTGTTTCTTTTTCACTGTTGTTAATGTACATTGTTTCTGTCATTGTTTACATAGTGACTGCCTCATGTTGAAAATTTTCATGTGCTTTCATTGGCTCAATATATATCGAGGCCTTTTGAAACAATTTGAGAGGTCAAATTATAGATTCTGAATGACCTGAAATAGCACCTTGACAAAATTAGGTATGTTTATATAATTTCTGAAATGAAATCATTGACGAGGCTAGGTTGTAATGTGGTATGAGGAATTATTTTACTGGATAGGTTTCCTTGATTGACAGGTACGACATGCCCCCAGTTTGGAGAGGACCTGCACCAGTCTAGATATCATACAGTGTGTATTGGAATTCCTGGTGGATCTTTCACAGGATCAGGTAAGTATTGTGTCTCTCTCACATCATCAGGTAAGTGTCCTCTCTCACATCATCAGGTAAGTGTCCTCTCTCACAGGACCGGGTACCATCTCTAACAGGATCTTGTGAGTATCATATCACAGGGTCAGGTGATGGCTCTGAGTGAAGTATACCATGTCTGATATTGTCTCTGGGATCATGATGTAGTATCTGATATTGACAGGTTTCTGAAATATCTTGATATTGTATGATATCTAATGATTAAATGTTAACAGATGTCTCAGGTATTTCAACATTGACTTGAATTTTTTAATTTGAATTTGAGTTCAATGATTTTTATCTACCTATCTAAACTACAACATTTTCTGTTAATCTGGTAACTTTTTAGGTCACGTCCTTTAGATTAAGATTTAAACTAACTCTACTTGACAATTTTCCAGGCATCCAAACGAGGAATATCAGCAGGTCGTCCAGAGTACCTGGAGTTCACTGACACACCTCTGGACACCATTTGGGAGCTTTACAACTCCTTCAGAGAAAGGTCAGAATCCTCATATCGACTGATTAGGCTTGTTTTGGATAGAAGACATCATATTTAATTATGTAGAATGGGATTGGTGAGACTTTTAAAGCAATAAGGAGATAAGATAGTATAATTTAATCAAGCCTGGGGAGGATACATAGTAAAATAAGTATCTTATATCATTACACCCCCTCCTCAGTAAAGGGGGGTATACAGTAATCACTATTTCTGTCCCTCACTACGGGCAGAGGTCCATCCATCTTCATGTACCCCTTGTGTCTGTGCATGCAAGCTTGTGTGTGTCTCATGAACCTGTAGGTTATATTAACACCATTAAGTTCTACACCTGATTAGAATTGGCAGTCATCAGTAGAGGTTAAAGGTCACCATTGACCAAACAAAAAGTTTGTAAGATATATCATGAATCCAACAACAAAAGAGAAGATCAGGGAGTAGGGGTTTATCTTTGTGAGTTTTGCTGACTTTGTTTTTATCATTTGTCCAGGCCTGGGGAAAAGTGGCAGACATGTGCCTTATTGACCCTGCAGCTGTTGTACTGTCTACTGCCCACAATGTCCTCCTTGTCTGGGGAGAGAAAGGTAAATGGCTACCTACTAACATTTATTATTACATATTGATGATTGCAATGATATGTCTCCTACTAAAACTGAAATCAGCTGTGATATTACTACTTATATTTAACCTCATGTAATAACACCACTGGGTAGAGGTCGAAGTCTACTATAGTTTTTTTAGGAAAATTGGAAAATTTGAGAATAAATTTGTTTATATTTCATTGGATATAACTTGGTAAGAATTATTGGTATAGAATCGCAGTCGTACCTCTATGAATATATTGACACTGACTGACCGCCAAGGGCTTTAAACATATCATTGAAGTCTTACTAACATCAATGTCACAACTTCTTATTCATTACACTTGAAAGCTACTTAAACTATAACATTTCTATTCAATATTGTTTACCTCTGGTGACCTTTACGACTGCTATACCTCTTGGTCTTGACCTCAGGTAGTTTGTGAAATTATCATGTTATCTTCTCTTTGTTATTAGGTTGCTGCAGAAGCCTTGTTTCAGCACCTTTGTAAAGTCATTGATGGACCAGAGAAGGATGAGAGTCCCAAACTGTACAAGCTTTGTCGTCAACTCATCATAGATGGTTAGACTCTCCAATATAAAGTGTCTTTTATTGGTCCTCCACTAGGAACCAGAGGGACTATAGTTTTGTGCTTTGTCTGGCCGTCCCTCTGCTATCTTGTTATTTACCTTTGTGTGGCAGTGTGGCATGTGTCAAAAATAGGACATTCTTGCATACATTTTGATATTTGACCTAAATCAAAGAAACATTTGTTGTGCTCTGTTTTCTACACTACTCGTCACTGGAACTTCATTTTTGGGGTATGGGTTCACCTTGCTGAGGCGATGTGTCTAGACTTACATCAAATGAAAAGTTTAATTTTCATGTAATTTTACATTTGGTGGGGGGCATATTCATCAAATTGTCTTTTTATAATTAAATTGTAGATAGAAATGAAAAGACCATGTAAACACCTGGACAATGATTATCCTCTGTCATCTAGAGATGTTGCAGTGCCTTCCTCTTTACACCCTTGCCTCAATATCTTCCCTCTACACTGTGATATTCTTCTGTCATCTACAGGTGCTGCTGTATTCTTTCCTGACAAAGACACAAGAAGGAAGCAGTTATTTAGTATGATGCAGAATGTTGAGGTAAGTTATTCTGTAAAGAAAAAGCCCTTTGTCTGTTGTCCATGGTCTGACCATCCATCCGTCATCCTTCAATCCTTAAACAGTTTTTATTATTACTATTTCTTGAGAAGTACTGGATGTATCTTTCTCAAATTTCATATGTAGGTTTCCTTCATCACTAATTGTGCCTGTTTAATTTTGAGACTGATAAGAAAAACAAAATGGCTGAAAGATGGCCATCTTGGATTTTGACTGAAAGATTGTTATTGCTATTTCTTGAGAACAACTACATAGATCTTTCTGCACTTTTTATGTGTATGTTCCTCTTGATCTGTAGTTGTTTTTATTTCTACATGAATTCAAACACTTTCCTTTTGTTGCTGCTGAAAGCCTGAAGTAATTAGAATATCAGAATTGATAAGGTGTAATAAGTTCATAACTGAACACCATACACCTTTTAGTGATTGTCACAATTATGATGGTATTCTGCCGTTGGAGCAATATCTCTATTGTTTTCCTGGAGAGTTTTGTGACTTAGAATTAAAATGGTATTTCATTTATAACTTCTTTTATTTAACCTTAGGACAAATTTTATTGATCTGATAATGGCTTTATCATTCTGGTAATGAGTTAAGATTTTATTTGAATCTGTGTTCAGTTGATTGAGTCGATTGATTTACATGTTATCTTTGTTACTGGTAACATGTTTGTATGATACAGAGTCTCTCTGAGGCACCATCGGTGATGCTGGTGTTCCAGTCTCTGTGTCAATTCTTCAGCTCTGTTGATCCCAGTGGACTTCTTGACCTCCCCAAAACTCCATCAGATGTGTTGGTGAGTCTTCTATAATTGGATGTTTATCTACCTGTAACTATAATCAAATCTGCAGTCTTTTTTAAAGAAGCAAATTTTGGAGATACATGTAGCATTAAAAAATAAATAAAAGGTCAGATGATGTGTCTGTCTATCCTCCCGCCTGTTTGGTTATTTGCCTTTCTACTATCTGTTTGTCAATACTTTAGTGGCAATTTTCAGGTGAGATAATGCCCCTTGTAAATCAGTTCCTGGTTGGTGTATCCAAAGAGATAATGCCCCAAGTTCCTGGTTGGTGTATCTAGAGAGACGGTGCCAACTGCTACAATATTCTTTGATGTTTAGAGGTTGCCTATATAATACTTCAAACAAAATTAATTTATCATGTTGTGGTAATTGAGATCTGACTTCTATTACAGACATTTCACATTGACCCAGTGCTGGAAATAATGGAGACAATGATAAACGTCACATTCCACGAGTTTTGTCTGATGATGGAGCGGGGACACAGCCATGAACAGGTTGTGCATCTTCTCCAGCTTGTGTCTTCACTACAGACGTCTCTTCTGGCTTGGGCATGGTCACAGATGGCTCCTGATGAAGTTGACAGTGCCAAGACAACTCCCAACAACATGGCAGATATCAAGTCTGTCTGTTCTCAGGTCGCCACTCAGTGTAAGTGACAAGTCTCTCTGTTCTCAGGTCACTGTGCAGTGTAAGTGATAAGTATGTCTGTTCTTAGGTCACCATTTGCTGTAAGTGACAAGTCTGTCTGTTCTCAGGTCACCACTCAGTGTAAGTGACAAGTCTGTCTGTTCTCAGGTCGCCACTCAGTGTAAGTGATAAGTCTGTCTGTTCTCAGGTCGCCACTCAGTGTAAGTGACAAGTCTGTCTGTTCTCAGGTAACCACACAGTGTAAGTGACAAGTCTGTCTGTTCTCATGTCACCACTCAGTGTAAGTGATAAGTCTGTCTGTTCTCATGTCACCACTCAGTGTAAGTGACAAGTCTCTCTGTTCTCAGGTAACCACACAGTGTAAGTGACAAGTCTGTCTGTTCTCACTGTGCAGTGTCACTGTCTGTTCACAAGTCTGTCTGTTCTCAGGTCACTGAGCAGTGTAAGTGACAAGTCTGTCTGTTCTAAGGTCACCACTCAGTGTAAGTGACAAATCTGTCTGTTCTCATGTCACCACTCAGTGTAAGTGACAAGTCTGTCTGTTCTCAGGTCGCCACTCAGTGTAAGTGACAAGTCTGTCTGTTTTCAGGTCACCACTCAGTGTAAGTGACAAGTCTGTCTGTTCTCAGGTCACCACTCAGTGTAAGTGACCACTCAGTGTAAGTGACAAGTCTGTCTGTTTTCAGGTCACCACTCAGTGTAAGTGACAAGTCTGTCTGTTCTCAGGTCACCACTCAGTGTAAGTGACAAGTCTCTCTGTTCTCAGGTCGCCACTTAGCGTAAGTGATAAGTCTGTCTGTTCTCAGGTCACCACTCGGTGTAAGTGACAAGTCTCTCTGTTCTCAGGTCACTGTGCAGTGTAAGTGACAAGTCTGTCTGTTCTCAGGTCACCACTCAGTGTAAGTGACAAGTCTGTCTGTTCTCAGGTCACCACTCGGTGTAAGTGACAAGTCTCTCTGTTCTCAGGTCACTGTGCAGTGTAAGTGACATGTCTGTCTGTTCTCAGGTCGCCACTCAGTGTAAGTGACAAGTCTGTCTGTTCTCAGGTAACCACACAGTGTAAGTGACAAGTCTGTCTGTTCTCAGGTCACCACTCAGTGTAAGTGACAAGTCTCTCTGTTCTCAGGTAACCACTCAGTGTAAGTGACAAGTCTGTCTGTTCTCAGGTCACCACCCAGTGTAAGTGACAAGTCTGTCTGTTCTCAGGTCACTGTGCAGTGTAAGTGACAAGTCTGTCTGTTCTCAGGTCACCACTCAGTGTAAGTGACAAGTCTGTCTGTTCTCAGGTCACTGTGCAGTGTAAGTGACAAGTCTGTCTGTTCTAAGGTCACCACTCAGTGTAAGTGACAAATCTGTGCAGTGTGTAAGTGACAAGTCTGTTCTCAGGTCACCACTCAGTGTAAGTGACAAGTCTGTCTGTTCTCAGGTCACTGTGCAGTGTAAGTGACAAGTCTGTCTGTTCTCAGGTCACCACTCAGTGTAAGTGACAAGTCTGTCTGTTCTCAGGTCACCACTCAGTGTAAGTGACAAGTCTCTCTGTTCTCAGCTCACTGTGCAGTGTAAGTGACAAGTCTGTCTGTTCTCAGGTCACCACTCAGTGTAAGTGACAAGTCTCTCTGTTCTCAGGTCACTGTGCAGTGTAAGTGACAAGTCTATCTGTTCTCAGTCACTGTGCAGTGTAAGTGATAAGTATGTCTGTTCTTAGGTCACCATTTGGTGTAAGTGACAAGTCTGTCTGTTCTAAGGTCACCACTCAGTGTAAGTGACAAGTCTGTCTGTTCTCAGGTCACCACTCAGTGTAAGTGACAAGTCTGTCTGTTCTCAGGTCACCACTCAGTGTAAGTGACAAGTCTGTCTGTTCTCAGGTCACCACTCAGTGTAAGTGACAAGTCTCTCTGTTCTCAGGTCGCCACTTAGCGTAAGTGATAAGTCTGTCTGTTCTCAGGTCACCACTCGGTGTAAGTGACAAGTCTGTCTGTTCTCAGGTCACCACTCGGTGTAAGTGACAAATCTGTCTGTTCTCATGTCACCACTCAGTGTAAGTGATAAGTCTGTCTGTTCTCAGCTCACCACTCAGTGTAAGTGACAAGTCTGTCTGTTCTCAGGTCACCACTCGGTGTAAGTGATAAGTCTGTCTGTTCTCAGGTCACCACTCAGTGTAATTGACAAGTCTGTCTGTTCTCAGGTCACCACTCGGTGTAAGTGATGAGTCTGTCTGTTCTCAGGTCACTATACAGTGTAAGTGATGAGTCTGTCTGTTCTCAGGTCACTATGCAGTGTAAGTGACAAGTCTGTCTGTTCTCAGGTCACCACTCAGTGTAAGTGACAAGTCTGTCTGTTCTCAGGTCACCACTCAGTATAAGTAACAAGTCTGTCTGTTCTCAGCTCACCACTCAGTGTAAGTGACAAGTCTGTCTGTTCTCAGGTAACCACACAGTGTAAGTGACAAGTCTGTCTGTTCTCAGGTCACCACTCAGTGTAAGTGACAAGTCTGTCTGTTCTCAGGTCACCACTCGGTGTAAGTGATGAGTCTGTCTGTTCTCAGGTCACTATGCAGTGTAAGTGACAAGTCTGTCTGTTCTAAGGTCACCACTCAGTGTAAGTGACAAGTCTGTCTGTTCTCAGGTTGCCACTCAGTGTAAGTGACAAGTTTGTCTGTTCTAAGGTCACTGCAGTGAAAGAGACAACTGTCTGCTTAAAACTTATTAACGTCTCTTTGCCACTCAATGCGAACTCAACAGATTTCATTCTCCTGGTATCAGACCATGTTAACTGCATTTCTTATTGGTTTGTAAAGTTTGACTTCAATAAACTTGTTTCAGATTCTGGCTTCGTCGCAGATAGGGCTACTGAAGCATGTAAACTGATGCAGAAAAAGAATGTGGAGAAAGTAGTGAGTGAAGCATTGTTATTATTGATAATTTATTGTATAATTTATATAAATGTATTTAACTGTCTAATACAGGATGATTATTTTGGCAGTGATTATCATTACAATACAGTTACTTGTACTTGGATGAAAGGTATCATTAACAACAATCTGTATGACTCTGAGAGTTTGTTTTCAAAAATCTTATCAATCTATATAAATAGACGGAGCTGATTGGACCTGCTGAAACTTCTCTCCTTGGCACAGTTGTGAGGCAGTTGGTAAGTCACTGAAACCTCACCTGATTGACAGGTTGTTTGATTCGCAGTGAAGTGTCATTGCCAATATTTTAAAATAAGATTTCATATCCTTTGAGAAAGATAACAAAATTCCCTCTCTGCAAATTATCTGAAATCAATTTTCTAACACTTACTCAGACAATAGTGGTGGGAAGATTACTCATCAGGTGTGATATATATAACCTACTTACATGAAAAGTAATACACCTTTTACAAATAAATCTTCCACTTGTGTAGACCTTGATCTTGATGTACTTGTGTATTTGACCTTTAGAACTCTGTTTCTGTAGGTATTGACCTTGACCTACTTGTGTGATTACTGTGACTCGGAATCACGAGTTGTGCTGATACAGAAGTTCCAGCCGTTGGCCCAGGAATTGCAAAAACTTGCCAGTTCACTTCCCACACTTTTCCCCAATGTAAGTTGTTGACATATGCCAGTTGTCCCACGGACAGTGTCAACAGGTTTTAACATATCTACCTATACAAATCACATTAAGGATCTATCCTCCAGTCTGTTGTAATTCTGATTGTTTGCTCCGATTACTGATGTTGTCTACCTCTTGTTACAGATCAGCAGTGAACACTGGGATACAGTCCAGACAGAGGACATTGTACTCAGGACTTGGGAGGTAGAATCTTCACACAGCTACGAGAATAATCAACACCTTACTCAGGTAAGTAGAATTCAGTGATAAAGCGACATATCAACATGACTTAGAGAAAAACATGTTTCGGTTCATGACTTCGAGAAAAGGATGATTTGTTTAATGACTTTGAGAAAATGATGTTTTGGGTCATGACTTAGGTGAAAAATACATTAATTTAAATTCAAGGTTACCATTAAACCAGTTATATTTGAACCAGTATTTAATATAAAAAAAAAACTTTTACAATAAATTATATATGAGAATTTTTCCATGATTGTTGAAATATCCAGGTGAACAGTTCAGGCTTCTTGAGCCTCTTGTTTTCTATCTGGGAGTGAAAATATCAGCTGTACAAAACATTCCAGGTGACATACAGTTTAAGTTTTGTCAACACATTTTATAACTTGTTTACTAGATATGGATTTTCAAATTCATTAGAAAAGTAATCAATTTCATATTCATATGATATTCAAACTTGGTGTTGTATTATGATTTCAGGTTTTCAGCTGCCCCGGTGCTGATAAATTCATGGTGGACTTTGACACCAGATGTGAAACAGAGCGAAGGTATCAACTTTGAAGGCGAATGCCTTTATCCTCTGCTGATATTTGTAATAATTGTAAACAGAGATATGGTTTACAGGTATTAAGATGTAAATCCAAATTTATTTTATGTATGTCTGTGAATTCTGTTACATTCTAATTACAGGTATGACTACTTAGTATTTACTGATGCTAAAGGCTTACAAATGAGGTTTGACCAGAAAGTCGGCACACCCAAGTGGCCACGTCAGATCAATTTCAGTGGGCCACACCTCCACTTCCTGTTTCACTCAGACAGCAGTAACACAGAGTGGGGATATAAATTTAAAGTAAGGGCAATACCATTCTACTTCAGGGTAGAACATCATGTAATATGTTATTTTATCCAGTCATGAAAGAAGAATTTTGTTTATCTTTATAATTTTTCACAAAATGAACTCAGGTGGTCCAAATGAGCTTGTGTTATGGCACTCTGTGATACAAGATTGAAAACCATGTGGTGAAGCATAGTTACAGCTTGATATATAGGGAAAATTAAAAGACATTATTTAATAGTCAGGTTGACATTGTGTAATGTAAATGATGAGAATCTTGATGTAAACCTAACATGTATCATTACCTAGGTGACGGCGAGGGGTAGCCCTGACATTCCCTTATCATGGCCTTTTGATCTTCAGCTCAGCCTTACAAAGATGCTTGGTCGAATGTGTGGATGTACACTCAACTCCCACCCATGTAAGTTTTCTTGGTATCAGAAACAACTATAGATTTTGTCTTTACTTATCAGGTAATCTTTTTGTAAAGTTATTAATCAAACTTCTTTCCTGGCCCTTGCACTGACAGGTTGTTAGCTTCTTCAATGTAAATCAAGAGGGTTTTTGAAACATTTAATATTTCTATTTGGAATCCTAAATCTCCTTTATAAGATAAAGTTCTAACTTATTGAAAAAGTTTATTTACTGGATCTTCTGTCAAGGACTCTTGTAGAGTAAATATTAAGCTTGAAAGGAAGAACTTATTGACACTGTAATCTGTGTCTGACATGTCTACGTTAGATATTAAATGAGTTTGGTTTGTTGCACAGATTCTGACAAAGACCCTCTGATGAATGCGGAGGAGACAGCAGAACAGGATGTACTCAGGAGTGAGTTGTGGACAACATTGTTCAGAGGAGGTTATATGGTCGGCAAGATACAAAGATCTCTCTCAGGAAAATTTGTAAGTACATATTTGTTATAACATTCAAATAATTCTCCTGAAGGATCTTGTGGGTTTTAATCCTTTGAGATCATTTAAACAGGCTGCATGCACTTTAAAATCACTTATGAACCTTAATATATAATGACATACAGACATAGCAGACATGAAGATATGAATACTATCTTGCTATGAGGATTGGCCACGAAGTTTTGCCTGGCCCAAGTGACGCGACTGGCTATAAAGCCTCATCAAGGTCTCGCCAGGTCGTACAGCCAGGATCTAGCCTGGCCCCATGATCCAACCTAGCCATACAGTCTTGTCCAAGGTCTAGTCTGGACCCATGATCCAACCTAGCCATACAGTCTTGTCCAAAGTCTATCTGGACCCATGATCCAACCTAGCCATACAGTCTTGTCCAAGGTCTAGTCTGGACCCATGATCCCACCCAGCGTCTCGTCTGACCTTATATTATGACCCTGAGTCTCGCCTGACCATGGCCATTTGATCTCACCAAAGGTCCCGCTTGGCTCCAGCATCTTGTTCCTAAGGTCTAACACAGGTTTTTCTCCTTTGTTACCAGGTAACAGAAGATAGTGGAGGACATGTTCTGGAATTTCTGTGGAAGCTTGTCAACAGAGAAGAAGATCTACCCGCAAAATTTCTTGATAAGTATGTATGTTTTTTTTATATTGACAAGAAACTTATTAGGGTGATACCAGTACAAGAATTAGCAAATGTTTTTTAATCTGATAATACATTTGTTATTTGACAGGTGTAAGGAGGTCAGTAAGTGTCTCCAGGTGGGAGGTGATGCTGTGGAATCAGCTGTGGTGGCTGTGTTTGCTGCACTTGTATGGCACACACAACAGCTGAGGGAAGACCTCAGTAAATATGGTAATCCTTCATCTTATACATACAGCACTCTAGACAGCATGTTCAGACTAGTGATAAAATGGAAATTGTTCACTAATTGATTAAAACAGGTCAAGATTTATCCCCCTTATTATTAAACAGTTACAAAGTCTACACATTAACGCCTTTGATTTTTAGATGTGATATAACAACATTGGGTTCTGTGTTTGTGATGTCTACATTAGCTTGGTACTATTGTATATTATGATTTTGATGAGAATTTTGACTGATTTAATTTCAACAGTGGAGGCTAATGGGGAGGCAGTTATCAGTGACGGCATCCATCAGGCTTACACGGCTGCAGAGACACTCCGAATGCAACTGGTCAGTGATATAATAGTGTGTCTGTAGCAGGCATGACACTTAAAACTGGAGTATCAAGTAAAATAGGAACACATATACACTGGAAAAAAAAATTTATATCAAAGGTCATCTGCATTTATCTTTTGTGTTCAGTTTAGACAGAAATTTACAATTTATCATTAATAACACTTTTTTGAAATTAACAGAAGATTATCATTAATCATAGTTAATTGCATGATCTCATGCCTGTGATATTTTCCCCAGCTTACATTACGTCAGCGTGCTCTCACTAATAATGAGAAGAAGAATGAGGACGCAGATGATCCAGGTAAATTTATCATTCTTTTTTTGCTATGTAAAACAACATTTTACAATGCTAATCCTGTTACCTGTGACAGTGTTTTAGTTAATGAGTTACCTCCCTTGATTTAATTTCCACAATAGGTGCTTAATAAACAAAATTTCCTCTATGAAAGAGAAAATGAACACTAGATCACTAGGAATTTTCTGTTGAAGGTTGAATTATCTGATGTAACTTATGAAAAGTGTTGCCAACCAAACTTTGGTCATTTGTTCAGGACATACACGTACCATTGAGCAAAAATCTGTTTCTTGATTAATTAGCCATATTTAACATGTAATATGTTACAGGTACTTTATGTAGAGACAAGGCTCTGTTCCTCCTCAAGTTTGCTGGTCTCACCAAGGTTCAACTCAAAAATGAGGTAAAATCGTGGCTATGTGATGTTTGGTGTACCATTTGTGTTTCTGTGACATTGAAAGTTTTATGTTATGATATTTAATTGATAATAGATCAACTTATGTAACAAATACAAATTGTTGATGTTTTGACAGCTGAGGTCTAAAGCAACAAAGCAATGGAAGAAACTGTCCAATCGCAAGTCGGAAAAAGTGTTGAAAGGGGTTTGTAATTTATCTTTAGGAATTGTATTTAACTGATCATAAGGCCACAGTGGTATCAACCCATGTGATAGAGAGATTTCAAATATAGAAATGCACTATGAAACGACCTTAGAATTAAACAGTAGAGTTTAGTTAGCTCACTTTGCAAAGTTTGTAAATGCCAAGTTTATAGACTAATGAAATATCCATTCAACATGAATGAAATAGACAAAAGAAGATGTTTGTGGTAAGCATGTGTAATATATATTTTGATAAAGGGGATAAGGGGTATCATTCCATTTTGAATGTTGTCCTGTAAGTATCTGTGCTTAACTTCATGCTCAATGTTGTAAGTAAGGATTTTCTTGGATGCTATAAATGAGCAGGATTCATTTTTTTTTTATTTTTCTTAATAAATATGCTCAATCAATAATATCAAAAGATGTTTTGATGAAATATAGGAAATATGTGATTTATTTTTAGCTGGATGGCTCAGACAAGTACCCATCATTCCGATTGGTGCTGGAGTTTGTACAGGACCCTGCGTGGACCACAGAAAGGTGAGTTTGTATGGAACCCTGCCTGGACTACAGAGAGGTGAGTTAGTATGGAACCCTGTCTGGACCACAGAAAGGTGAGTTTGTATGGAACCTTGTATGGACCACAGAAAAGTGAGTTTGTACAAATTCCTGTCAGGACCACAGAAATGTGAGTTTGTACAAATTTCTGTCAGGATCACAGAAAGGTGAGTTTGTACAAATTCCTGTCAGGACTACAGAAAGGTGAGTTTGTATGGAACCTTGTATGGACCACAGAAAGGTGAGTTTGTACAAATTCCTGTCAGGACTACAGAAAAGTTTTAATGGTGTCACAATAAACATAGTGAATAAGTCGTCTCCTAATCAGCTGTTGTAGTGATTGGCTGAACCCTTAGCGAGAAACAAAGTAAGGATTAGTTTATCATCCACTCTCAGATTTGTACCACCATGTGGAAGGTGATAAAAATTCCTCCCTCAGGAGTGACTAACTATACCTGTACCAAACTCTTTACAGAGTGAATCGTATCCTACATGAACGGTCCCAACATGCCAAGGCAGTATCTGACATCTACACGTTTGTAGCTGAGTTCATCAGGATTCACCAGTGTACGGATGTCACCCACCCCTTCCAGGTCAGTTATTTCTTGTCAACTTCTCTTTTTGTTTGTATAAGAAACTGAGTAAGGTTATAATACTTCACATGTACCTGACTTGTAGGGTTTAACTTTTGTTTTTGTTTGTGTTATTACTGTAACTGTTTCCTGTTCCAGATCCCCGTCGTGTTATTCCTACAGGAGGTGTTATCATATCAGGATGGCTTTAGTAAACACTATGCAGATAGTCTAGATGGATGTGGTCTACAGCAGGAGGCACGTGTAAGACAGGCTTACTACCTCCTGGTTCGCAGACTCACAGAACCTTTCCACAGAATGCACCGCCATGATCTCAACAGGTAAGGTATATTTATCAGTGACAGGAGGAATCCATATTGCTATAACATACAGAGGTCTGGACCTAGGTCATACAGACATACTACTGTTACATAACAGGTCTGGACCAAGGTCATACAGACATACTACTGTTACATAACAGGTCTGGACCTAGGTCATACAGACATACTACTGTTACATACACAGGTCTGGACCTAGGTCATACAGACATACTACTGTTACATAACAGGTCTGGACCTAGGTCATACAGACATACTACTGTTACATACACAGGTCTGGACCTAGGTCATACAGACATACTACTGTTACATACACAGGTCTGGACCTAGGTCATACAAACATACTACTGTTACATACACAGGTCTGGACCTAGGTCATACAGCCATACTACTGTTACATACACAGGTCTGGACCTAGGTCATACAGACATACTACTGTTACATACACAGGTCTGGACCTAGGTCATACAGACATACTACTGTTACATACACAGGTCTGGACCTAGGTCATACAGACATACTACTGTTACATACACAGGTCTGGACCTAGGTCATACAGACATACTACTGTTGCATACACAGGTCTGGACCTAGGTCATACAGACATACTACTGTTACATAACAGGTCTGGACCTAGGTCATACAGACATACTACTGTTACATACACAGGTCTGGACCAAGGTCATACAGACATACTACTGTTACATACACAGGTCTGGACCTAGGTCATACAGACATACTACTGTTACATACACAGGTCTGGACCTAGGTCATACAGCCATACTACTGTTACATACACAGGTCTGGACCTAGGTCATACAGACATACTACTGTTACATACACAGGTCTGGACCTAGGTCATACAGACATACTACTGTTACATACACAGGTCTGGACCTAGGTCATACAGACATACTACTGTTACATACACAGGTCTGGACCTAGGTCATACAGACATACTACTGTTGCATACACAGGTCTGGACCTAGGTCATACAGACATACTACTGTTACATACACAGGTCTGGACTTAGGTCATACAGACATACTACTGTTACATACACAGATCTGGACCAAGGTCATACATCCATACTACTGTTACATAACAGGTCTGGACCAAGGTCATACAGACATACTACTGTTACATAACAGGTCTGGACCTAGGTCATACAGCCATACTACTGTTACATACACAGGTCTGGACCAAGGTCATACAGACATACTACTGTTACATACACAGGTCTGGACCAAGGTCGTCTAGACACACTACTCTTACATACACAGGTATTATAAGAAGTGAAACCTGTCTGTTAAAGCCATTCAAAAGTGATGGGAAAAGAGGTCTTAATAGACAGGTATCTGTAAGATACAGGTAGCTTTAAATGCTGGTTTGACTGTAATAATAAGTTTCAGGATACTCATCAATTGACTGTATGAATATATTTCAAAATTACATTTCAGGAAAATTGCTCCAGCATATGAATATGTCCAAGCCTGTTTACTACACCTCTTAGACATGGAATGGCAGGTAAGATCATCAGCTAGAATACAGACACCAAATTTTCTCAACATTTAGAAATTACAGAAATACACTGAATTGTATCTTCTTTTATGAAATACAGAAATAAAGACACCAAATTTCTCTACCTTTAATACTTAGTTCAGTTCTATCTTGGTAACTGTAATTACTAAGGAGATTGTAACTGCATCAATTCTGCTAGAGTTGCTCTTCCGTTTCATATTATTTCTACAGGGATACATCAAGGTGTATTTTTACTCTTTATTATGTCACCTGATCCAAAGTCTCATTGTGACCTATTGCGATCACCTCCAGCACTGTGTGACGTGTATCCATAAACAGTTAAACATTTTTTACTTCTTCTCAAAAACCGTTGAACCAATTTCAATGAAATTTTACAGAAATCTTCCCTGACCTAAGATCAACCAAAACAATGTATTATACGGTCCCTACCCCACAGGAGCCCGAGGGGTGGGACCAAAAGGGGTCAAACTGACTCAGATTTCAAAAATCTTCTCCACCACACCCAGATATGGTAGAATCAAATACTCTTCATGGATGGAAGCATCTTATGGTGCTTTACCAAATTTGTGAATTTCATGGCTCCAGGGTCTCGCATTTCTTCGTGGGGAGGGAGTAAATTTTACTATGGTTTATATAGATAAAACAGATTTTTGAGTTTAATTTGTTTAAGATCCAGTTGAAACATTTCAAACTTGTTTAGAATTATGAGTGATGGGAGGATGGCTATATGTTATGCCCATATTGATGGTGGCTGACCCAAAGGGGCTGATTGATGGGTCAAAAGGGGTCAAATTGACTTAAATTTCAAAAATCTTCTTCTCTACACCCATTACTACATCAGTGTCACAATTTCTTTTTCATGACACTTGGAAGCTGCTTTCCCTTTAACCTTTATACTCAATATTGCTTATCTCAGGTAACTGTGAAGGCGGCTAGGCCTCTTGTTACAAATACTCTCTGCTACATTATCACATCTTATCCTGACTTTTTAGCAGGGAAGTGAGAAGTAAAAGTGACTGTTTTATATTTGCATAGTGAAATGATGTATTAAAATGAAGAAAATAACCTACTTTTTTAATTGATGTAAGTTTGTTATTGTTTATTTTCCAGCCGTATGATCTGATGTTTGTCACTGAGGTAAAACTTCCAGCCCTCTTCCTGAGCATCGCTAAAGGTAATGAAGACTGAGATAGTGAGTTGTAAATGTTGATTCTATGGTTATCAACGTTGATGATAAGGGTTAAATTACTGATGATAAGTATATTGACAGTAATATGGTAACTGACATGGTTTTTGGTGACGTTTCGTAACAGAAACAGTAAAGATGCGGGACTGTACCCTCAGCCAGGAAGAGGATGAGAAGGATATCCGCTATTACGAACAGTGCATGGCATGGTTTGAGGAATGTGAGAGTGGCTTTGATCAGTGGTACAATGGCAACAAAATGGACCATGGCTCCCGAGAGAACAGAAAGGTAAGCTTGTCAGTCCAGACTTGGTGTTGTAGCCAACGTCTTTCAGACACAACCATACGCTGGTAGCCTAGTTTTGGCAACCTTCGTCAGACAGACATAACCTGGTGCTGGTAGCCTGTGTCTGTCCAGACAAAATCAATTGTTGGTACAAACTCTTGCCTTTGTCTGTCTAGACATAATCAGGTTTTGGTAGTCTGTGTCTGCTAAGACACAATCATCCAGACATAACCTGGTTTTGGTAGCCTGTGTCTGTCTAGATACAATCTAGTGCTGGTAAAGCCTTTGTCTGTCCAGACATAACCTAGTTTGGTAGCCTGTGTCTGTCCAGATATGACACTGTTGGTAGCCAGTTTTTTTTATATCCTTTCTGTTTTGTCCTGTGTATCAGGCTTGTAATTTTTTCATTATAAACATATATTGCCATTTGTGAACCTAATTCTTGCTTTGTTAATCTTTCAATAGTCTATGTTGCCATATAATTTTATTTAGCTTTGTTTTTACTGTCTTGTATACTAGTGTCCATTGATGCCTTTTAAGGAGAGAAGTACAAAACTATGGGCCTGACTTATTCTATAAAGTTTGACTCCTGATGTATATGTTTAGCATACCTAAACCAGTCTTCTAAATCTCCTCTGGTAAGTGAAATATGTTGACATTACAGGCTGTCCAGATGTTTGTGGCAAGATTTTGTGACCTTCTGGACGTAGAAGTGAGCTGTGACGGCTGCTCTGTGACCCTCCCTGGTCGGCGGTACCGATGCCTACAGTGTGTAGATATGGACTTGTGTGCCACTTGCTACGCTGGTGGGGTGAAACCAGAAGGAGATCACACAGATGAACATGACATGGTCCATCTGGTGTAAGTTTTGGATCGCATGAAGAAACATAACATATTCCATCTCTGACTGGACTATTGTTGTCTGACCAGTCTTTTGACCAGTTTTGTGTAACTTTTGTGTTGACCTTTGACATTTCTGTGACTAGTTTTGTCTGACCTTTGTGTTGACCTTTCTGTTTTACAGGTACAAGTGTAACAAGTGTCAGGCCTTTATAGTTGGTACCAGAATCCATTGTAATGAATGTGATGACTTTGACCTCTGTCTCGGCTGCCACTCAAAGGGCAAATTTCCCTCGGAGTAAGTATGACATTTGTTTGCATAAAAATACAACATAGCTTTGTAGTTCAGCATCGCCAGATGTTAAGTTAATGAATATTATGTGTTGATGGCTTACTGAAGGATATATAGAGAATAAGTATTGTGTTGATGGCTCACTGAAGGATATATAGAGAATGAGTATTGTGTTGATGGCTCACTGAAGGATATATAGAGAATAAGTATTGTGTTGATGGCTCACTGAAGGATATATAGAGAATAAGTATTGTGTTGATGGCTCACTGAAGGATATATAGAGAATAAGTATTGTGTTAACTTCTTGACTTATTGTAGGATATACAAAATCTGTTCTCAACTTCATAGTCACTGCAAAGATACCATCACAAAAAATCTGAAATGGATTGTTTCAGTTATTAAATTGAAGAGAGATTTGTATTGTTTTTCAGTCATTGAATTAAAGAAAGAATTGTATTTTTTAAAGTAATTAATTTAAAGAGAGAATTGTATTTTTTAATTTACAGACACACAACAAGTCATGATATCACAAAGTTTCCAATGATCAAATGTAAGTACACAGTCCATCAAAGACATTAATTTCATTGTTTTTTATATAATTGACATATGGAACCAGTGATTTCCTGCCAATCCTAGACCGTTTGTACCTCAGATATATGGGCCTTTCATTATGATAAGTTATTTTCTTCTTCTGTTTTTCTGTTATAAACACCCAGACAAAAGTCATGCATTTTTGAGAAATGCTTCTACCCATTGAAATAACACAGAGAGTGGATTTAAGTTAGGAACTTTTTATACAATTTAATTCTCCAAATATCTGGCATAAATATGCAAACCCGAGTGGACCAAAATCTGATACTGTGCTTTGCCATTGGTTGCAAGGAGTGTCAGGAGTTTGTTTAAATGTTGTACTAAAACATTTTGATTCAAGTTAATGTGTACCCGTCAAAACAGAGACTCAGTTCTTTCAGAGCTGATGTCAAGACACACATTCACATTTAACATTGCCTTGTCATTAAGTTCAGTAATGTGTGTATCTGCTCACTTCCAGTATAATTGTTGAATACGTGACCTAATACCCTGGACAAGTCTTTTAAATTTTTGGAAAATCTGCCAATGATAAAGCAAGATTATTGATATTTCTTCCATTTTGATCCCATACATGGTCTGTTGGGTTCATATCTGGTGACGGGGCAGGCCGGGGTGTAAAATTAATGGCCTCATGATATAGGTTATCTTGCACGGTTCTAGCACGCCATGGTATAGCATTGTCATCCATGGAGAGAGGATGGCTATAAATGATTGTCAAAATGAGGGACAACGATGTCCCCAAGGACAAGATCTCTAACCAGATTGTCTAAATGAGGGACAATGATGTCCCTAAGGACAACATCTCTGATCAGATTGTCTAAATGAGGGACAACGATGTCCCTAAGGACAACATCTCTGATCAGATTGTCTAAATGAGGGACAACGATGTCCCTAAGGACAACATCTCTGACCAGATTGTCTAAATGAGGGACAATGATGTCCCTAAGGACAACATCTCTGACCAATAAAGGTAACATTATAAATGTATATGTAAGTCCATTTCACAGTTGTTAGAAAAGCAGGCTCAGACAGTGACTGACTAATTTTTGTCCGAGGACGTAATTAAATCACATTTCTTTAAACATTTGAGGATCATTAAGTTGAAGACTTCTGGCTAAATTAAATCTATTCAGTGCGGCCATCACAAGACTCGGACTCCCTGATCCAGGCCTACATTCACCAACATGTCTGGTTACTGTTCACGGTATTGGCCCTGTCTACTGGCGACATCATTCACACAGATAGCCCCAACAGTATGGTAGACTCTGACTACGTCAAGCTGGCTGCCAACCTACAACAGGAGTGTATTGAGATTGTAACCCACTGTCTCCAACAGGTCCCAGACGATGCTGAAGGTAATTCTTAGTTGTCAGGGGATATTTATAACAATCCTGTCAGCTCTTTTTTAATCGTACATACTTGGTTATAAGTTTTGTGTACTTCATATCACTGAAGTCAGTAACTTAATAATGAAGACAGGAAGAATTGTTCCATTATATGTATGTAACTAGATAAGATAAAATACACCTTACAGCTTAGTAGCTGATATTAGTCTACCCTGCAGGCATTACAGACCTGATGAAGAAATTATTGCATTATTAATGTGTTGGTAGATATTAGCACTACAGGGATCTAATTTGTCATGAATGATTTAGCAAGGTTCTCTTTACATATTGTGGATAAACTCTGTGCATATGTTTATTTCCTGCTACCAGACAGTACCAAGGAAGTGTTACAGGGCGGCCTACTTCGCTTGGAGACCAGACAGGAGCAGGCTTTTGCCATTCATTCCCAGGAGAGGATCATGGGATTGCTTGGTGCAATGATTCCACAAGATCACAAGGTTTACATTTCATTCTCTTTTAACATAAGGCCAAATATCTTTTAATTTCAGATTTAATTACAATAAAGTATCATTATTTGGATAAATCAAACCTCCTTGTCACTCAAAGCTTCTGTCATGTAACACTCAGACGTTTACTAAGTATGATTTACAAATTTCAGATCTTGTCAACTGGAGTTACATATAACTTCACCACGGATCAATTCATACATCTGCTGTTCAAGATTGCCAAGTAAGTTAATATTTCACATAAGAATGATTTTATTATGTTTCCCAACAACTTTGAATGGAGCATGAAGTTAGGGCTTTGTCCATCTGTCCATCCATCTTTCTGTCTGTTCTTTCATGTCCGTGTAAATCCAGGGCCCAAAAACCCTTTTAGACAGAGTGTTTGACTTCAGAGCATAACTTGGCTTGCATTTTAATTAGGATAATGAAACTTCATGTTTTCATTTGTCATACTAAGACTATGTGCATTGCAGCAAAGTCAGGGCCCGTAGCCCCTTAATTACAGAATTATTGCCCTTTGTAAAATTTTGTTTCCAATAAATTTTTAGGTCATATGACCCTATTGGGATCGCCTTTTGTCCGGCATCGTCCGTGCATCCTACGTTGTCTGTCGTAAACATTTTCAACTTCTTCTCAAGTTCTACATGTCTCATTGAGCTGAAACTTACCTTAAATGATCACGACATGATCCTGACCAAAGTTTTTTAATTTCTGGTTGGTCCGAAATCCAACATGGCCGCCATGGCTGCCATCTTGAAAACAAATTTTCAACTTCTTCTTACGTTCAAAATTTGAAATCTTGTATTTTATGTCAGATGACCGTTAAGGCCCATGGGCCTCTTGTTTAGGAAGCATTCACTGGTTCCAGTTTTAAAGATTCTCTAGTTGACTCTATATTCCACCTATCATATCTAATTTGCACTTTTTCTCAGTTTTTCAAATAGATCCCCACGATGCTTTTGAATTCAACTTTTGAAGTATTTTATACTGTTTCTCAGACAGAAATGACTGTAACAGCTGTCTGTCAGATTTTGTATCATTTAATAAACATATTTAATTCTGAGCCACTTTCATAGGAAAATTCAGCCTCCAAAATTCAGGAACATATGTCTCTTGTTTATCAAATTATTTTGATATTTTTTCTTTGTCAGTAATTTTTTTTACTGACAACAGTTTTAATTTATATTCCTACATAAACCTTGATGAATTCTGGTTCACAGAGGGGAGAGTGGACATGAGGTGAACACTCGACACCTAGCCATGGGACTGCTCGGCCCACTGCTTACAAAGTGTTCCCCAAAGGTAGGAGGTTTTAGTTTACCTCGATTGAAGGTAAATCTGTAAATAGTATTTGTTGATATAGCATTGTCACTGGGTATAAACATCAAATAGCCAATCAAATACCTTGTATTAGTCAGGTGCCTTTTATCATTGGAGTAACAGTTACATAAACGTAATAGGAATTTTAAAAATCTTAACTATTCTGGAGATCTGTTTGTACTTACCTGGGTTAAGGACATTTATACAGAGGCTAGTTAACAAGAACACACACAGACTAGCAATAACAAACTGAATAAATTTACAGTTTGTAATAGTTATCAGAAAGGAAATAAATTTGACAAGTTGCAAATTCATGCAGTTTCACAAAAGGTAGCAAGGCACTGATGTATTCATGTCTCTTTACATGTTTTTATTAAGTAAATATTCAATCATTTTTAGAAGTCTACTATATCCTCCATAGTTATAATATCTACTACATGAATCCCACAGGTTGCTGATGATTCAGTGAAGTCTACACAAGGTGCAGTCACAAAATTGGAAAACTACATTGAGGGACAAAGGACTATCAAATACCTCTTTTCTTTTGGTGCAGATTGCCTTGAAAAGTATGTGTTTAGTAGGACATTCTCAAGTCTGTGTAGCGGTCAAGCCATCTGTTCCCTTTTGTCAGTTTTGTCCATGTGAAAGATAGCTTGAAATCATGACATTGTCATTTTTCTCAGTCACAACACTTAACATTAATGTCACTGACTCCTAAAAATAATTCATCGTAATTCTTTTATATCAGAATTTGTTGACAGGTTGTACCAGGATAATTCCCTGCATTTATCAATGGACAATTACTAATTATCAAAATGCAAACATAGTTGATGTGTAGTGAGTGCACCCTTGTGTATGTAGGTGTGGACTTGAGTGGGCGTGTTCTGTGGCGAGGATACTTCAGAATCTATACAGTTCCTCTGATTGGCGGTCCGTCATCCATCACCACTTGACCACCTGTGTACAGTCATTGACGGCTCTGCTAGACTTACCTTCCATCTTTGCTCTGTTTGTAATGGCTGGATTCCCAGAGGTATGTATCTGTAGTTACAGTGATAGAGTCATTCCCAGAGGTATGTATCTGTAGTTACAGTGATAGAGTCATTCCCGGAGGTGTGTATCTATAGTTACAGTGATAGAGTCATTCCCGGAGGTGTGTATCTGTAGTTACAGTGATAGAGTCGTTCCCGAAGGTATGTATCTGTAGTTACAGTGATAGAGTCGTTCCCGGAGGTGTGTATCTATAGTTACAGTGATAGAGTCATTCCCGGAGGTATGTATCTGTAGTTACAGTGATAGAGTCATTCCCGGAGGTTTGTATCTGTAGTTACAGTGATAGAGTCATTCCCGGAGGTATGTATCTGTAGTTACAGTGATAGAGTCATTCCCGGAGGTATGTATCTGTAGTTACAGTGATAGTCATTCCCGGGGGTTTGTATCTGTAGTTACAGTGATAGTCATTCCCGGGGGTTTGTATCTGTAGTTACAGTGATAGAGTCGTTCCCGGAGGTATGTATCTGTAGTTACAGTGATAGAGTCGTTCCCGGAGGTATGTATCTGTAGTTACAGTGATAGAGTCGTTCCCGGAGGTATGTATCTGTAGTTACAGTGATAGAGTCGTTCCCGGAGGTATCTGTAGTTACAGTGATGTATCTGTAGTTACAGTGATAGAGTCGTTCCCGGAGGTATGTATCTGTAGTTACAGTGATAGAGTCGTTCCCGGAGGTATGTATCTGTAGTTACAGTGATAGAGTCGTTCCCGGAGGTATGTATCTGTAGTTACAGTGATAGAGTCGTTCCCGGAGGTATGTATCTGTAGTTACAGTGATAGAGTCGTTCCCGGAGGTATGTATCTGTAGTTACAGTGATAGAGTCGTTCCCGGAGGTATGTATCTGTAGTTACAGTGATAGTCATTCCCGGGGGTTTGTATCTGTAGTTACAGTGATAGTCATTCCCGGGGGTTTGTATCTGTAGTTACAGTGATAGAGTCATTCCCGGAGGTATGTATCTGTAGTTACAGTGATAGAGTCATTCCCGGAGGTATGTATCTGTAGTTACAGTGATAGAGTCGTTCCCGGAGGTATGTATCTGTAGTTACAGTGATAGAGTCATTCCCGGAGGTATGTATCTGTAGTTACAGTGATAGAGTCATTCCCGGAGGTATGTATCTGTAGTTACAGTGATAGAGTCGTTCCCGGAGGTATGTATCTGTAGTTACAGTGATAGAGTCGTTCCCGGAGGTATGTATCTGTAGTTACAGTGATAGAGTCGTTCCCGGAGGTATGTATCTGTAGTTACAGTGATAGAGTCGTTCCCGGAGGTATGTATCTGTAGTTACAGTGATAGAGTCATTCCCGGAGGTTTATATCTCTGTCATATCACCAAACACTCCCTACATTGATTATAATATCTTAACACTGTGCCCTATATTAAGGTAATTTGAAATATACTTTGAATGTAATGACATGATCACATTGAGATACTTACCTATGAAACATACTCCATAACAAAATGATACAACAGTTGCTGATATGGAAATGCTCCAGTTATATAAACTTCAAAAGTCTTTTTTGACAAACAGCTGATGTATCCTTTGTTTGTCTAGGTGCTGACACTTGTGGTTAGCCTAATATAACATTTTAAAGTGTATACAGATGCTGGAAATCATGGGAATTTAACTAAAACAGTTTTGTAGGTGTAGACCTTAGAACTGTAAGAGATTTGACTGATACATCCTTTGTGTCTATAGGTGCTGACCATAGGAACGCTTGTCCAGTATAACCATATGGATATGGAGAAGAAGAAGGGAGTGGTTCTGAAACACTATCCGGACAAATACCAGACCCTCATTATAGATATTAAAACTAGAAAACGTCACACGGTAAGTCTGTTGTACAACACTATCCAGACAAATACTAGACCCTCATTATAGATATCAAAACTAGAAAACGTCACACGGTAGGTCTGTTGTACAACACTATCCAGACAAATACCAGACCCTCATTATAGATATCAAAACTAGAAAACGTCACACGGTAGGTCTGTTGTACAATACTACCCTGACAAATACCAGACCCTCATTATAGATATCAAAACTAGAAAACGTCACACGGTAGGTCTGTTGTACAATACTACCCTGACAAATACCAGACCCTCATTATAGATATCAAAACTAGAAAACGTCACACAGTAAGTCTGTTAGAAGGTTACCCAAACCCACAAATACCAGACCCTCATTATAGATAATAAATCTGGCAAGTGTCATACAGTTACTTTGCTGTGTAATACTACCCTGTCAAGTACATCACCAGGTAAGACTACTGTACACCTGCTTATTATGGTAATTTTGCTCTGTATATGATTTAGTACACCAATAAATTGTGAAATCACACAAATCTGTACAGAAAACAGAAAAATTTTGTCACAGCTGTGACCATCAGTCATATATGACTGGAGTGACACATTCACAAACTAGACAAAACAGAAACAGAAAAGATAGCTTGTAAGGTATGTTGTTTATTGCTGCAGATGAAAGTTTTCAAAGAATGTTGTATTTTGTTACAGGTGCAGGACAAATTTGTTGACTGCCTTTCATTGGTAGCAGACACATGGGACACAGATCATGTGACATTGTTTATCAACACAATCCAGACTATTGTTGGAAAAATAAGAGCAGGTGAGTCTTACACGTGTGTCTTATTGTGCCCAGGTGAGTCTTACATGTGTGTCTAATTGTGCCCAGGTGAGTCTTACATGTGTGTCTTATTGTGCCCAGGTGAGTCTTACATGTGTGTCTAATTGTGCCCAGGTGAGTCTTACATGTGTGTCTTATTGTGCACAGGTGAGTCTTACTGTACTGTGAGTTTCAATGCAAAACTAGAGAATCTAAATTTACCAGGAAACCAAGGGAATAAAACTGTATGAGAGGGGAATCTTACTGTTCAGCCTGACACCCTAACTGTACAACATGGAAATCTTACTCTGAAATAGGAGGATCTATTTTGTATGACCAAGGAATATCGAAGTTCAAAGTTGAATTTTACTGAGACATAAGTAAATGCATCTGCTGTAGAAAAGAATGTGTAATTCAAGACAACTTATTTGTTTGTTGTAGAAGAAAAAGTGTTACTTGAGACGGTCTGGGTGCTATCCCTGTGTCTCAAGGTTCTTAACAACAATGTCAAGTCTATGGAGAACTGTATGGTGGAGAATCTGTTTGAGTCTGGGTTTATACAATGTCTGGTGCACCTGGCAAGTAAAGGCACAGAGTTCAGTCAGCAGTGGCTCCTCAAGGATCTAGAGGTCAGATTTTCTAACATGTATATTTCTAATTTAACACTCTCTGTCCACGGATATTTTACAAACTGTGGAGAAGTTATGTAATAAAATACTTCAATACATTAATTTTCATTATTTTTATAAGAGGGCTCATACACTTCACTTCTCTTGCTGAACTTCTTATCAAATATTAATGAAAAAATATACACATGCTGGGGTATAGATAGTGGTGTCCTAGCAGTTAATTTGTACATCTGAGAGCAAAGTTAGAGATGTAACTTTACATAATGAGACAGTCTATTGTAGATAGTCCTGGGTCTCTGCTGTCAATATATTGACTTATTGAGGCAGTCTGTGGTTTATAGTCCTAGGTCTCTACTGTCAATATATTGACTTATTGAGGCAGTCTGTGGTTTATAATCCTAGGTCTCTACTGTCAATATATTGACATAACGAGGCAGTCTGTGGTTTATAGTCCTAGGTCTCTACTGTCAATATATTGACTTAATGAGGCAGTCTGTGGTTTATAGTCCTAGGCCTCTACTGTCAATATATTGACTTAATGAGGCAGTCTGTGGTTTATAGTCCTAGGCCTCTACTGTCAATATATTGACTTAATGAGGCAGTCTGTGGTTTATAGTCCTAGGCCTCTACTGTCAATATATTGACTTAATGAGGCAGTCTGTGGTTTATAGTCCTAGGTCTCTACTGTCAATATATTGACTTAATGAGGCAGTCTGTGGTTTATAGTCCTAGGTCTCTACTGTCAATATATTGACTTAATGAGGCAGTCTGCAGTCTAGGTCTCTACTGTCAATATATTGACTTAATGAGGCAGTCTGTGGTTTATAGTCCTAGGTCTCTACTGTCATTGATATATTGACTTAATATATTGACTTAATGGCAGTCTGTGGTTTATAGTCCTAGGTCTCTACTGTCAATATATTGACTTAATGAGGCAGTCTGTGGTTTATAGTCCTAGGTCTCTGCTGTCAATATATTGACTTAATGAGGCAGTCTGTGGTTTATAGTCCTAGGTCTCTACTGTCAATATATTGACATAACGAGGCAGTCTATGGTTTATAGTCCTAGGTCTCTACTGTCAATATATTGACTTAATGAGGCAGTCTGTGGTTTATAGTCCTAGGTCTCTACTGTCAATATATTGACTATTGTGACTTAATGAGGCAGTCTGTGGTTTATAGTCCTAGGTCTCTACTGTCAATATATTGACTTAATGAGGCAGTCTGTGGTTTATAGTCCTAGGTCTGTAGGTCAATATATTGACTTAATGAGGCAGTCTGTGGTTTATAGTCCTAGGCCTCTACTGTCAATATATTGACTTAATGAGGTAGTCTGTGGTTTATAGTCCTAGGTCTCTACTGTCAATATATTGACTTAATGAGGCAGTCTGTGGTTTATAGTCCTAGGTCTCTACTGTCAATATATTGACTTAATGAGGCAGTCTGTGGTTTATAGTCCTAGGTCTCTACTGTCAATATATTGACTTAATGAGGCAGTCTGTGGTTTATAGTCCTAGGTCTCTACTGTCAATATATTGACTTAATGAGGCAGTCTGTGGTTTATATATATTGACTTAATGAGGCAGTCTGTGGTTTATAGTCCTAGGTCTCTACTGTGGTTTATAGTCAATATATATTGACTTAATGAGGCAGTCTGTGGTTTATAGTCCTAGGTCTCTACTGTCAATATATTGACTTAATGAGGCAGTCTGTGGTTTATAGTCCTAGGTCTCTACTGTCAATATATTGACTTAATGAGGCAGTCTGTGGTTTATAGTCCTAGGTCTCTACTGTCAATATATTGACTTAATGAGGCAGTCTGTGGTTTATAGTCCTAGGTCTCTACTGTCAATATATTGACTTAATGAGGCAGTCTGTGGTTTATAGTCCTAGGTCTCTACTGTCAATATATTGACTTAATGAGGCAGTCTGTGGTTTATAGTCCTAGGTCTCTACTGTCAATATATTGACTTAATGAGGCAGTCTGTGGTTTATAGTCCTAATATATATTGACTTAATGAGGCAGTCTGTGGTTTATAGTCCTAGGTCTCTACTGTCAATATATTGACTTAATGAGGCAGTCTGTGGTTTATAGTCCTAGGTCTCTACTGTCAATATTTTGGTTTATAGTCCTAGGTCTCTACTGTCAATATATTGACTTAATGAGGCAGTCTGTGGTTTATAGTCCTAGGTCTCTACTGTCAATATATTGACTTAATGAGGCAGTCTGTGGTTTATAGTCCTCCACTGTCAATATATTGACTGTCAATATATTGACTTAATGAGGCAGTCTATGGTTTATAGTCCTAGGTCTCTACTGTCAATATATTGACTTAATGAGGCAGTCTGTGGTTTATAGTCCTAGGCCTCTACTGTCAATATATTGACATAATGAGGCAGTCTATGGTTTATAGTCCTAGGTCTCTACTGTCAATATATTGACTTAATGAGGCAGTCTGTGGTTTATAGTCCTAGGTCTCTACTGTCAATATATTGACTTAATGAGGCAGTCTGTGGTTTATAGTCCTAGGTCTCTACTGTCAATATATTGACTTATTGAGGCAGTCTGTGGTTTATAGTCCTAGGTCTCTACTGTCAATATATTGACTTAATGAGGCAGTCTGTGGTTTATAGTCCTAGGTCTCTACTGTCAATATATTGACTTAATGAGGCAGTCTGTGGTTTATAGTCCTAGGTCTCTACTGTCAATATATTGACTTAATGAGGCAGTCTGTGGTTTATAGTCCTAGGTCTCTACTGTCAATATATTGACTTAATGAGGCAGTCTGTGGTTTATAGTCCTAGGTCTCTACTGTCAATATATTGACTTAATGAGGCAGTCTGTGGTTTATAGTCCTAGGTCTCTACTGTCAATATATTGACTTAATGAGGCAGTCTGTGGTTTATAGTCCTAGGTCTCTACTGTCAATATATTGACTTAATGAGGCAGTCTGTGGTTTATAGTCCTAGGTCTCTACTGTCAATATATTGACTTAATGAGGCAGTCTATGGTTTATAGTCCTAGGTCTCTACTGTCAATATATTGACTTAATGAGGCAGTCTGTGGTTTATAGTCCTAGGTCTCTACTGTCAATATATTGACTTATTGAGGCAGTCTGTGGTTTATAGTCCTAGGCCTCTACTGTCAATATATTGACTTATTGAGGCAGTCTGTGGTTTATAGTCCTAGGCCTCTACTGTCAATATATTGACTTATTGAGGCAGTCTGTGGTTTATAATCCTAGGTCTCTACTGTCAATATATTGACATAACGAGGCAGTCTGTGGTTTATAGTCCTAGGTCTGTAGGTCAATAAATTGACTTAATGAGGCAGTCTGTGGTTTATAGTCCTAGGTCTCTACTGTCAATATATTGACTTAATGAGGCAGTCTGTGGTTTATAGTCCTAGGTCTCTACTGTCAATATATTGACTTAATGAGGCAGTCTGTGGTTTATAGTCCTAGGTCTGTAGGTCAATATATTGACTTAATGAGGCAGTCTGTGGTTTATAGTCCTAGGTCTCTACTGTCAATATATTAACTTATTGAGGCAGTCTGTGTTTTATAGTCCTAGGTCACTACTGTCAATATATTGACTTAATGAGGCAGTCTGTGGTTTATAGTCCTAGGTCTCTACTGTCAATATATTGACTTAATGAGGCAGTCTGTGGTTTATAGTCCTAGGTCTCTACTGTCAATATATTGACTTAATGAGGCAGTCTGTGGTTTATAGTCCTAGGTCTGTAGGTCAATAAATTGACTTAATGAGGCAGTCTGTGGTTTATAGTCCTAGGTCTCTACTGTCAATATATTGACTTATTGAGGCAGTCTGTGTTTTATAGTCCTAGGTCTCTGCTGTCAATATATTGACTTAATGAGGCAGTCTGTGGTTTATAGTCCTAGGTCTGTAGGTCAATATATTGACTTAATGTACTGTCAATATCTTGTCACTTCAGGTTAATGTTTATCATACCCAAGTAGTGACAGTAGTCATATTCTGATTTAGATCAGTTTTGTCATTGCTAATGTGGTTCAATGAGATGTTACACACAAAAAAGATGTGTCGTTGACAGTATACACAAACAAGAAGTTGCTAGCATTCAGCTTTAGGTTTATTTTATCATATGGTTGATGTTCCAGGTGCTGTCTTTGATGTTATACACAAACGAAGGAGTCGGCGCATCTCACAAACGTAGCAAAGCCTTATCCTACCCTGAACAGCTTGCTGCTGCTTTAGAGAAACGTACAAAAGCAAAGCGGTGTTCCACAGAAAAGGAGTTTCTAAACGATAGTGACAATGACAATATGTCCTACCTTTCATCAACTTCATCCTCCTCAAGCTTTAACAGCGGACCAGACAGCAGTGATGATGAGACAGAAACAACAAATATCAATGACACATTCCCTGACCTTGACCAGAGGACAAAGGTCATGTTTGAGGTAAATGTTAAACCTGAATCCTTTTTATAAAGTGATTGGAAATGAACCTTGACTTTAGGAGATTTCTAGTCAGCTGTCAGACATTCCTCTCGTGGTGTCAGGATCATCAGTTAGTCTGTTGATTATGATGTGAACATTGAGATTATTTGACAGTAGATATGCTAGTGGAGATAGGTTCCAAGATCTGCTGATTGTGTTATATTGTCTCTTCCTATTAAATAAACAAAAGTCTTTATGTTTGAAGATTTGATTGAATTATTTTCATGTATGATCCAATAAGGAATGTAACTGGTTTTGGTTACAGACATTACACAGCGACCTGAAGGTGCCGTATGATGTCCTACGAGCTATATTTGACATGCATGATAAGAATCCTGATGATGTAGTGAAGGCCATAGTAGAGAAGTATGTATCAACACTGTCTCAGAAATTCTGGAGAATTTGTGTCGCGGTAGATTTGTTGAGTTTCCCGGATTTTCCTCCAGTCTTTGCTTGTTGTTGTTGTCTGACTACTGTATGTAGCTTTGCTATATGTGTATACTGCTCTCTTTACAGTCTAGAAAATTCACCGATGACAGTTAAAGAAGACATCAAAAGACTCAGCCAGAAATGGTAGGTTACATTATCGTCCATACAAGTAAGGTTTTAACCATGTTAGTTTTCAGCAGAATTCAGCAGTTCTGTTCTGACCTCATTAGTCATGATCTAGTCTAGTGAGGTTCTATACAAACATCGTTAGTCATGATCTAGTCTAGTGAGATTCTATACAAACATCGTTAGTCATGATCTAGTCTAGTGAGGTTCTATACAAACATCATTAGTCATGATCTAGTCTAGTGAGATTCTATACAAACATCGTTAGTCATGATCTAGACTAGGGAGGTTCTATACAAACATCGTTAGTCATGATCTAGTCTAGTGAGGTTCTATACAAACATCGTTAGTCATGATCTAGTCTAGTGAGGTTCTATACAAACATCGTTAGTCATGATCTAGACTAGGAAGGTTCTATACAAACCTTGTAGTCATGATCTAGACTAGGGAGGTTCTATACAAACATCGTTAGTCATGATCTAGTCTAGTGAGGTTCTATACAAACATCGTTAGTCATGATCTAGTCTAGTGAGGTTCTATACAAACATCGTTAGTCATGATCTAGATTCTATACAAACCTTGTAGTCATGATCTAGACTAGGAGGTTCTATACAAACATCGTTAGTCATGATCTAGTCTAGTGAGGTTCTATACAAACATCGTTAGTCATGATCTAGTCTAGTGAGGTTCTATACAAACATCGTTAGTCATGATCTAGTCTAGTGAGGTTCTATACAAACATCGTTAGTCATGATCTAGTCTAGTGAGGTTCTATACAAACATCGTTAGTCATGATCTAGTCTAGTGAGGTTCTATACAAACATCGTTAGTCATGATCTAGTCTAGTGAGGTTCTATACAAACATCGTTAGTCATGATCTAGACTAGGGAGGTTCTATACAAACCTTGTAGTCATGATCTAGTCTAGTGAGGTTCTATACAAACATGGAGGTTCTATACAAACATCGTTAGTCATGATCTAGTCTAGTGAGGTTCTATACAAACATCGTTAGTCACGATCTAGTCTAGTGAGGTTCTATACAAACATCGTTAGTCATGATCTAGACTAGGGAGGTTCTATACAAACCTTGTAGTCATGATCTAGACTAGGGAGGTTCTATACAAACATCGTTAGTCATGATCTAGTCTAGTGAGGTTCTATACAAACCTTGTAGTCATGATCTAGACTAGGGAGGTTCTATACAAACCTTGTTAGTCATGATAGATGAGCAAAGTTCTGTTTTGACATTGTTTGTACATTTGCCAACTATTACAGGGAGTCTATTGCACACACAAAAAGCCCAGAGGTTACCCAAATCACCAATGTCACAGACAAGGTCATCGATACTGGAATACATTACCACCCAGTCATGAAGCAGACAGAGAGGTAAAACACTTTCAATTATTTAACACTTTTCTAAGATCTATACAGTCATGTGGGACAAAAATTCAATATTTTGTTTCAGTGATAAATAGTTGTGTGATAAATGGATATACGTGCGATAAATTTGCTAGGTATTTCCTATTAATTTTCTGGAAACTTAAAATAAATAATTTTGGTGATGTAGATCGTATAAATTCTATTGGATTACTATGGTAACAGGGTGATAGAGAAAGCCACAGAAGAGAGTGGAGAAACACAGAAACTGATTCGAGCTCCTGACAATGACATAGAGGATGACATCCAAAAACAGCAGCGTACAAAAAGTGCTGAACTACTGAAACAGGAGCTGGAAAAGCAGGGGAAGGCAGGCTCCACTGACTACCTGTTCAAAGTCAACATGGCCATGTCTGTCCTGTACGCCCGTCAAGTTCTTATTAGTCTCCTGGCCCAATGGCCTGATACTGGGCATGTCATTTCAGCACAATTGCTGGGCTGCAAGGATGTGCAACAGATTCCATGCATTCTCGATCTCCTCAACAAGATGGAGAGCAGGGATTGCTTCCAGAAGGTAACAAAATATAATGTCATAAAAGAAAAAAAATTAAAAGATAAAGGAAAATCTGACAACACTTACAGATAATAAATCTGAAGTTGGAAGGTTCTGGTTGAGGGTCTCCAGTAAAAAAATTTTTTATTTAATTATCACAGGTCGTTGAGAAGGTAATTCGTAACTGTGAGACAGACAGTCTAGTGCCCATTGCCAGTACAGCGGGACAGTTTATGGAGGAGGTCACTTTGTCCTCCATTACCCATGAGTCGGAACACAACTCTCGACACATTAGTGATATCAAAAAGTCAATCCAGTTACCAGGTGCATCCTACCTCCAGGTGACATTCGACAGTAGGTGTGCGGTACGAGACACTGATGATGTCTTGGTTTTCTCCTCCTCCTCCAACATGGATGTAAACAAACATGAATTCACTGGCCCTGCAAATTCCATCTGGGCCAACATCAGAATACCAGGTAAAATAACTATATGAAAGTCGTGGTAGTAAAGCTTTATATAAAGGTGTTGAAACATGTTACAGTGTCAGATTTTGATTATTTGATACTTTGTGTAAATATACAGATCAGGAATAACAAACATTTTCTATTTTCCTACAGGTGATACTCTATACTATAGCTTCAAGAGTAGCAGGGAAGTTCTGGTGCGAGTGCCAGTATGGGGTTACAAGTTCACAGTGACTGCTGGTACACGAGACAGTTTTGAAACAGGATATGCCATTCTTAATAGAGTTCTTTCTACAAACTTAGCCTTGTAAGTGTATATCTTTCTGATCACTTTGCTCTGTATGTTTTATGTCTACAGACTTAGCACTATAAGTGATTAATGACTACAAACTTATCTCTGTAGGTGTTGTTGTTTATCTTTCTTGAAACTTAGCCCTAGAAGTGTTTATATATATACAAACTTAGCCCTAGAAGTGTTTATATATACAAACTTAGCCCTAGAAGTGTTTTTATATATACAAACCTAGCCCTAGAAGTGTTTATATATATACAAACTTAGCCCTAGAAGTGTTTATATATATACAAACTTAGCCTTGAAGTGTTTATATATATACAAACTTAGCCTTGAAGTGTTTATATATATACAAACTGTTTATATATATACAAACTTAGCCTTGAAGTGTTTATATATATACAAACTTATATATACAAACTTAGCCTTGAAGTGTTTATATATATACAAACTTAGCCCTAGATACAAACTTAGCCCTAGAATTCTTTATATATATACAAACTTAGCCCTAGAAGTGTTTATATATATACAAACTTAGCCTTGATATATATACAAACTTAGCCCTAGAAGTGTTTATATATATATAGCCCTAGAAGTGTTTATATATATACAAACTTAGCCCTATATATATACAAACTTAGAAGTGTTTATATATATACAAACTTAGCCCTAGAAGTGTTTATATATATACAAACTTAGCCCTACAAGTGTTTATATATATACAAACTTAGCCCTACAAGTGTTTATATATATACAAATTTAGCCCTACAAGTGTTTATATATCTACAAACTTAGCCCTAGAAGTGTTTATATATATACAAACTTAGCCCTAGAAGTGTTTTTATATATACAAACTTAGCCCTAGAAGTGTTTATATATATACAAACTTAGCCTTGAAGTGTTTATATATATACAAACTTAGCCCTAGAAGTGTTTATATATATACAAACTTAGCCCTAGAAGTGTTTTTATATATACAAACTTAGCCCTACAGGTGTTTATATATATACAAACTTACCCTAAAGTGTTTATATATATACAAACTTAGCCCTACAGGTGTTTATATACATACAAACTTAGCCCTACAAGTGTTTATATGTATACAAACTTAGCCCTAGAAGTGTTTATATATATACAAACTTAGCCCTACAAGTGTTTATATATATACAAACTTAGCCTTGAAGTGTTTATATACATACAAACTTAGCCCTAGAAGTGTTTTTATATATACAAACTTAGCCCTACAAGTGTTTATATATATACAAACTTAGCCCTACAGGTGTTTATATACATACAAACTTAGCCCTAGAAGTGTTTATATATATACAAACTTAGCCCTAGAAGTGTTTATATATACAAACTTAGCCCTAGAAGTGTTTATATATATACAAACTTAGCCCTAGAAGTGTTTATATATATACAAACTACAAACTTAGCCCTAGAAGTTTTTATATATACAAACTTAGCCCTAGAAGTGTTTATATATATACAAACTTAGCCCTAGAAGTGTTTTTATATATACAAACTTAGCCCTACAGGTGTTTATATACATACAAACTTAACCTTGTAAGTGTTTATCTGTCTACTATCTAAGCCCTGTAAGTGTTTTTCTGTCTACTATCTTAGTCCAGTAAGTGTTTATCTGTCTACTATCTTAGCCCAGTAAGTGTTTATCTGTCTACTATCTTAGTCCAGTAAGTGTTTATCTGTCTACTATCTAAGCCCAGTAAGTGTTTATCTGTCTACTATCTTAGTCCAGTAAGTGTTTATCTGTCTACTATCTTAGCCCAGTAAGTGTTTATCTGTCTACTATCTTAGCCCAGTAAGTGTTTATCTGTCTACTATCTAAGCCCTGTACGTGTTTATCTGTCTACTATTTAAGCCCTGTAAGTGTTTATCTGTCTACTATTTAAGCCCTGTAAGTGTTTATCTGTCTACTATTTAAGCCCTGTAAGTGTTTATCTGTCTACTATCTTAGCCCAGTAAGTGTTTATCTGTCTACTATCTAAGCCCTGTAAGTGTTTATCTGTCTACTATTTAAGCCCTGTAAGTGTTTATCTGTCTACTATTTAAGCCCTGTAAGTGTTTATCTGTCTACTATATAGGTCCTGTTAGTGTTTATCTGTCTACTATTTAAGCCCTGTAAGTGTTTATCTGTCTACTATTTAAGCCCTGTGTTTATCTGTCTACTATTTAAGCCCTGTAAGTGTTTATCTGTCTACTATTTAAGCCCTGTTAGTGTTTATCTGTCTACTATCTAAGCCCAATAATTCTGTTGTTTTTAGCTCGTCTACCCAGAGGGGCAGTGATCAGCCTGTGTTATTTAGTGTGGCAGGTAGTTTTGTTCACCAACCTATAAAGCTACTGTTGTATGTTACAGATCCCTGCCACTCAGTGACCTGTGGCAGATCCTGGTATATGTGGCAACCAAACAAACAGGAAGTCAACGGCTAAAGGCTGTCCAACTTCTTCTGAAGATTGTCAGCACTCAACACAAGTTAGTAGGAAGGGATGAGTATTGTTAAATTAGGTGTTCATTTTACCATAGTAAAAATTAGTAACAAAATAGATGATTTGTCTTTACTACACAAACCAATTGTTTCTTCTCTGCATAATGATAGTGTTGTTCCTACACATAATGATAGTGTTGTTCCTACACATAATGATAGTGTTGTTCCTACACATAATGATAGTGTTGTTCCTACACAAACCAATTGTTTCTTCTCTGCATAATGATAGTGTTGTTCCTACACATAATGATAGTGTTGTTCCTACACATAATGATAGTGTTGTTCCTACACATAATGATAGTGTTGTTCCTACACATAATGATAGTGTTGTTCCTACACATAATGATTTTGTTGTTCCTACACATAATGATTTTGTTGTTCCTACACATAATGATTTTGTTGTTCCTACACATAATGATAGTGTTGTTCCTACACATAATGATAGTGTTGTTCCTACACATAATGATAGTGTTGTTCCTACACATAATGATTTTTGCTGTTCCTACACATAATGATTTTGTTGTTCCTACACATAATGATTTTGTTGTTCCTACACATAATGATAGTGTTGTTCCTACACATAATGATTTTGTTGTTCCTACACATAATGATTTTGTTGTTCCTACACATAATGATTTTGTTGTTCCTACACATAATGATGTTGTTGTTCCTACACATAATGATTTTGTTGTTCCTACACATAATGATTTTGTTGTTCCTACACATAATGATTTTGTTGTTCCTACACATAATGATTTTGTTGATTCCTACACATAATGATTTTGTTGTTCCTACACATAATGATTTTGTTGTTCCTACACATTTTGTTGTTCCTACACATAATGATAGTGTTGTTCCTACACATAATGATTTTGTTGTTCCTACACATAATGATTTTGTTGTTCCTACACATAATGATAGTGTTGTTCCTACACATAATGATTTTGTTGTTCCTACACATAATGATTTTGTTGTTCCTACACATAATGATAGTGTTTTTCCTACACCTGATGATTTTGTTGTTGCTACACATCATGATTTTGTTGTTCCTACACATAATGATAGTGTTGTTCCTACACATAATGATAGTGTTGTTCCTACACATAATGATTTTGTTGTTCCTACACATAATGATAGTGTTGTTCCTACACATAATGATTTTGTTGTTCCTACACATAATGATAGTGTTGTTCCTACACATAATGATTTTGCTGTTCCTACACATAATGATTTTGTTGTTCCTACACATAATGATTTTGTTGTTCCTACACATAATGATAGTGTTGTTCCTACACATAATGATAGTGTTGTTCCTACACATAATGATTTTGTTGTTCCTACACATAATGATTTTGTTGTTCCTACACATAATGATAGTGTTGTTCCTACACATAATGATTTTGTTGTTCCTACACATAATGATTTTGTTGTTCCTACACCTGATGATTTTGTTGTTCCTACACATAATGATTTTGTTGTTCCTACACATAATGATTTTGTTGATTCCTACACATAATGATTTTGTTGTTCCTACACATAATGATTTTGTTGTTCCTACACATAATGATAGTGTTGTTCCTACACATAATGATTTTGATGTTCCTACACATAATGATTTTGATGATACTAAACACACATAATGATTTTGTTGTTCCTACACCTGATGATTTTGCTGTTCCTACACATAATGATAGTGTTGTTCCTACACATAATGATTTTGCTGTTCCTACACATAATGATTTTGCTGTTCCTACACATAATGATTTTGCTGTTCCTACACATAATGATTTTGTTGTTCCTACACATAATGATTTTGTTGTTCCTACACAGAACGATTTTGTTGTTCCTACACATAATGATTTTGTTGTTCCTACACATAATGATTTTGTTGTTCCTACACATAATGATAGTGTTGTTCCTACACATAATGATATTGTTGTTCCTACACATAATGATTTTGCTGTTCCTACACATAATGATTTTGCTGTTCCTACACATAATGATTTTGTTGTTCCTACACATGATGATTTTGCTGTTCCTACACATAATGATAGTGTTGTTCCTACACATAATGATTTTGTTGTTCCTACACATAATGATAGTGTTGTTCCTACACATAATGATTTTGTTGTTCCTACACATAATGATTTTGTTGTTCCTACACATAATGATTTTGTTGTTCCTACACATAATGATTTTGTTGTTCCTACACATAATGATAGTGTTGTTCCTACACATAATGATTTTGTTGTTCCTACACATAATGATTGTGTTGTTCCTACACATAATGATTTTGTTGTTCCTACACATAATGATTTTGTTGTTCCTACACATAATGATTTTGTTGTTCCTACACATAATGATTTTGTTGTTCCTACACATAATGATTTTGTTGTTCCTACACATCATGATTTTGTTGTTCCTACACATCATGATTTTGTTGTTCCTACACATAATGATTTTGTTTGTTGATTCCTACACATAATGATTTTGTTGTTCCTACACATAATGATTTTGTTCCTACACATAATGATTGTGTGTTCCTACACATAATGATAGTGTTGTTCCTACACATAATGATTTTGTTGTTCCTACACATAATGATTTTGTTGTTCCTACACATAATGATAGTGTTGTTCCTACACATAATGATTTTGTTGTTCCTACACATAATGTTTTGCCTACACATAATGATTTTACTGTTCCTACACATAATGATTTTGTTGTTCCTACACATAATGATTTTGTTGTTCCTACACATAATGATTTTGTTGTTCCTACACATAATGATTTTGTGTTTTTCCTACACATAATGTTTTTTGCTGTTCCTACACATAATGATTTTGTTGTTCCTACACATAATGATTTTGTTGTTCCTACACATAATGATTTTGTTGTTCCTACACATAATGATTTTGTTGTTCCTACACATAATGATAGTGTTGTTCCTACACATAATGATTTTGTTGTTCCTACACATAATGATAGAGTTGTTCCTCCACATAATGATTTTGTTGTTCCTACACATAATGATTTTGTTGTTCCTACACATAATGATTTGTGTTCCTACACATAATGATTTTGTTGTTCCTACACATAATGATTTTGTTGTTCCTACACATAATGATTTTGTTGTTCCTACACATAATGATTTTGTTGTTCCTACACATAATGATAGTGTTGTTCCTACACATAATGATTTTGTTGTTCCTACACATAATGATAGTGTTGTTCCTACACATAATGATAGTGTTGTTCCTACACAAACCAATTGTTTGTTCCTACACATAATGATAGTGTTGTTCCTACACATAACGATTTTGCTGTTCCTACACATAATGATTTGTTGTTCCTACACATAATGATAGTGTTGTTCCTACACATAACAACACATAGTGTTGTTCCTACACATAATGATAGTGTTGTTCCTACACATAATGATAGTGTTGTTCCTACACATAATGATAGTGTTGTTCCTACACATAATGATTTTGTTGTTCCTACACATAATGATAGTGTTGTTCCTACACATAATGATAGTGTTGTTCCTACACATAATGATAGTGTTGTTCCTACACATAATGATTTTGTTGTTCCTACATCTGATGATTTTGCTGTTCCTACACATAATGATTTTTTCCCTACACAGAATAACAGTGCTTTTCTTAAAAAAGATTCTTGAAACTTTTCAGAATTTTTATTGATAGATTTTCACAAATAGATTACTACCTGATAAATTAGATAAATCTTTTCCTTTACAACTTAATAAGAATAAGACAATAATTCTCAGATGTTAAACTTTGAGAAATGTTCCGGTTGAGGATATTACTATATTTTTTGCTAAAGGACGGCGACCAGCTCCAAACTGACACTTGACCTCAGCCTGCTGAAACCATTATGGCAACTGTACAACCAAATGACAAAACAGGAAGTGGACAGTAATATAGTGCTGCCCCCTGTTGTCAGGGCCTTGACAGAGCTCTTCCTTCAGGTGGAGTCCCTAGCCATGGTGAGTCAAAAGGCACTGTTCCTGTAGCTGTGCATGTTTATATTACATTTTCTACTGTAGTTGGTATTACACAATATTCAAGGTAGATATTTCATTATGCTTTTGTTGTTGTGTAAACAGTGACACCACGTTGGCCAAAGTTCCTTAGTTCTTTTGCCATCACGTCATTACCCAAACTACAGTACAGATTTTGTTCAAAGTTCATTTCATTTCACTACAGATTTTGATCAAAGCTGATTTAAAGATCACTATTAGAAAACATTTTGTTGTTAAAGGTTTCAGGGTTTCATGTCAACGTCACTTACAATTTGTAGAAAATTCTCGAATATTGACACTGATTTGCATGGAATCACATCTTTCAATTCATGTCTAACATATTCTGTAGGAATGGGACATGGTGACGGAGTACCTACTTGCAATACAGGATATTGATGAGATTCGCAAGGTGATACGACAGGTAAGTAATGATGCACAAGCTGTTAATCAGGGTCCTCAATACCAGTTTAAATATTGTAAATACAGAAATATAATTCAAAAGATTACTGGAGTAGTTAAGTTTTTTAATAAATCTTCTCACCAGTCATGGTAGTCATAATGCCAATTTTAGTTCTACTGATCAAGCAGACCAGAATAGGATATGTCACATCTTAAAGTGTCCAACATCTGTCTTAACAATACCTCATTACCACTTCTTCATTTGAATTAATGATATAGAGACAGGATCATCATCCCTGGTACCATACACAAAAGTGTGCCACACTTAAGATAAACTTTATCTTGAAAATCTTGTTATCAATAGGTCTACTTTATTATCTTAGGAACTACACATCTCATGATAGAGTTGTGTAAGGTTCTCAGATTGTCCCAGCTGAACCTGACATTGCAGCTTTGTCAGCCATCTAGAATGTGGCCCACAATAGATTCAAGGTCGTCAAAATTGCCACCATCTTAAAAATTCTTTCACTACATCTCCTAAACAAAAAGTTGTACCAATACGACTGTTAACTTCAAATTTGTATGATATTCACCCATAAATATAAAATAACATATGAAAAACCAATTAACATTTCTACTTTATCATCATTGTTTTAAAGATTGTAATTTATAAAAGATGTTAAATTGATACTTCTTATTCTGTAACTGTTGAAAGTTTTCTTCTCGTGTTTATCAGGGGATAATGAACGTAGCTGCTGTGAGTTGTATGATTGGTTACTATAACTCAGCTGTGGAACTTGTGACTGTCATGAAGAAAAAGAAGACAACAACAGCAGTCTCTCCACATAGTGCAGCGACAGGCACATCCACAGTGAACAAACTTAAAGGAGATAAAAACCAGGATGTGGATTTATAGTAAACAAGTGTAAACAGTGTCAAACAGTCTGTTTTGGTGTTAAACTTCGTAACTGTGATCTTCCAAAATAAAACTGATATCTACCATGTTGTAAACCAATACAAGTAACAGTGAAGCTTGAAGGCTGTGGACTGGGATGGAGGGAGGATTGTTTCCATGGTGAAGCATGAAGTCTGTGGACTGGGATGGAGGGAGGATTGTTTCCATGGTGAAGCTTGGAGGCTATGGACTGGGATGGAGGGAGGATTGTTACTATGGTGAAGCATGGAGGCTGTGGACTGGGATGGAGGGAGGATTGTTACTATGGTGAAGCTTGGAGGCTATAGACTGGGATGGAGGGAGGATTGTTACTATGGTGAAGCTTGGAGGCTGTGGACTGGGATGTCGGAAGGATTGTCTCCATGGTGAAGCTTGGAGGCTATAGACTGGGATGTCGGGAGGATTGTTACTATGGTGCAGCTTGGAGGCTGTGGACTGGGATGTAGGGAGGATTGTCTCCATGGTGAAGCTTGGAGGCTGTGGACTGGGATGTCGGGAGGATTGTCTCCATGGTGAAGCTTGGAGGCTGTGGACTGGGATGTCGGGAGGATTGTCTCCATGGTGAAGCTTGGAGGCTGTGGACTGGGACTTAATCTGTCCTTTGTTTGTGAGACATTTGTAGTTCTAGTCAATGCATCATCAAAATTTGTTTTAAAATGTGAAATTACATCTCAGCTTGAGTTTTCCCAAAGCTGAAGTCAACTCCCAAGATAGAAAATTGCTGCACTAGAATCAGAATATCTTGGTACCTCGTCCACATCCACACTCAAAGCTTTGTTACTGGAAATTTGTGAACATAGTATCCACTGATTAATGTACTAAACAAGACATAAAACTCTACAGCTTGAAGCTGTTGTGCATTTGGTACAAGAGAGATTGTTTATGACCAGGAAAGGTCGGCTTAGGTAAATACAAAATGTCAAATTCTGCAGCTGTCAATGGAGGGTGCAACACCAGTAATGTATTTCTGCACACTTAAAATTTAGTGAGAAGAAAGGAATTTGATTTACATTTCTGTACCTTCAAGCTGATGTAGGATGTGGTAGACTGGAACTAGATTATCAATAAATCTTCATAATTACAATCCATTTCATAAATTATTTATAGAATGTTTTGATTTAAGGCTGTATTGTAATAAGACTAGATTAACAGGATTGATTTGATGTATTGAAACTTAGCCAAAGATATGTAAAAGCTTTTGTGTTCTAGCAAAATTCATTAGACAGAAAAAAGCAGCTGTTTAAAAGATGATGCAGTTTTAATGTTTTTAATGTGGAGTGCTTACATGCTCTATATACGCTGATATTATAATAATATCTCTTACTAGAATACTCTCATTTCCTGTGGAAATTGGTATGAATAGTAGCTTTGATTTTGTGTTGAAGTTGAATCATTTGAGGTTTGTATTTTGTTGAATTGATGATATAAGATGATAACTTATTAGGTATCTAATAATATATCTATTGTTAAGTATTGTTATCATCTGATGAAGTGTTTGGACACATCAAGTTGTGAATTAACATCAGTATCTGTGTGTGGGATGTGGAATATCCCTCTCTTGTAAGATTTGATGCCCCAATACATGAAGTATTGCTGCTGTAGGATATGTCTTTGGAATCAAAGATTTTGTCAGAGAAGGGAACAAAGTAGCATGACTGAAGAAGGTCATTTTCATGTGGTTAGATTGTCCATCTTACATTTAGGTCCCTGGTTGGAATTTCATTGTGTTTTCTGTGACAGTAGCTAGGAAGATTATTTAAGATATCCCAAATTTGTACTCCAGCATATTTCCTTTGACTATAGGTCTCTTGCTTGACACACAGCTACAACTTTGCCAACTGTTGTGTCAGTGTTTATCAGTCCATACGTTAGAAATTATAAAGTACTTTCATATTGTGTGTACAAACTTTGTAGTATGTCTTACATACTTGTGTTATATACATTTGTACAATACCTACATCTGTACATACATCTGTATTTATATTTGTATAAATATTTAATAAAATTTTATGTATGATAAAGTGGATTTGTATTGTTAGTTCACATGCCCTAAAAAAGTCAAAGAGAATTATCTCACCAACAGAATCAAGGTTTGAAGATTCCACTTTAAAGGTCAAAGAAATCAAATGTATTAGAGTTACAAACATTCTTTTGGTTAGAACCACACTTTGTTGAAGAGCTTTTAGGCTTAGTATTCAAATCAATTACAAAAAAGTGAAGTGAAACATGTCTTTTGTCCTGGACATATACATGTGTATATTCGTGAACCAGTTGAAGGGCATTTCATGGACCACGTGTTTAGATCTATATCTAAGTCAATGCTTGGACAAATGATGGTGTAGGTATTAGGGCTATTTGAAGGGTATTGTTCTAAACAAAGACAGACTTTGGTTTTGGAACCGTTTGAAGGATATTTTCTTTAGAAATGGTGGCAGGATTTTTCAGAACCAAATGAAGGGTATTGTACTTGAAGAGGCATAGTTTCTTGGACCATTGAAGTTCCAGATTAAGGGAGGTGTTGGTGCCGGAAACCAATGGAAAAGTATTGCTCTAGAAAAACAGGGACATTTTTGCTGGGACCAGTTGTGATAGACAAATTGACGCTTGTGTTTTGGCAGTAATTAAAGGTTGTTCTGCATGAAGGGATGCTTGGCATCTAGGACTTACTAAGGCTTGAAGTCCCAAACAGATGGAGGCAATTGCTTCAAGATGAATGAAGGCGTAGCTTACAGAGAGAACAGAACAAATGGAGGCGTAGCTTCATGAGAGCAAAGAACAAATGGAGGCATGGCTTACAGGGAGAACTGAACAAATGGAGGCATAGCTTACTGGGAGAACTGAACTAATGGAGGCGTAGCTTACAGAGAGAACAGAACAAATGGAGGCATAGCTTCATGAGAGCAAAGAACAAATGGAGGCATGGCTTACAGGGAGAACTGAACAAATGGAGGCATAGCTTACTGGGAGAACTGAACAAATGGAGGCCTAGCTTACAGAGAGAACGGAAGAAATGGAGGCGCAGCTTCCGGAGAGAACAGAAGAAATGGAGGCGTAGCTTCCTGAGAGAACAGAACAAATGGAGGTGTAGTTTACAGGGAGAACTGAACAAATGGAGGCGTAGCTTCCTGAGAGAACAGAACAAATGGAGGCATAGCTTACAGGGAGAACTGAACAAATGGAGGCGTAGCTTACAGAGAGAACGGAAGAAATGGAGGCGTAGCTTCCGGAGAGAACAGAAGAAATGGAGGCGTAGCTTCCTGAGAGAACAGAAAAAATGGAGTTGTAGTTTCCTGAGAGAACAGAACAAATGGAGGCGTAGCTTCCTGAGAGAACAGAACAAATGGAGGCGTAGCTTCCTGAGAGAACAGAACAAATGGAGGCGTAGCTTACAGAGAGAACAAATGGAGGTGTAGCTTCCTGAGTGAACAGATCAAATGGAGGCGTGGCCTCCAGGGAAAACAGAACAAATGGAGGCATAGGTTCCTGAGAGAACAGAACAAATGGAGGCATAGCGTACAGAGAGAACAGAACAAATGGAGGTGTAGCTTCCTGAGAGAACAGATCAAATGGAGGCATAGCTTCCTGAGAGAACAGAACAAATGGAAGCGTAGCTTCCTGAGAGAACAGAACAAATGGAGGCGCAGCTTACAGAGAGAACAGAACAAATGGAGGTGTAGCTTCCTGAGAGAACAGAACAAATGGAAGCGCAGCTTCCTGAGAGAACAGAACAAATGGATGTGTAGCTTCCTGAGTGAACAGAACAAATGGAGGCGTAGCTTCCTGAGAGAACAGAACAATGAAGGCGTAGCTTCCTGAGTGAACAGAACAAATGGAGGCGTAGCTTCCTGAGTGAACAGAACAAATGGAGGCGTAGCTTCCAGAGAGAACAGAACAAATGGAGGCGTAGCTTCCTGAGAGAACAGAACAAATGGAGGCGTAGCTTACAGAGAGAACAGAACAAATGGAGGCGCAGCTTACAGAGAGAACAGAACAAATGGAGGCGCAGCTTACAGAGAGAACAGAACAAATGGAGGCGCAGCTTACAGAGAGAACAGAACAAATGGAGGTGTAGCTTCCAGGGAAAACTGAACAAATGGAGACGCAGCTTACAGGGAGAACAGAACAAATGGAGGCGCAGCTTACAGAGAGAACAGAACAAATGGAGGCGCAGCTTACAGAGAGAACAGAACAAATGGAGGCGCAGCTTACAGAGAGAACAGAACAAATGGAGGCGTAGCTTCCAGGGAAAACAGAACAAATGGAGGCGCAGCTTACAGGGAGAACAGAACAAATGGAGGCGTAGCTTCCAGGGAAAACAGAACAAATGGAGACGCAGCTTACAGGGAGAACAGAACAAATGGAGGCGCAGCTTACAGAGAGAACAGAACAAATGGAGGCGCAGCTTACAGAGAGAACAGAACAAATGGAGGCACAGCTTACAGAGAGAACAGAACAAATGGAGGCGTAGCTTCCAGAGAGAACAGAACAAATGGAGGCGTAGCTTCCAGGGAAAACAGAACAAATGGAGGCGCAGCTTACAGGGAGAACAGAACAAATGGAGGCGCAGCTTACAGAGAGAACAGAACAAATGGAGGCGCAGCTTACAGAGAGAACAGAACAAATGGAGGCATAGCTTCCAGGGAAAACAACAAATGGAGGCGCAGCTTACAGGGAGAACAGAACAAATGGAGGCGCAGCTTACAGAGAGAACAGAACAAATGGAGGCGCAGCTTACAGAGAGAACAGAACAAATGGAGGCATAGCTTACAGAGAGAACAGAACAAATGGAGGCGCAGCTTACAGAGAGAACAGAACAAATGGAGGCGTAGCTTCCAGGGAAAACAGAACAAATGGAGGCGTAGCTTCCAGGGAAAACAGAACAAATGGAGGCATAGGTTCCTGAGAGAACAGAACAAATGGAGGCGTAGCTTCCTGAGAGAACAGAATAAATGGAGGCGTAGCTTCCTGAGAGAACAGAACAAATGGAGGCGCAGCTTCCTGAGAGAACAGAACAAATGGAGGCGTGGCTTCCAGGGAGAATAGAGCAAATGAAGTGTAGTGTTTAAGATGAATGAAGGTGTGTTTTCTAGGACAAAGGTGTGTGTAGTAACCAAGACATGATATAAGCATCGACTACAGGATAAATTGAGGTGTTTTTTACAGAACAAATGAAGGTGAATCCTTGAACTATTTTGGATTGATTTCCATGATGAGAAAGGTATGGTGTAAAAAGAGGCAAGGTTTTTTTTAGAACGGATTAAGGTCGATGTCAAGGAGGAATTGAGATGTGGTATCTGGAACAAATTCAAATGTGGCATTTTAAACAAACGTAGGTGTTACAACAGGTGTGTTTTTATTGTTGATGTGATGTCTATAAAGGAAAACAAGCGGCTATCATTATTGTGACTCATCTTTATTGGAAAAATAAAGTTATTTCATATTAATTTAAAAGTTAATCACTGATATATTGCAAATTGTTGACATATTGACTATATCAAGGTGTATCAAGATATGTTTATCTCAGAATCTCATAACTGGCACTGAATCGTCAGTCCTTACAAACGTGCTGACGAGTATCCATTACACGATAAAGTGATATAAGGTAGATACTAATAGGTACTTTATATAATTGATACAGAAACCGGTAACTGTAACAAGAGAAATTACAGAAATATATATAAAAAAAAAATTAAATATTTTTTCACACTACAATGACAGAAAAGATGACATAATTATTTTGATTGGAAATTTACTCTAGGGATTTAACATCACATACTGCAATACACATTTCCTTTGGTTCTCTATGTAAATTTTCTAGCAAAGTGAGATCCTTTGCTTCAATAATGATATTTTTTGGTCAGACCTGTAATTTTATTGTACATATGATAGTCAATAGAGGCATTAATTTGTTATGAAGTGCCATTGTAACAAGATCACATGCTTGATTTGTATATGAAACATTCATGTTTTGTGTCTCAGGTATGTCTTTATCTACACCGTAGTAGATGTTGATCAATAATTGATGGTGTCTGCTGATGCTAAACTTTAAAGACTTGTGTTAGGATGGTGTTGTGGTTTTACTGAGCAAATTCCTGCGAACTGACACACCTCTGTTGGGCTGAGAAGTCTTTCAATAATTCTGTTGAACACCTGGTCACCTTGTGTCTGTATATAGACATGGCACTGGAAAAAATATAAATAGTATTATGAGGAAGTTGAGAAGGTGGTATCCAAAGTAAAGTACAATATATGACACATAACCGAAAAAGCTTTTCAGATAATTAGGATATAGATATAAACCCAACGAAATGACTTATTTGAATTTCTGGTAGAGATGAAGAGAAAGATAATATGTTATTGAACATATAACTGTGTTGAAATGAGTACTAACACATTCACTTTTACATGCAGGTACACTTGAGTTCTGAGTATTTTCGCAATCATAGGAAAAAAGCAAAATTTTCCAAGAAAAGGAAAAAATTATGGTGTTCCACTTTTTGTTGTGTATTTTTGGCAAATCGCTCGTGTAAATTTGGCCTAAAACCTGTGTATTTAGCTCCTTAATCACAAAACCATGAATTAATGCTATTATATTTTTTTACATATGAGGTACTGTTTTCTGTATTGATCCTGAAAAACAAACAGAATTCACATTTTTGAAGGACTTTCAGTTTGTTTCCCAATCAATCCCAAATCCAAAGTACAAAGTCCTTTCAGGATCGTTCCAGAATTTTTTTTTTACCAGCTTCGGTATCAATCATGAAAATGATTTTACCGATTTTTTGGGATCGATCCTAAAATTGCTTTGCCTAAATTGTTTTTAGGATTAATACCAAAAGTTGTATTCATATGGAATCCTTTCGGGATCGACCCCAAAATGCTTTTTTTTAATAAATGCAATATTCAGGGCTGATTCCCAAAATAAGCACAACAGTCCATCCAAAATATAAATAATGTCAGTTTTTTGGGATCAATACAAAAATACTATGTCTTATGTAAGAAAATACAACGGGGTGAGTTCATGCCAAATGCATCAGTATTAACTCAAGTTCACATGGATGAAGTGCAAAACATACACAACAAAAAAGTTTACACTTCTGGAAAAATTTTGGTAACTTGTTGAGAAAATCTCAAGATATCAAACCAAGTAATGTTTACGTACCTGTTGGTTGTGTGGAGCAGACATCCTCTCACAAACACCGCTCATGTACATTTTGATTTGCTCCTGTGAAGAAAATTGACAGTTGTCTTAACATGCTGCATGCAAAAAAGTCAAATTTCATAAGTGGCAAGATAGGTGTTATTAGCAGATAGACATAGAAAGGTGGAATACTTACATAGTCTTGATCCAACAAGGAGTTCATGGTGGACATCGCTTTTTTACAGATGTTACACTCCCACTCCTCAGGTTTACCTAGAGTGGTAAGTAACAGGTCCATATCCTGGAAACCTAGAGAACAGGGGACATTTAATGTTTAGATTTGTAACTGATTCATATCCTGGAAACCTAGAGAACAGGGGACATTTAATGTTTAGATTTGTAACAGGTTCATATCCTGGAAACCTAGAGAACAGGGGACATTTAATGTTTAGATTTGTAACCGGTTCATATCCTGGAAACCCAGAGAACAGGAGACATTTAACATTTAGAGTGGTAAGTAACAGGTCCGTATCCTGGAAACCGAGAGAACAGGAGACATTTAACATTTAGAGTGGTAAGTAACAGGTCCGTATCCTGGAAACCCAGAGAACAGGGGACATTTAATGTTTAGAGTGGTAAGTAACAGGTCCATATCCTGGAAACCCAGAGAACAGGGGACATTTAATGTTTAGAGTGGTAAGTAACAGGTTCATATCCTGGAAACCTAGAGAACAGGGGACATTTAATGTTTAGATTTGTAACTGATTCATATCCTGGAAACCTAGAGAACAGGAGACATTTAATGTTTAAAGTGGTGAGGACAACAGACCATTTCCTGTAGACCTAAATAACATGAATTTCTATTTATGGAAAAAATATCAAACCTAGAATAGGTGTTTTGTTATGAATTGATTTCAAGACTTATTTTCATTCATTTGTTTATATTTATTTCACATAAAATCTGATGGAATATGTTGGTTTTGCTTGATGTGCTTTGGTAAGACAGTTGGTTTCCTGGCAACTACCCAAACTACGATTTTTTGAACATGTCATTACATGATGTTAAGTATCCTGAGCAACTTTCTCTCTTGTTCAGGGTTCATTGAAAGTCTTTCTTTGATACATTGTTTGTCATTATTCCATCAATATGGCAAGTTTTTCGTTTTTTTGTTTTTTTGTTTGTTTTTTTGTTTTGTTTTTAGTAGGATACAAAATGTATTTTGATTTTCCATGGGAACATTTTTTGCCTCTTTATATGGGTTCAAATGTGTGTTTAAATGGGATGTTATTTTTGAGTTTTACAAAAGTTTTGAAGCAAAACGGATACACACTTTTGCCGTTGCCTTTACTATTGAAATTACAAATAATTCCATATAATGAATTCTATTACCACCTCTTCCCCTGGATCCCTCCAGTGGTAAGACTGATATGATATGGGGCTAGGTAGTTGTAACAATGTTAAGACTGATATGATATGGGGCTAGGTAGTTGTAACAACTGTTGAGACTGACATGGTATGGGGCTAGGTAGTTGTTACAACTGTTGAGACTGACATGATATTGGGCTAGGTAGTTGTAAAAATGTTAAGACTGACATGATATGGGGCTAGGTAGTTGTAACAACTGTTGAGACTGACATGATGTTGGGCTAGGTAGTTGTAACAATGTTAAGACTGACATGATATGGGGCTAGGTAGTTGTAACAACTGTTGAGACTGACATGATATTGGGCTAGGTAGTTGTAACAACTGTTGAGACTGACATGATATGGGGCTAGGTAGTTGTAACAACTGTTGAGACTGACATGATATTGGGCTAGGTAGTTGTAACAACTGTTGAGACTGACATGGTATGGGGCTAGGAAGTTGTAACAACTGTTAAGACTGACATGATATGGGGCTAGGTAGTTGTAACAACTGTTGAGACTGACATGGTATGGGGCTAGGAAGTTGTAACAACTGTTGAGACTGACATGATATGGGGCTAGGTAGTTGTAACAACTGTTGAGACTGACATGGTATGGGGCTAGGTAGTTGTAACAACTGTTGACCTGAGAATTTATGAGACAAAGACCCACCGTTTCCACATTGGTTTCCGTTATCAATGTTACAAAACTTCATCACATCGATGCCTTTGTCAAATTCTTCGACGACCTCCACCACTGAGTTCTTACACTGAATAAATATAACATATAAAGTTGTTTCAGTCACTGATGAAGGATGCGATTCTCATTCTCACTAACACATTGTATAAATACTTTGCCTTTTCCTAAGAATGATAATGTTACCTGGTGTTAATAGAAAGTGTAGTATTCCGTGATATGACACATTTGGATCAATTTCAAATTCCAATAATATTCATTCATAGATAAATAAGCTTTGATTTGCTTTGAACGTTAAAAACCAAATCTCTTGCGGCAGAAAATTAAGAAATCTAAGTGTGTTATTCATTTTATATTATGACTCTCATTTTGTCCATCAGATAATATCACCTTTCGCTGGCATTATGCATTTAATGCTTCAGACTTTGGTATGGGCAGTACGTCTATGGTAAGAATGGTTTGTCTTATCAATGTTCGTGGTATGTCTATAATAAGAATGGTATGAGTAAATAAGGTTCGTGGTATGTCTTTGAAATATTTGGTATGTAAAATTAATTTTTCTGGTGTGTCTATTGTGAGAATCACCGTTTGAGCGTAGGGAGCAGGGAAGTAGCTGCACAGCGCCATTAGGCGATCTGTGACCTTGTCAATCGTCTGGTTGTCGGTCAACATAACATTGACCGCCTTCACCATGAATTCGCAAACATCACAGGACCAGGCTGGGTCATCTCGTAAAACCTGCAAAATGTTCAGAAACTAGATCTGATTTGTTGACCAAATAAATGTATTGCACGTATCTCAACTATCAAAGTTCTGATGGACAAAGGATAAAATTTCAAATCTTCCATTCAGGCACTAATTATAAGATGTATACATTCCTATGTAGATGGTGGCTCGTTTTGGAGATTGTTGACCATGTTCAAACACTGTGACATTCAGCATCAGTAAAAGAAACAAAGTTTACAGATTTTAACCTTTCGGTTACCCCTTTCTAGGCCACTGTACCTGGGAACCTGGAGCTGACCGCCGGTGTCTTCGAGGGCAAGACGCAGCGCAAATGTTGTCAGCAGTCTGTGGAAAGACAAAAGGATGATGTGTTTAAATTATCTGGTGCTTTGTTGGATATCTATATACATTTGAGGTGCTCCAGGTGTTGTACTGAAGTGAAACTTTTAATAACTAGTTAACAAGGTGATTTTTAATTATTTTTTTATAGAATTGACCTCGATTGGATATCCAAAGACAGTTTAATAGGATTACTCATAATTAGATCTCGTTTAGTACAAATAATGACTATCCCAGTGACGAGAATTTATGAGGTACCTTACCTCCACATCATACATCGCCGGGTTGGTTAGTTCTACAATACCATGACAGGCTTCACAGGTCAGCCCTGGTACCTGGATGGGGAACTCCAGTTCAGTACCTAAATACAGACATTATCAGTGAATTAATGAATTAATCAATGAATAATAACACTTTATTTTTCAAAATCAATTATACTCTTCAATATGACCAATTAATTTGTTTGTTTGCTGACAAATCTTCTTTAGTCTGTTCGGAAGATAAAGGTACAGAATAAAACAACATTAGATAGGTCTGTATTGTGTGTGGGAATGTAACGCATATATGTACAAACCATTCACATATATGTTTGTCTGTGTACAACCTGTATATATAGCCAACCTTTCACGCAGGAGTCGTTCTAGGTACAGCCTGTATATATCACACAGAAGGTGTTCTGTGTACAGCCTGTACAAATAGCCAACCTTTCAAACAGGATTTGGCCTGTGTACAGCCTGTATATATAACGTACCATTCACACAGAAGTCGACCTGTTTACAGCCTGTCTATATAACGTACCATTCACACAGATGTCGGCCTGTGTACAGCCTGTATATATAACGTACCATTCACACTTAAGTTGGCCTGTGTACAGTCTGTATATATAACGTACCATTCACACAGAAGTTGGCCTGTTTACAGCCTGTCTATATAACGCACCATTCACACAGAAGTCGGCCTGTGTACAGCCTGTATATATAACGTACCATTTACACAGAAGTTGGCCTGTTTACAGCCTGTATATATAACGTACCATTTACACAGAAGTCGGCCTGTGTACAGCCTGTCTATATAACGTACCATTCACACAGAAGTTGGCCTGTGTACAGCCTGTCTATATAACGTACCATTCACACAGAAGTTGGCCTGTGTGCAGCCTGTCTATATAACGTACCATTCACACAGAAGTCGGCCTGTGTACAGCCTGTATATATAACGTACCATTTACACAGAAGTTGGCCTGTGTACATGCTGATTCTGGGTTTAAACCTCCTTCTATTGTACTCACAACTTTTGGAGCTATCAACAGACACTGAAAAATTTAAATTGTAATTTAATTCATTTTTTATGTAGACGTAACGAAACAATTCCCATTCGATCTGATATTTTAATACACAAAAATCATTTTGTTGAATTATAAATTCTTTTTGGAATTTCATCTATTGAAATTAAAAAATCTCCACTGTTTTACAATATTCATTGAAGTTCCAATAAGGATCCTTACTATCCTTATTCGCTGAAATCAGTTTGAGCACTGCTCACATCTTGATAGACTATGTTTCCTTCTATACTGATATTATCAACTGATGCTTGATTACAAGAAGAAAACGGGAATAAAAGGAAAAACTCACTGAACTCTTGAGAGTTGACGGTAGAACTCCACAAAGATTGTATACTGTTTCATTCAGCTTCTGCTGGGTGGTGTTCGCTTCTAAATAACGGTCCACAATACCAATCATTAATTCACAAAGTTCACAACGAGCGTCAGCCTGGAACAATAATTTTAAAAATATTTTATACAAATTGATCATGCAGTAATGAAAAATCATTAAGGTTAAGCAGTAGAATCTTAATTAACATTTATCAACAGATGAGGATAAATTAAAGGAAGGGGTGGAAATTAACAGCCACACTGACCGGGAGTCAAACTGGTCTTTCCGAACAACATATTTATTACGGACAAATCGCTACATATGTCTTCTAAATTGTCTGCAAAAACCAAAAACGCACAGAAATTTATGCCATCACTACTGGGTCTCTTTTGATGCACACCGAATGTAATGAGAGACATTGACTACAACAACCAACTTCACACCTTAAACTTAATGCATACATCGGTATTATTGAAACCTATGTAGCAATGAACCACTGAACCAGTGCAAAGTAGGTCGAAAAGAAAAACGCAATGAACTTTCTTATCTGCCTCAATGCTTTGAAATTCATAAAATCGAAATGGAGAATCGGAATAAAACATCAGCAGCAATTTAAGATAACTTCTCTTCTTTCAGAACAATGCCGAATTATGAACGTATCAACCTTGGTCTTGGGCTGAATTCTTATTAAGTATGTGAAAACATGAATATATAACAGTGATGATTTAATCATATTCAGTTAACACGAGTATAAATACCTTCACATTTTCTAATTCGTGCTCCTCTACAATGTGATCCTCTTTATAATAAATAGGCATGTGTTCCTCTTCTGATTCTTCCAACTGAAGGGAATGTTGCTCCCCAGGTTGTGTGATAGCCTTGACATGCCTGGCCATTGAATCGTTCTCCCCGATAATGGACTCTTCTTCTTCACCCATTGGCTCAACTTCTTCTTCTCTTGGCTCTTCTTCTTCACCCATTGGCTCAACTTCTTCTACTCTTGGCTCTTCTTCTTCACCCATTGGCTCAACTTCTTCTACTCTTGACTCTTCTTCTTCACCCATTGGCTCAACTTCTTCTCGTGGCTCTTCTTCTTCACCCATTGGCTCAACTTCTTCTACTCTTGGCTCTTCTTCTTCACCCATTGGCTCAACTTCTTCTACTCTTGACTCTTCTTCTTCACCCATTGGTTCAACTTCTTCTACTCTTGGCTCTTCTTCTTCACCCATTGGCTCAACTTCTTCATTTCTTGGCTCGACCTCCTCTACCCTTAATTTATCTTCCTCACTTCTTGGTTCCATCTCTTCACCCATGGGTTCCTCCTCCTCCTCTTGGCTTCGAGGCTCAACGATTGGCTCTACCTCAACCAATTGAGGTTCTACACTGGAACCTTAAATTAGAGAGTTTTTACATATTTGTTACACATTATCATAGTACCATTTCATCAAACATTCCTAGTTGATACTATCGGAAAAGAAGACTCTCTTTTCTTCTAAAAAAAAGTTTGTATTCCATTTCTAAAGACAGCAATTGACTGAATTTAAACAGAGAAAGTTGGTAGGTCTTTCTTTCTCCCTTTATGTCAGTTTTAGGTGTTTACTTCCCCAAACTACACCCCCTCATTCTAAACAAAGTGAATCCCTTTATAACTGGGGTTGTTGCCACTGGGCATATTTATGCGTTTGCCTCTTACAACTCGTATGTGGAACATATCAACCCATGTACATGTAGCTTATACCTCTATTGTTTAATTCTGGTAAAAACATTAGAATATCCAAACAGCAAAACACCATAATGCTTCTTGATCTCGACACGCCGTGACTATTGTAAACATTCTGATACTAACACAACCTAAACGGATATGATATAAATCTCGACCAGTCGGGGATCATTGTGGTAAGCACAACAAAACAATAAACAAATGTATGTTAACGGTTTAAACACTTATAAAGGTACAAACAGGTGTACAGCCATACATTTCTTTTCCTCTAAAGCGATTCTGACTCATCTTAATCTACCTGTCTTTAATATTAGTGTTGAAAGGAGGGGAATGATATTGTTAATTTGTTAATTTCCATCAATGCTCCCCTACCCATCTTTTTCACATGGTAACATGACGAAAGGGAATACGTTTGTAGCTTATCTTAAAGAAAGCATCATTGTTTTTGAAACAACCACAAAAACGTGAGATGGTGATTAGAATTAACATCAATCTACCTACAATTAGTTCAAAAAAATGAAAGATAAAGGGTTACCGATACCGGTAGGTGTTAATATTAAACATAACATTGTTGTAAACCGATGATGGAGATAGTAGCAAATCAGATGGTCCATACCGTTAGTGCAGAGCCCGACAGCTTCACACGCCCTCAAAGGATCAAACCCGCTTTCCATTGCCTTTACCAGCTGAGGTGCAAAGAGATTGCACTGTGGAGTAAAAGAAATGTATTCAGATAGGACATATTGTTTTAATTTCGTGTGCAAGTATACCTAGGTAGTGTTATCAAAACTAGAAAACCGAAAGGAAGAGGGTGGAAAGTGTGATATTTCCAATCGACTCTGACTGGAAAACTGGAGGTTGGAACATAAGAATACTTTAGAATAAACTTTGGCCATGACTACACACAGAACGAATGAAGGGAGGGAATAGGTTGTGCAGTCCATGTTAATCCTGATGACAGATTTGATTTTACTTTTTATTTATTCTACGACAGTTCCGACATATTATTGTATATAGTACTCAGATCTTGTCATTACTTATACGATCATGATGTTAGCACTTACGGCAGCTTTGATGTCTGATGGTAAAAATCCACAAAGTTCATACACCGTGTTGTTGATGGCTATTTGAGATGAATTTTTTTCTATGTACTGGTCGAGCAGGTTGATGACGAACTCACAGAGATCACACTTGTCGTCCTAAATAGAAAGGTTTCAAAGTAATCATGGTAACTCACGGTAATTTGTTTCAAACTTTATGCTGTTCTTATTGACAAATATAAACAACTCACTTTTTCAGTTCACCACACCTGGTCATGATGAGAATGTTTATTGAATTATATAATAAATTAAAGTATTTACCCCAAAACCTTCCACATCCTTCATAATCGTTCTTTCTATCTCTGCTTTGATTCCGTCGAAGCCTGTTAGTTTTATGGTCTGTTGGTGTTCTACTTCTTCAATTTCTTCTTCTTCTTCATCAAACGCTTCTACCATAGTGTCTGTGGATATCAATTACATCTGACACTAGCAAAGATATAGCATAAAGGATGATAGATTTAAATAAAGCGACTGTTATCTTAACATTAACGAGAAGATGACGTCTATCTGTCACTAATAACAATGTAACATTTACGGTGATATGTTTAAGTAACACATCTGTTATCCGAGTTTACCGTTAGCGCAGAGTTTGATGAAATCACATGCTCTTGCTGGATCAAAACCGCTTTCCATAGCCTTCACAAGCCCAGGTGCAAGCAAGTCGCACTGGAAAGTAAGACAAACTCACTTCATGATAAACACTTAAAACACACTCAAAACCTGTTCATTTATAAGGTTAAATATTTACGCGTGTGCTTAAAATATACCATTGATTTATTTTCACAGCTTCATTAAAAAATCAAAAAGCTCACTGATAAGAATTTTTCTGAAGAAAAATTACAGTGATCTTGGACTACAACGATGAATCTCAAATTTGTTCAAGATATTATGGTCATTTATAAATGTTTGAATTTCATCAAGGATTTTCTAAGAGTAGTAACAATGAGTTTGAGCTTAACGTCCCTACAACCCTAAAATTCATTTTTGTTTTAAATATTTTAGTCATTGATCAATTTGATATATTTGTTTAAAAAAAACCCGAAGAAATGAAGCCACTAAAAAATGACCATGACCTTGACCATTCAATTCTGAAACTCCAATCCGTGTGATATGTTTATGGTCCTTTATGATTATGTGAAGTTTAATGACATCCACAAGAACCACAGCTGGTAGTGTGTAGCTTTTAATGTACGGGAACATATCCTCTGAAATTCGTCTGGAGAGGATTAAATGTCAACAATGGAAGATGATATGAAATCAGATATTTCATCTGATATTTCCAGTTAATAGTGATAATTTGAAATCAGTCCTTGGATATATGAACTAATTTCCACAAGATGAGTCCAATTCTTGTGTACCTTCGAACAAGCTTGTTTATTCTAAAGCGATTCAATGAATTACTAGTATCGCCTCGAAATTTTATTATCCAAATAAGATTGGTTATAGGTGAATCACAAACAGTAGAGATGACTCACGGTGGCCTTGATATCCCCCGGAAGCAGACCACACAATTCGTACACGGTGCTGTTGAGTCCCGACATGGAAGTGTTACGACCGATATATTGGTCTACCAGGTTGATTACCAATTTACACAGCTCACATTTGGTGTCCTGGAATTTTACAGTCCATTATGAGTTATGTGCATTGAGGAATTTACCTTCAATGCTAACAATTTGAAAATAATCCTTAATTACTATGTCACAGATGATGTACATGGTCTCTGTTACAAGAGATACATTTTAAGATTACACAACATGTTTGTGTGATTGAATGTATTGTACTTAAGGCCAGTAACCAAACGTTTTGAACAAATCTTGAATTCTAATGATGCGTTGAACAATACTAGTATTACACAAATAACAAAATACAATAATATTTCATCCACACTACTGCTACTATGCTAATTCTCAATGTAAATCAGGCTGTGGTAATATTTCTACTATCAATTTCCAACTTTGAAGCCATCAAAGTCATCCAAATGTCACTTATCTGTTTATTCTTTTCACAGCAAAGATAAGTAATGTAAATTAATCAACAGTTTTATTTGGTCGGGAATGATGTAGTCTTTATGTTTGTGGTCGGGGATGATGTAGAGTCTTTATGTTTGTGGTCGGGAATGATGTAGTCTTTATGTTTGTGGTCGGGGATGATGTAGAGTCTTTATGTTTGTGGTCGGGAATGATGTAGAGTCTTAGTGTTTGTGGGTGGGGATGATGGGTAATCGCTTTGTTTATATCTGAGGAACATCTTACCCCAACTTCTAAATCCTCTTCCACATCCTTGACTCTGTCTTCAATTTCTTCACCCAAAAGTTTAAAGTTACCTGTCAGCAGTCGAGAAACACATGATATACCTCTTGTACTGTTGATTGAGCCATTTCTTGTTTATAACCAGTCATTTTATAACTACCACATAACTGATACTTTATATTGAATGTGAATCTGACGAAAGTCATTGATTGTTTATATTTTTCTATTTACCTAATGGTGACTTTATTGATAGCCATTAATTGTGTAAAAAGATAATTTACCTGAAGTGCAGAGTTTGACGAAACTACATGCAGAGGAAGGATCCAGTCCTGATTCAACTGCAATCACAACTTGGGGCGCAACGCTGTCACACTACAATACATACAGTACATTTCGTTGTGTATCAATTATGTTTTATATATATTCTTGTGTATATAGAGTTAACTTAATTGTTTATGACATAGCTAACAGGTAAGCTACTGCGTCGTTAAGATATTTCCAGTTACCACTGTGATGGGCTCTTTGCAAGCTTATCATTGATCCTCCTGTGCTTGAAGTGATATGTGTCTAGGACTGAATGAGCCCCAAGTAACGTTAACGTATCAAACACCAGGTTTAAATTCCACTTGTTTCAAAATGCATCCGCAATATGTTTGCTTCAACTACATTGTAGTTTCATTTGAAGATCTTTTAAAAAAATCATGTTTTGAACAGTGTACTTAGCCAAATTGATTTAAATGCGTGAATCATATAAAGTTACAGAAGAGTTTGAGAAGCATTCTGTCATTATCCAATCTTACGTTGAACTGTTGATGTATTACCATCACATTTTTCTCTTGGTTAAAAACCTCTCCGGGCACAAAGTTAAAAGTGATGTTTATTAGGGTGTTAATCTGGCTAATGATAACTTACTAATTGTTGGAAGTCTCCTGGAAGACTTGCACACAATCCATACACGGTATTGTTGATGGCATCCTTGGTCTGGTTACTATCTAAATACCTGTCCATTATCTCGATGATGGCTTTACAAACATCACATTTACCATCCTGTAAACATTGTCAGTTCTATCAGAAAATCTTTGTTGTATTGTAACTATATGTGTATCATTATACATATGACGATATATAGATGTCATGACAAAATGTATTGCTCGAGTTGACCGAGTTCTGGTTCATACAGAAAGTTTACCTGGTCAATATTTAAGCTGACATATATCTTTTTGGATAGGTAATTTAATTCGATCTTCATATTTTCATTAAAGAGATGACAGGAATATAGACTTTCGCAATAGTTTCCGTGGGTTTTTTTTTCATTTCCGAGCTTCCTCAAAGTGGTATATACAGAGGTTACATATAACCCGGAGTAAAATATGTCAAGACCAGAACCTTTCAGATATCGGAGATAAAATTTCTTGATATAATGGTATAACTGGAGAACAATAAGGATTTGTTACCAATGTTTTAAGGTTTTTATTAGTCGTAAAAGACAACCGAGCTTCCCTATCCAAGAAGAGATACATGTACTAAGTTTGATATTTACAGCTGAGTATCGTGATTAAACTATAATAAAGAGACTTTTATAAACTGGCGCAGACTTATGTGAACTAACTTCGGTGTTTTGGACATCGCTTCCTGACATCCAAATCAGCACACTGCAGCAAATAATTTTCATTGGACGATTGAACGATACCCTATGACAACCATTACTTACTTCTGGGTTGTTGACTTCGTTGGGAAGCAGATCCTTTATGACGTCTTCTAGTTCTTCTTTTCTTGTGGCTTCAACTGGTTCCTCTTCTTCAACTGGAGTCAAAAAAGTTTTTTATTCACACATAAACTGCATTATTCTGGAATTTATTGCCCACTGACTTCCCAAATTTCCTAACTTTGGCAATACCAGACTGTATGACAAGTTTTTTGTCGTTGTACTATAGTAGTACATTTGTTCTAAGACGCTTTCAATATTATTTTCTCCTAAAACATATGAATTCTATACCTGCGCTATTTTTTTCATTAGAATGTATGAAATTCTCACAAGTGAATAAGTGAATAGCGCCTTTTAATACAAATTCAGAATTCGATACATAGAATCAAACAACGAATTAAACTACATCACACAGATGTTTTGTCCTTTAAGGAATTGTCATTGATGCTAAGGGCTTAAATTTTGATGCCAAGAAGGCGATTAAGTAGAATCCAAAGTGATCAGGAAAAAAATAAAAAATCTAGACGAGTCGTATTTTTTGAAGCCGAATCTGATGAATGTTTACAGTAAAGAGGACTTTGTTGTGAGTCATTAATTGTGCAAAATAGACATATCTACCTGAGGAGCAAAGTTTGACGAAAGTACAGGCAGAGGTAGGATCCAGTCCTGATTCAACTGCAACCACAACTTGTGGCGCAACACTGTCACACTGCAATAAATACACTTACTGTGTTATCAACATTTTCAGATAACTTTTTTAGTGATTTGATGTGTATTTGATCATTTTTATAAGTTAGAAAGATCACCTATAAAGACATGAAACCATAAAAATAATAACTCCTTTTCGCCTTAAACAAGCACATTAAACAAGCACATGTACAAAGTTAATAGTGAATATACTAAAAGTATCATACTAATGTGATTTGTTTCTGTTTAGACCTTCCACTCCCACTTAAATTAAAACTGACAAACCTTCGCAACTAAAGAGATCAAAATTGTTGATAAGTTTGTCCGTCTAACGCATATCAAACTAGGAAAAACTAACATACAGTATTGGTGTAATATGGTGTCTTGAGTACATCCCGACATATCGAAATATTTGCAAGTAATGATATCCCTACAGAATCCAGGAGAACTTGTCCATTGTTTTAATTTCCGAATCGGTTTGAATCAGACATTATAAGGTACAAAGAGGACAACGTACAAGAGGAAGAAACTCAACATACATTATCCCACATTGTCCTAGGAAAACCAAGCCTCACAGTAAGTAAAAATCTACGGAAAAGCAAATTTACGAATGGTTGGACTTAGTAACTGATGGGTGACATATCTCCGACAAAGAAAACTATATGAGAAGCGTGTATCATATTGTTCTAATGTATGTTTCCCTTCTTCACAAACCCATCCCTGTTTTCTAACAACGTTAAAACTTATGTTTATTAGGGTGTTAATCTGGCTAATGATGACTTACTAATTGTTGGAAGTCTCCTGGAAGACTTGCACACAATCCATACACGGTATTGTTGATGGCATCCTTGGTCTGGTTACTATCTAAATACCTGTCCATTATCTCGATGATGGCTTTACAAACATCACATTTACCATCCTGTAAATAAACAACATATAACTAATTTTGTATTGGAACATCTTTGTTATTTTGTATACATATGTGTATCACTCTACATGTAACAATATACATAATTATGTGTGTATCACTATATGTTATGATTGATTTTCAGTTTTAGGTTTCAGGCATAAAATTCACCTGGCCAATATTGAACGAGTGTATGTATGCTTTCATTACCATGTTACTTGTAACATGTAATATCATCCACAAAGTTTCAAGTTCAGTGTATTTCATTCTGCAATGACTTGTCGTAAAAACAGATTAAAAAGCTGCAATGAGGAAAACCTTGTATTGTCGATGGTATTACTTGAATATTTGCTACAATTTTATCTATCATTAATCTACTAGGGAAGCAGTAATACCGTCATGTAGTAAAAAAAATCAAAATCGATGAAATGGGGACACATTATGAAAAAATTAAAAAAAGATTAAAAAAAATGATGTTATCTTTTTCAGGCAGAAATGTTTTGATGATGACATTTTCAATACATGTTGAGATCATCTGTGACCACTGATGTCACAAAAAATCATCTTCATTCGAACCTAATGTTGCGGATAATTATTTTCATTGTAAAATGTTGCATTGCATCGCCATGTGCTATATAACAAAGCCATCTTACCTCTGGATTATTGATTTCGTTATGAAGCAGATCTTTTAGAATGTCATCCAGTCCTTTCCTTTGGGTTTCCACTGGTTCTTCTTCAGCAGGGGTCGACGTAGCTGTACATAAGTAAATAATTTAGTCACACATGAAGTCATACATACATAAATCAATTTAACATCCTCACTAAAATGAAATAAAGTGTGAAAAGAGTGCGTGATAGTAGATATATATGGTTACATCAGCATTGGCCGTGTTCACATTTGTTTGCTTAATGATAGAGGGGATGGAAACGTGATCTGAGAAAATTCAGCTCGCTTCATTCATTCATGATTGATTCCAGACTTGTTACCTATCGTGATTTGCATCGTCTTTACATGTAGAAAGAATGAGGTACAAACCAGCACAGGCTCGTGCTATAGTGCAGACAATCGAGGGATCAAAGCCAGTCTCCAGTAATTGGACAATTCGTGGGGCATAGGTGAGGCACTGTGACAAGTAAAGAATGAAAAAGATCAGATCTTTTCAATAATTAGTGATGATTTAAACAATAGGTAATATTACTTGCCTTAACTTACAAATTGTACTAATGACACACAAGTGAGTCGCATCTTTAAAAAAAAACACAGGAAAATTCCAATATGTCAACATAATCGTAATCTGAACTTGAATTTGTCGGGGACGAGTTATGCTCCCCGAACGGGACAAAATTTAAGAATGGAAAATAACGAAGGGCAATAATTCCTAAATAATGCTAATAGAGTTGTGAATCTTGTACATTGCATTTCTCCTCATCAAGATCTATATACCTATGAGTTTTTGTGCTATGCTCTGGACAAAATTATGACGGACAGACAAAGCGGAAACTATATACTCTCCGAATAGAGAGCATAAAAATATGAAGAAAAAAATTTACACAGAAAATTCTGAAAAAGTACAAAGAGAATAAGATGATGTATTCCGGAAAAGAAAGCTTAATCGGCGACATCCGCCATGTAAATAATATTAGTGTTTCTACTGAGATCAATAAGGAAACATTAACATAACAACAGAATCTTAATTCAAGCCCAGAATCCTTGTAACGAGGGCAAAAAAAAAGAATAATGGAAAGATTAATGGAGATAATTGAACAAGAATCCATGAAAAAAGGACAAGTTTAGTGAAAACATTTTCTATCAAATCGACATTACTTGCAATGCAAATTTTGGTCAATCTGAGTACGAATACCAAGTTATCGAATGAGAGCAAAGCTAAAACAACAAAAACACCAGACAAACCAACCAGCATCGAAAGTTACAAAGTTTTTCCCGAGACTAAAGTCATAGAATATGAGATGTAACCAAGTTTCTCCTGGCCGAGTCACAGAATCTGATACTTATGTAGTTTTTACTGGCAAAAGTCACAGAATCAGAAAATGATGAATTTTTTTCCGAGTCCAAAGTCACAGAATCTGAGACTTACGAAGTTTTTCATGCCACCGGGTACTTCTCCACACAGTTGATAAATGGTTGCGTTGATGACCTCCTCTGACCGGTTGTTGACCAGGACCTGGTCGATTTCATCTACCAACAGCTTACAGAGCTCACATTCCAGGGGATTGGCCTTGTTAACGAAAACGTGGAGATTTGTCACATACAACTTATTATCATGAATTACGGGATGTTTATTGTCAATTCTGTATAAAAATACATTCAAGTTAACAACATCCATTACAAATTTATAATTAGATACAATGAAAACTGAATCACATAGCTTATAGGACTCATCTGTGATTAAATTGTATAGGACATAACTCATAGGACTCAGCTGTGAGTATATTGTTTATTATAGGACATAACTTAGAGGACTCAGCTGTATAATTATTGCATATCATTTTTTAGCATTTTGTACTTTAATAAGACATGTATAAGAACCTTAAAGAATGACTAACCAAACAGACTCTCCCAAAAGGAAATGTTATTATATCATTTTCCACCCTTCTCTAAATCATTTACTGTCATCTGTCATACCTCTATTCCGTTATCCTCCTCGTTAGGGATGGTGGCCATTTTACCTCCCGAAACCTCTTCAAAGTCATTATACTTTACTGGCTCTTTGTAAGCATTAGATCCAGCTTTCTTAGTCTTGCAGAGTCCTCGAACCTCATTGCATACCTTCTCGCCATTCTGCCAAATGACAAAGATTCGGGTTTTAAATCAATAACATTTGGATAAATATAACTTAACACTAAACATATCAGACACAAACTCAGTGGAATGAAACTCGCCCAAACAAAATATATACACCAATATTGGCAACTGTTATTGAAGGGGCCCATTCACATTCGTAGCGATGTTTAAGAAGCAAGACCTCATCAACACAACGAAGATTTTAACAACAAAGACATAGACTAGACTACACCTCCAAAGGATACAGTAGCATGGCCTGATTCTTACAGACCTAGAACAGTCAACATCACCACAGGACACAGCAACACTACACCAAAGACTTACTCTATAGACCTAGAACAGTCAACTTCACCACAGGACACAGCAACACTACAACAAAGACTTGCTCTACAGACCTGGAACAGTCAACATCACCACAGTACTCAGCAACACAACAACAAAGACTTACTTTACAGACCTGGAACAGTCAACATCACCACCACAGGACTCAGCAACACTACAACAAAGACTTACTCTATAGACCTAGAACAGACAACATCACCACAGGACACAGCAACACTATACCAAAGACTTACTTTACAGACCTGGCGCAGTCAACATCACCACAGAACTCAGCAACACTACAAAAAAGACTTACTCTATAGACCTAGAACAGTCAACATCACCACAGGACACAGCAACACAACAAAGACTTACTCTACAGACCTGGAACAGTCAACATCACCACCACAGGACTCAGCAACACTACAACAAAGACTTACTCTACAGACCTAGAACAGGCAACATCACCACAGGACACAGCCACACTACAAAGATTTGCTCTACAGACCTGAAACAGACATCACCACAGGACAGAGCAACACTACAAGGACTTGCTCTACAGACCTGAAACAGACAACATCACCACAGGACACAGCAACACTACACCAAAGACTTACTCTATAGACCTAGAACAGACAACATCACCACAGGACACAGCAACACAACAACAAAGACTTGCTCTATAGACCTAGAACAGCCTGCCTTGTTTGGGTAACCCTTATCTGTATATGGTTAACTAGTTGTCTGGTGTCTTTTTATTAACCTGCCTGGTTTGGGTAACCCTTATCTGTATATGGTTAACTAGTTGTCTGGTGTCTTTTTATTAACCTGCCTGGTTTGGGTAACCTGCTGGTAACCCTTATCTGTATATGGTTAACTAGTTGTCTGGTGTCTTTTTATTAACCTGCCTGGTTTGGGTAACCCTTATCTGTATATGGTTAACTAGTTGTCTGGTGTCTTTTTATTAACCTGCCTGGTTTGGGTAACCCTTATCTGTATATGGTTAACTAGTTGTCTGGTGTCTTTTTATTAACCTGCCTGGTTTGGGTGACCCGAAAAGAAAACTCTGAAATAGATCTACAACAACATCCCAGTAGCCTTTTTCTACTTTGAAATAATAGTTCTGCATACAATGTGTTATATGGATAACATTTACATATACAAGATTTAACTATGCCTTTTGGTGTCAGATATGCATAAGGTATGCACTATGTTAATATTCAGGTATGAAATGAATTAGTACCAACATTACCATACATATAGAATATTGATAGAGTGTAGACATTGTGTGCCTTTTTAGACTGTATTCATTTGTGTAACATGCGTAAAGGCACGATGAGGAATGACGCCAGGTTTTATTCATAACAGTAATTACTTACAACGATTACAAGTTGTTCAATGAAATAATTGGTTATTGACTTGCAAACTAATGAGACCTTAGCTTGTTGAAGGTTAATGAATTGTGATGAATTTTTTATATATCGACTTGATGTTTCTCATGCTTTATGGGAACATTTATTGAAAAACGTTATTGAAATGCTGGCAAATAACTGTACATATTTTTTTATATAAAAAAGAGACATAGAACAGTCTACATCACCACAAGACAAATCAACACAGCACGGATTTATTGATAAAGACGAAGGATATTCGCATGGACCAACTGCACAACACACACATACACACACACAAAAAAAAATACAAAAAAAAAAAACAAAAAACAAAAACCAAAAACGAAAAACAACAAGACCCTAAAAAAAGAAGTAAGTCATAAAACCAAGGGCTGCATTACACAAAACATCTATTTTACTCCATGGACAACGACAAAACAATTGAAAAGTGCACCAGTTGATCGGGACAAATAATCCCACATTTACTTACCCGTCCAAAGGCCTCCTTCATCGACGTCTGACACATGTCACAGGTAAGGCTCTTCATGTTCACTATTCCATCAGCTTTAGGAGCAAAGTGAAAAAAAAACATCAAGCGTTGAGGTCGGCAAAAGAATGATAACTCAGTATATTTATATACATTGTTGTCATAGTATTGACGTTTAACACAGGGGTCCTTAATCGAAAATTCACGTGAACACGTCTAATAGGGTAATATAATAATAATTATAAATTTCACATTAAATCAACACTTAAAAACGAATATACATCACATGATCGAATGACTTACATGAACATACAATACATAACCTACAAACTCACATCAATTAAGAATAATTTACCTTCAAAACTTACATCAATAGTGATTACATCAACCAGAAACTTTCATAAATAACGAAATATTACACACCAGAACTAAAATCAATAAGGATTATATCCCTTAAAAATCACATCAATTTTTAGTAAATTAACCACAAAAACTGACATCACCAATAATTATGTTACCAACAAACTTACGACAATAACGAATACATAACTTATATCTTTTTGTAAAGTTTCTTACATGTTTCACAAAGTCTGAGGGTTGTGCATCCCTTCTCAGGATCGACGCCTTTTTCCAAAACATTCAGTAGAGCAGGGGTAATCGACTTGCACTGTTCATAAAACAAAGAAATAGTTCCTATAATGATTTATCGGTAATGTGTTATCTAAGTGTATAGAACTAACAAAATATGATAACAAGATAACAGGACAAGTCCGGTTATTTTACGTGCCGGTATAATTTGTCTGGTCACTTCACGTGTCAGTATACTTTGTCTGGCTATTTTACACGTCAGTATACTTTGTCTAGTTATTTTACGTGTCAGTATACTTTTTCCGGCTATTTTACGTGTCAGTATACTTTTTCCGGTTACTTCACGTGTCAGTATACTTTGTCCGGCTATTTTACAAGTCAGTATACTATGTCCAGCTATTTTATATGTCAGTATACTTTGTCTGGTTATTTTACGTGTCAGTATACTTTGTCAAGTTACTTCATGTGTCAGTATACTTTGTCCGGTTAGTTTACGTGCCAGTATATTTTTTTCCGGTTACTTCACGTGTCAGTATACTTTGTCTGGTTATTTTACGTGTCAGTATACTTTGTCCAGTTATTTTACGTGTCAGTATACTTTGTCAAGTTACTTCATGTGTCAGTATACTTTGTCCGGTTATTTTACGTGTCAGTATACTTTGTCCGGTTACTTCACGTGTCAGTATACTTTGTCTGGTTATTTTACGTGTCAGTATACTTTGTCTGGTTATTTTACGTGTCAGTATACTTTGTCCGGTTATTTTAGGTGTCAGTATACTTTGTCTGGTTATTTTACGTGTCAGTATACTTTGTCCGGCTATTTTAGGTGTCAGTATACTTTGTCCGGTTATTTTAGGTGTCAGTATACTTTGTCCGGTTATTTTACGTGTCAGTATACTTTGTCTGGTTATTTTAGGTGTCAGTATACTTTGTCCGGTTATTTTACGTGTCATTATACTTTGTCTGGTTATTTTACGTGCCAGAATACTTTGTCCGGGTATTTCAGGTGTCAGTATACTTTGTCCGGTTATTTTACGTGTCAGTGTACTTTGTCCGCTTATTTTACATGTCAGTATACTTTGTCTGCTTATTTTACGTGTCAGTATACTTTGTCCGGTTAGTTTACGTGTCAGTATACTTTGTCAGGTTATTTTACGTGTCAGCATACTTTGTCCGGCTATTTTACATGTCAGTATACTTTGTCTGGCTATTTTACACGTCAGAATACTTTGTCCAGTTATTTTACGTGTCAGTATACTTTGTCCGGTTATTTTACATGTCAGTATACTTTGTCCATTTATTTTAGGTGTCAGTATACTTTTTCCGGCTATTTTACGTGTCAGTATACTTTGTCAGGTTATTTTAAGTGTCAGTATACTTTGTCCGGTTATTTTAAGTGTCAGTATACTTTGTCCGGCTATTTTAGGTGTCAGTATACTTTTTCCGGTTACTTCACGTGTCAGTATACTTTGTCCGGTTATTTTAAGTGTCAGTATACTTTGTCCGGCTATTTTAGGTGTCAGTATACTTTTTCCGGTTACTTCACGTGTCAGTATACTTTGTCCGGTTATTTTACGTGTCAGTATACTTTGTCCGGTTATTTTAGGTGTCAGTATACTTTGTCAGGTTATTTTAGATGTCGGTATACTTTGTCTGGTTATTTTACGTGTCAGTATACTTTGTCAGGTTATTTTACGTGTCAGTATACTTTGTCAGGTTATTTTAGGTGTCAGTATACTTTGTCCGGTTATTTTAGGTGTCAGTATACTTTGTCCGGTTATTTACGTGTCAGTATAATACTTTGTCCGGTTATTTACGTGTCAGTATACTTTGTCCGGTTATTTACGTGTCAGTATACTTTGTCCATTTATTTCAGGTGTCAGTATACTTTGTCCGGCTATTTTACGTGTCAGTATACTTTGTCCGGTTATTTACGTGTCAGTATACTTTGTCCATTTATTTCAGGTGTCAGTATACTTTGTCCGGCTATTTTACGTGTCAGTATACTTTGTCCATTTATTTTAGGTGTCAGTATACTTTGTCCGGTTATTTTAGGTGTCAGTATACTTTGTCCGGCTATTTTACGTGTCAGTATACTTTGTCCATTTATTTTAGGTGTCAGTATACTTTGTCTGGTTATTTTACGTGTCAGTATACTTTGTCCGGCTATTTTACGTGTCAGTATACTTTGTCCATTTATTTTAGGTGTCAGTATACTTTGTCCATTTATTTTAGGTGTCAGTATACTTTGTCCGGTTATTTTACGTGTCAGTATACTTTATCCGGTTATTTTACGTATAAATATACTTACAGTGAGTATGTGCGTATTATTTATTGTTCCCTTGAAGATGATTTTTTTTATTTATTGTCCCCATGAGCATACACGTTTTGTTCCATGTTCCCGGTGAACATGAACGTGTTTATTAAAGGTCCCCGTGAATAGGAACGTGTTTATTAAAGGTCCCCGTAAACATGAACGTGTTTATTAATGGTCCCCGTGAACATGAACGTGTTTATTAAAGGTCCCCGTGAACATGAACGTGTTTATTAAATGTCCCCGTGAACATGAACGTGTTTATTAATGGTCCCCGTGAACATGAACGTGTTTATTAAAGGTCCCCGTGAACATGAACGTGTTTATTAAAGGTCCCCGTGAACATGAACGTGTTTATTAAAGGTCCCCGTGAATAGGAACGTGTTTATTAAAGGTCCCCGTGAACATGAACGTGTTTATTAAAGGTCCCCGTGAACATGAACGTGTTTATTAAAGGTCCCCGTGAACATGAACGTGTTTATTAAAGGTCCCCGTGAACATGAACGTGTTTATTAAAGGTCCCCGTGAACATGAACGTGTTTATTAAAGGTCCCGTGAGTAGGAACGTGTTTATTAAAGGTCCCCGTGAACATGAACGTGTTTATTAAAGGTCTCCGTGAATATGAACGTGTTTATTAAAGGTTCCCGTGAACATGAACGTGTTTATCAATGTCCCCGTGAACATGACGTGTTTATTAAAGGTCCCCGTGAACATGAACGTGTTTATTAAAGGTCCACGTGAACATGAACGTGTTTATTAAAGGTCCCGTGAATAGGAACGTGTTTATTAAAGGTCCCCGTGAACATGAACGTGTTTATTAATGGTCCCCGTGAACATGAACGTGTTTATTAAAGGTCCCCGTGAACATGAACGTGTTTATTAAATGTCCCCGTGAACATGACGTGTTTATTAAAGGTCCCCGTGAACATGAACGTGTTTATTAAAGGTCCCCGTGAACATGAACGTGTTTATTAAAGGTCCCGTGAATAGGAACGTGTTTATTAAAGGTCCCCGTGAACATGAACGTGTTTATTAATGGTCCCCGTGAACATGAACGTGTTTATTAAAGGTCCCCGTGAACATGAACGTGTTTATTAAATGTCCCCGTGAACATGAACGTGTTTATTAATGGTCCCCGTAAACATGAACGTGTTTATTAAAGGTCCCCGTGAACATGAACGTGTTTATTAAAGGTCCCCGTGAACGTTTATATATATATGTCTGAGAAATACTTACAAAAGACGACAGTTCGGCAGGAAGAGCGGCACAGATTTGCATGATAGTCTTGTTGATTGCTGCCTCGGTTTGATTGGTTGCTATGGAAGCGTCCAAGACTTGAATCAGGAATTCACAAATCTCACATGTTTCATTACTGGCAAGCTGTACATGGGAATAAGAAATTAGGAAGTCAGAATGTGCGTATCATTTCCATGATGCAAATCATTCTTTGAAGATTTTTTTTTATTATTTCAAATCATCCTTTATCTTATTTCATTTGATGATATCCGTATCAATATCACTGTTAGTATAACTGTATTTATGTGTTCAGAATTGATATGTGTTCCTATGTACCTGTATATCAAGTATTTAAGTATAAAGTTGGAGGTGAATACCTTGTGCTCCTATGTACCTGTATATCACGTATTTAAGCATAAAGTTTGCTGTGAATACCTTGTGCTCCTGTGTACCTGTATATCAGGTATTTAAGTATAAAGTTTGCTGTGAATACCTTGTGCTCCTGTGTACCTGTATATCAGGTATTTAAGTATAAAGTTTGCTGTGAATACCTTGTGTTCCTGTGTACCTGTATCAGGTATTTCAGTATAAAGTTTGAGGTGAATACCTTGTGTTCCTGTGTACCTGTATATCATGTGTTTATGTATAAAGTTTGCTGTGAATGCCTTGTGCTCCTGTGTACCTGTATATCAGGTATTTAAGTATAAAGTTTGCTGTGAATACCTTGTGTTCCTGTGTACCTGTATATCATGTGTTTATGTATAAAGTTTGCTGTAAATACCTTTTGTTTGATGTTGACTGGTTTTCCTTTCCTGCCACTGTACGGATGTGGAAACTGTGGAATCACGTTATCAATAACATTTTCTGGAATATATTCTGTCTCTGAGTCCAGTGGTATTTCATTGCTTAATACATTTTCATTGCCAAATACTTTTGGGGTTTCGTTACTAATAACCTCCTCCGTTTTAGAACACACCTTCAGTTCCACACATGCGGACTTTGGATCCTGAAAATCATATTTCAATCAGCTGTGTTTCAATATCAGTAACGCTATCCTATTGCGACCATTTAGCATCATTATTTCCCACAACAAATTTAACTTAATGCATTCAATCATGACAGATATAAATACTTATCAAAGAACCAGCAGTAGAAAGATTGAATGATACTAAATAGATCCTAGTAATAGTAGTAGGGTTTAATGAAACAACTTGTGATTTCTAGTATAAACTATATGTCATATTCTCCACTTTTCGTTGTAATATTAACACACTTTTCTTTGTCAATATTTTTTCTACTTTATTATGATGTTTTGTTCAACAAACATGTGTTCTAATTAAGAACTCTGAATTTTTTCCAGCTAATTTAGAAGCGGTACCGTAATTAAATTCGACATTTCAGCTGTGTGGCTTCCGTGACCGATTGGCTGTTAGGTTGAACACGTAAATAGACATAGTGCAATAATCATAGTCTAATACAGTTGAATATGATCCAGATCGTCACACTTACAATCGCGCCGGAGATTTTGCTAAACAGTGCTGGGAGATACTGGTGAACCATGGACGTGCACACGTCCCGGTCAGCGGCTAGGCGGTTACAGATATCATCCAATTTATCTTCCACTTGTGACTGAAAAAAATAACGTTTTTTTTAGGCAATCTTTGTGTGGACATCTTGTCTTCATTATGATATTTCCTCGGTCATTGTACCATCTACCACTATTTAATATCAATGGCACCAATATCACACTTCACATTGCACTGGTACGTTTTAATGGCCACCAATATCTACATACCAATGGCACCAACAACATACTTTACATTGTCTAAACTAAAACACATGTTGATTATTTTTTGTGATTTAGATGAGGGTGTGTTTGTGAACTTCAATATAATTCGCAAAAATGATTCGCAGTATTACTTTGTCATAAGATCAATGCCAGACGCTTGGGCTATCAACATTAATGCTTACAGCTAATCGCTGTTCAGACGCGGATCCAGGATAACGAGTAAGAGGAGTGAACATTTCTGTTAACTAAAAGATAATTTTCTTCATATTGTACGGAGCCCGTTAACTGACATGCTCCATACTTATTTTATTTCGTTTTTTCGAAATATTAATTCGTTTTTTCGAAATATTATTTCGTTTTTTCGAAATAATAATTCGTTTTTTCGAAATAATCATTCGTTTTATCGAAATGATATTTTATTTCGTTTTTTCGAAATAATAATTCGTTTTTTCGAAATAATAATTCGTTTAAACGAAATATTATTTCGAAAAAACGAAATAAAATAAGTATGGAGCATGTCAGTTAACGGGCTCCGTAAATATTGTGCCTGACACCTCCCTTTATTTTCCAGATTTTTGTGTGTGTTATGTTGACATCTTTTATACATTGTATAATCGTTCTAGCTTCCAGTTTGACAAACAATCACGGATTGCATTATAAATATAAGACGACAGACCAATCCAACTAAAACTAACTTGAACCATTAAGCCTTACGCTAACCGTTAGTACTAGACGTGATAAAGATAGACAAAAATATATTTTGTCGTTCCGTTCCGTGCCAACTGGCACAGTATATGTGGGTACATTATTCACCTCAGTTGCATTTTCTCCAACTAGAGATTTCAGATCTTCCACCATCGACTCACAAATGTTACACAGGATGTCATCCTGACCTTCAGTCACGGGTAGTAAAGATGGGGCACCTGTCACGGAATAAATACTCCTTTAATCATATGATACAAAAGTCAGACTATTATTTTATAACATACAATATAGAACATTGATGTAGAATATTGATGAAGAACATAAAACAATATACCAGTTTACTGATCGACTATACGGTTGGAATAAAACTTATCTTACAGTGTAAAAAAGAAATAAAAAAGTGATAATTAATTTGAATTAAACAGTACAGTGATCATACCTTGTGTACACACAAGGTTGATTTTTTTATATTATGAACACGTCTCTGTAATGACGTTTGTTGTGTGTGCTACTTTTAAAAAGTCACTTCCTACAAAAAGAATTGTGATTAATAGAAGTTTTTTTTTAAAGAGATGGCTTCATTGGTTTAAATATTTTCGCCAACTCCACCCCCTCTTCCCTCCTTAATAAAAGTCGCGTGATTTAGCGCAGTGGTAACTCACATTTGCCTTTTACCTTGACGAACGGAGCACGTGCACATGAAAAGGAATATAGTTATCTGCCTGACCACATTGGTTTCCTAGGATACTCCTGTTTCTTTCTACTTATAAACCCCTTGTGCACTTTAACCCTGGTCAACCAGAGTGGTTTACATAAGGTTATTTCTCAATTGTTATAAAATAGATAAAGTTAGAATAAGTTTGAAAAATTTAAATAAAATAAAAATACGGAGTGATGGAATAATAAATGCAGAATGATAATTACAATGATATGGAAAATGTCCCGTTTAAGTTTCCTACCCCAGGCCGACTTGACAAACGTAAAGGCAAGAATATGATCATTGACCATTGATATCACCTATCTCGTTCATCGGGTGTGCAATCGTTACTTATAGAAGCGTGTTTCATTGACAAGTCAACATAAATAAAATAGTTTACATACTTACTTTGTACATAACCAATAACTAAAAACACACATATCAATAAATCCCTATTCATTTTGAATCGTTAGTAAATAAATCACATCCAAAGGGAAAAATCACAATTCATACACGAGGACCATCACCTCAAGAAAGCAAACACACTTTGAACGACAGATAAAATCACATGTAAGTCATGTGATTTGATGACCCCACGTGAACTTTGTAGTAGTCACGTGACAGCGTACGAAATACGACTGAGCGCGATGGCGGACGACAAAAACAACCACAAGCTGGTGGATGATGATGACTATGGCCACCGACAGTATGTTCCACGACCTTTGTGTGAACAAACAACGTTTAGTTGTAACAAATTACTACTCTTCTTGTATCAACTGCTCTACCTGGTAAGTAAGCATGTTTTTTTATTGATGATAGTGTTGACGAAAGAGTGACTGCAGTGACCATTGGTGACTTGCAGACTTGCAGCTGCAACTGACAGCAACTAAGGGTAGCCAGTTAGTGTTGGGTCTCCCACGTACATGTATTGTACATATATGCGTAGTTACTTAAATAATTCCAACAAGATAAGTTTCATATGACATTTTGTTTTCTTTTATCTCACCAGGTAATATATCAATTCAAGATGACAATTCTCTAAGACTAAAGTCCCCTAGGGCTCTATCAAATGAACCGGGACGTATAAACATCATCTTAATGACACAGACCATACTAGTAGTTAACGATGTAAAAATCAGAAGTGCACTGACTTGCTCTTTTACACTTTAGTCACAAGTACGGCAAGTAACAAGGAGAGACACCATTATTTTACAGCCAGGAACATTCCAGATCCAACTGTAACAGATTAAATATACTTAGAAATTTATTGAGATTGATGTTGTAATAGTTACTGTCAACAGGGACGTATATCTGTATTATACGTCCCTGCTGTTAATGACAAACCTGTGTACAAATTCTTCATTGTGCATGAATAATTGTTCATCCAAAAATTTGAAATTATTGGGGTTTCTGGTGTTATTGATTTGTCTTTATTGGTCCCCCACCCCTCCCACCCCCAGCATCAGTTGGATGGAAGCAATCAGTCATATGTGGATGATTTTATGTAGAGAGTTTTAGAAATCTAATTCTGTAGGCAGCTTCAAACATGCAGTCAAGGACAGGTCACTAGACACCATCAATTATCAATGTCTTGAATAGAAAATGTTGTGTTTCTAATTCAGGCCACTAATTTTGATTATATTATTGTATTATTAAAGCTATAGTCACCTAAGTAGTTGCTGTATAAGGATACATGCATGTCTATGATGTAGGAAGAATAAGTTCTACTGGTCAGTTTCAGTTATAATTGACTATCAATTAATTATCTATTATAAATAGATTAAGATTTTAGTCATTCATGTGGAAGATAATTGTCTCCTGTTAAATAGCACAATGCCAGACTAAAATCAAACATTTTACCATGAAAAAAAATATTGTTATGTTATAATGACCTTGAAGTTTAATATCAAATACAAATGTGTTTCACATATGTATAGCAGAATTAATCTCTTGGAAAATATCATCATTTCTATAGTTTTAGATTGTACTGTGCATGTGTTGAATGTCTGTTTCTCCTGCCAAAATCAGTTTACAAAATCTAATCAGTTGTGAAGGTGTTTGTTACATAACCAAGATTGTACCAAAACAACCACATTTTTCTGACTTACATTCTTGGATGTATTAGAAGATGAAATTTGTGACATCAGACTTCAGATGTATGGAATAGCATTCTAATGGGTGAATGTAGAATTAAAGTAATGTGTGAACATATACTGTAACATCCAAATACATGACACACTTTTTTTATCCAATGTATGTGTGGTAGAGTGATTCAATAAATGTTAAAGTATGTAACATGTTACCAATCTGATTATAAAACTGATAATTAAAACCTGCATATAGAAATAAGTATTTACATCATTTGTAAGTACTTGGTATAGAAGCCATGATGGTGGCAGCAGAAAAGAATACAAGACTGAGTATTTGAACAAGTACAGTTACCTGTTGTGTTTAAATTCAGGTAAATGCAGTTTTTGACATTTAATCAATTCCTTCTGATAGCTACAGAATAGTTGCTCATAGTAACATGTTTAATTATGATGTATAGGAGGTGATTTTTAAGCAAGGAGTGTTATTCATTATGCAAGACTGCATCTCTAATGAAAAACATCATTGCCTATATAATGGAGCACATTCTATTGTCTATTGTACATTATTTTAACAAAGTTAAAGGCACTGTGGCAGCCTTTTACACAACAGCCAAGGACAGATTTAAAAGGATATTTGACCCGGGCTGTTGACAACCAACATTTGTCCTTATTCATGTGTATATTGAATTTTCTGCTTCACTTGTATCGGCCTCCGTTTGTTCACTGGTATTCCTTTACTAACAAAAAATCAAAAGAAAACAATCAGATATTTTCCATGACCAAAAGATGTTTGTTTTAATATAACTGTCTGCATGAAATTTTTCATATGATTGCCATCAAACAAAGTGTGGTGTGCCATTAGGTTGATCCTGTAGACAGGGAGCTGATGTTGACAATAGACCAGTATCCAGTGCAGTTGTATTGATTATAAGATATTGCCACTGTTAGAATTGGCCTTACTCTCTGATTTACTACATTTCACTAGTAACAAGAGACAGAGACTTAATGCAGGTTATGTGATGTAATTTTCAAGCTTAAAAAGTTAATGTTCGTCACCATGTCAGCGAAAATGATCCACTCTGACATGCAAATCACCGTTAAAAACAACAGAATTGTTGCAGCAGGAAGTCGTTTTCTCTTTATCTGCATAATTACAGAAGCATCAGTGTATAAAATGGACATGATATCCACAGATGTTAGTCCATCTCTGCTGTAGGATAATGATACCCCAGACACACAGTCATTGGGCCAGGCTAACAAGCTTTAAAACCCTGCATCAAATAGCATTGATGACTTTACAGGGACAATATGTTCAAGTCTTGTTAACTTAATTATGGACAAAATATTCAAACTTAGTCATAGATGAGCTTTGATAAATTTCCAGCCTCAGTAAGTTCAGGTCTTCTTGGATTTATTATAGATATATATAATTAAAATTTTAAGACAATTGTGATATGTTGGAAGTGTAACAATGCTTTGTTTTCCTGTTACTATAATCACTGTATGGATCCTTGTGGTGTCTGTCAAAAATGTTCATACAGAATAAAATGTATGTGTTGATACAGAATAAAATGTATGTGTTACAGAATAAAATGTATGTGTTGATACAGAAGAAAATGTATGATTTGATACAGAATAAAATGTATGTGTTGATACAGAATAAAATGTATGATTTGATACAGAATAAAATGTATGTATTGATACAGAATAAAATGTATGATTTGATACAGAATAAAATGTATGTGTTGATACAGAATAAAATGTATGATTTGATACAGAATAAAATGTATGATTTGATACAGAATAAAATGTATGTGTTGATACAGAAGAAAATGTATGATTTGATATAGAATAAAATGTATGATTTGATACAGAATAAAATGTATGATTTGGTACAGAATAAAATGTATGATTTGATATAGAATACAATGTATGATTTGGTACAGAAATAAATGTATGATTTGGTACAGAATAAAATGTATGATTTGATACAGAATAAAATGTATGATTTGGTACAGAAATAAATGTATGATTTGATACAGAATAAAATGTATGAACCAATACAGAATAGTAACTTAATGTACAGATATTTTCAATATTAGGAAATCACCACAGAAATCTTAATTAATTGATTTCAGGTCAATTAGTCAATATTTCTAGCTTTCAAACTTTAGATGCTGTGTGGTACAATGTTTAGTGTAAATCTGTGAGATGTTTTGTTGGTTTAGGCTAATGTGGGATTTATGTCTCTATGACTATGTAGTCCTGTACTATAGGGAAATGGAGATTTTAATTCTCAGTTTGAACCCAATATACTGCCATTCTTTGATTCCATACATTATCACATCTAATCAATAGACCAATAATAATGTTAAGTAGATCTATGGAGCCTTACAGTCATTATGACTGTGTGTGATGAAGATTCTACAGCCAGTTATAGTTAATGTATAATGGAGATTCTACAGCCAGCTATTAACCATGTATGATGTATATTCTTCAGTCAAAATGACTGTGCATGATGAAGATTCTACAGCCAGCAATAAACCATATATCATGAAGATTTTACAGCCAGTTATAAACCATGTATAAAGAAAATTTTACAGCCAGTTATAAACCATGTATAAAGAAGATTTTACAGCCAGTTATAAACCATGTAGAATGAAGATTTTACAGCCAGTTATAAACAATGTATAAAGATTTTACAGCCAGTTATAAACAATGTATAAAGATTTTACAGCCAGTTATAAACCATGTATGATGTATATTCTTTAGTCAAAATAACTGTGCATGATGAAGATTCTAAAGCCAGTAATAAACCATATATCATGAAGATTTTACAGCCAGTCATAAACAATGTATAAAGAAAATTTTACAGCCAGTTATAAACCATGTATAAAGAAGATTTTACAGCCAGTTATAAACCATGTATAAAGAAGATTTTACAGCCAGTTATAAACAATGTATAAAGAAGATTTTACAGCCAGTCATAAACAATGTATAAAGAAGATTTTACAGCCAGTTATAAACTATGTATAAAGAAGATTTTACATGTACCAGTTATAAACAATGTATAAAGAAGATTTTACAGCCAGTTATAAACAATGTATAAAGAAGATTTTACAGCCAGTTATAAACAATGTATAAAGAAGATTTTACAGCCAGTTATAAACCATGTATAAAGAAGATTTTACAGCCAGTTATAACCCATGTATTAAGATGATTTTATAACCATTATACACTGGATGACATACATGTACCTCAGAGTGTACTCTGTATTACCATACATGTACCTCAGAGTGTAATCTGTATTACCATACATGTACCTCAGTGTAATCTGTATTACCATACATGTACCTCAGTGTAATCTGTATTACCATACATGTACCTCAGTGTAATCTGTATTACCATACATGTACCTCACAGTGTAATCTGTATTACCATACATGTACCTCAGTGTAATCTGTATTACCATACATGTACCTCAGTGTAATCTGTATTACCATACATGTACCTCATAGTGTAATCTGTATTACCATACATGTACCTCACAGTGTAATCTGTATTACCATACATGTACTCACAGTGTAATCTGTATAACCATACATGTACCTCAGAGTGTAATCTGTATTACCATACATGTACCTCACAGTGTACTCTGTATTACCATACATGTACCTCACAGTGTAATCTGTATTACC